CCGTTTAATCGTTACATCGACAGCTCGGATTAACATTTTCTGTGATGAGCCGCCGCACACTGTTCCCGGGAAGCGGCGTGGATGGGTGGCTTGCTATAATATAAATAAACAAAAGCAAATGGGCAGCACCTTCATATTGACGGATAATAAAGCAGTAGCACGACCCTGCGTAGCTCATAAAAATCGGTGCTCGTTTGTGTTTGCTTTCTTACTCGACATCATTAAAAAAAAACGTGCGGGAAGGGGGAAGGGGGGGGGGGGGTTATTGTAGTTCACGGGGGACAACTTAGTTGAAGTACCAAAAACGCGTGAGTGTTAAAAAGCAAGGATTGTCACGTAGTGCGATGTCGACGAAACTAACTTTCGCACGGAAGTGGCGTTTTAATCGCGCGAGAAAGCATACTTGCTGAGTTTGAAACGCCGTCTGTCCGACTTCTTTCCCCGTCTTAAACTTTTGATTGCCTGAAGATTTTCTTACCCAGGCTTAGGTGTTCTAACAAAGTGAGAAAAATATGCCAGACCTCCGACCGGGCATTTCAGCTGGCCGTGTCTTACGGCTTACATTCGCGCCTATTTCAGTCGGTGATGTGATCTAACGTAACCATCAAAAATAAACAGAACCCAAATGAAAAACGCTGGCTCAAAAGGAAAACGAAACAACCAACCTGAGTTTTCATGCGAAGATCCGGAAAGCGCGGTGCGAGTGCAGCTTGCCGCCGGCCGCACTCGCTCTGCGCTTTCGTGGCCGTTCTCGATGCTTCTGCGTACCGATTAGTACTTAACATATCCGTAGAAGTAACTTGAGACGTTCAGAAGTGTGTAAGTCACCCAGCAGCAGAGGAAGGTGGCCCGGATTTGATCGGGTTTCAACACCCGCACACGCTTCCGTAGCCGTCATGGGGCTGCGTCGGCTGCTAGCTACGAACCGGAAGTGAATATTACCCAGAGTTCTTTGAGGCTGCTGCCAAACGCCGGTCACCTATTCCCTAATAGCGTCAGCGCGTTACAACCGAGCCGTTCGAAGTGCCCGTGGGGTGACGAGCGTGTGGCTGGCCCAAGGAGCACGTAGCTTCCACAACACAGTCAGCTTAAGGCTGAACGGGGTGGGGAAAGCAACTTCTGTTCGAGTTTTGAGCGACGGGCTAATCTTCTAGAGGGAGAATGGCTGTTTCCGGTTGCACGAACGAGGGCCCGAGAGAGAGGGGAGTCCTTCCTTTCTGTCTTCTTGGGCCGTTTGGTACAATGCGCGACTTGTGAGTTGAGGAGGAAAGCTAAGGGAGGGAAAATGTTGAAATGCCAGAGAGCGGCGCTGCTCCGAGGAATCTGCTACGTTACAAGTCAAGAAGGTAGGAGAAGCTCCTCCCACAGGCGTGATGCGCCCGTTTCAAATCTCTCCGCAGTCGAAAGAATAGTTCACTGGAAACGCTCCTTGTTCCGCTTCAATGGATTCCCACTTGTCTCCGATCCCACTTTTTAAGAAAGGGACATTTGTATTTATTGCAGGGGGAACCGAGCCCCCTGAAAGCAGCCTTTGTATCTATCGGAGGGGGCAGCTAATCCCCGAAAGGTCGTATTTGTTTTCATTGGAGGGGCAAAACTTAATCTCCCTCTCGTGGCTTCCACAATGCTAAGTCAAAGTCGAAAGATAAAGCAAAGATGTACAGAAAGGCAAGACCCTCCTCGCGCGTTGGCCGCGACGTCACGGAAACGGTGGGACGCTATTGGATGCGAAGGTGGCGGAGGGATATATGATTCTTTTTGAGGGGCATTTGCAGCTACCTTCTTGACTTGTAACCGACTATGGACTACTTCCCAAATAGGCTCCGCATGCATCCACCAGGTGCACATTGAAAGATCGTTTGACTTTAAAATTAGTTTTCTTGTGTCTCTCAACGGAAGACTGGTGTTTTTGAGGTTATGGTGCAACATGCAACACATTCAAGCTAGAAAATGAGCGCTGGAATTTCGTTCGTTCCCCTACCCCTTTAAAGTGCTTTCCGTTTTTTTTTTTTTTTTCGTAAATGCCACTGGAGATTACCCCTCCCCTTTTTACTCCGGGCTTGGTGACCCATCAGGCGACTGGTTTTGCCTTTTGCACTAGGGACCTTTCTAAGACCTCTTTTTCCTCCCTCCTTGGAATTAATAAACTGAGAAGTGGTATGGTATGTGATGTATGAGATGTGTCTAGAAACTAACATCCCAATTGAAATAAGAAACATCTGCAACATTGTGGAATGCTTTAAATTATACGGCGGCATTTCTTATATCACAGCACAAGTTTTCAGATACCCTCCTCATAGAAGCCAATATCTTTGGCATCTATTCCAAAAGCAATCTGTGCCACTTACCGTATTTACTTGCAGGATTAACGCATTTTTCCCGAAAAATCGATGGAAAGTTGGGGAAGGGGGGGGGGGGGGGGGGGGCGTTCATTACGCGAAGTAAAATTTTTGCGTCCCATAATGAATGGACCTTATATCCCAAAAAAATTGACGTAACTTCTTATCTCTTTCCGCGTGACGCGTCACCCAAAAACCAAACTGCGATATGCACAAAAAAAAAAAGCTCTCCATGTTTTTTTTCTTGCTTCCGTTGGATCTTTTTATATTTCTTTAACGCCTTTTGCGAAGAGTTTTGTTTGCCCAAAAGGGCTTCTCCCCTTCTCTTTCTTATCTCCGCGCGCGGCGCGCAAACAAAATCCGAACCGCGCTGTAGAAAGAAAGAAAAAAAAAAAAGCCCCTTTTCATGTTTTTCTTTTTTGCTTCCGTTCGATTTTTTTTAAAACAGATTTTGCAAGGCGTTTTGTTTGCCACGAGGGCCTTCTCCGCTTCTCTTTCTTCCAGACTGCGCTGTGAAAAAAGAAAAAAAAATGTTTTCTTGCTTCCGTTGGGTTTTTTTTTATTTTTTTAAATACCGTTTGCAAGGTTTTCACCCACGCTGCCCATGCATTCGCGACCTCGCTGCACCAGGATAGAAAAGTGCGTTCATTTCGCGCAAGGGGGAGGGAAGGGGGGGTCAAAGCTTTGACTTCCCAGTTGGGGGTGCGTTTAATACGCTAATGAAAAAAAAAAGTCGAAATTTTGAGAGCCGACTTGGGGGGTGCGTTCATTGTGCGAGTAAATACGGTAGGTGTTTTGCAGTTATTTTTGTCAAGTAACGACTTGGAAACTTGAGTGACAGGCATCACAAGATCAAAAGTTGTAAGGCTCTCCACGTTCCCCCAACAGGTCTGAAAAAAGCTCCACAATGCACCATAAACACACTACAGTAAAAAATTACAGGGCAGCAAAATGATGGTCGAGGCAAATTTGTGGAACCACAGGGGTAATTGTCTATGAATGGGATAGCATTTATCGTTGCACACCGCCAAATTTAGCGGGGAAACTAAATTGGTGCACAGGTTGCGTCGCCAATTTTTCTGCAAAATTGAGCGGGAAAACCCTCCGCTAAATTTAGCGTCGCCCTCTAGGGCACTAAATGCTTGTCGTCCTTGAGATCACCCTAGAAATCGTCCTTGAGGTTGTCCTACACGTAATCCTACATGTCGTTTTTAACGTCGTCCTCTAGAATTCATCCTAGATGCCATCGAGGATGACAAAAAGACATCTAGAATTAACAACCTCTAGGACGACCTCAAGGACGAACTTATTGCCATTCTTGTCCAGCTCGCTTGCAGCTTTGCACCAATTGCATCTTCATAACGACCTCTAGAGTGATCTCAAGGATGACCTCTAGGACAATTTCTAAGACAATCTCAAGATGGCGTCTAGGGGACGACCTCTAGGACGCCGTCAAGGTCGTCAGGCCTTCGAAGGGATGTGAATGTGAAGGAGTGCGTACACGAGCTCCACATACGCCTGGCACAATGGGGTGCAAGCACAGTGAACTAAAATGGTCTACTGCGCATTGGAAGGCCAGAATGTGCATAGCTGACGAGTAGTACCTTAATATTGCTATCGCATTAAAATTCAATCACGTTTCTGTAATGTTACTTCGCTCATCATTAAATTTCACACATTTGTTGAAGGATCTTTCATCATTCACCTGAAGGGCTTCAGAGTCGGCAGGTTGTTCTACTTTCTTAAATCGGACTACTGCAAAGCATAAACCGCAAAAATAATCACATTCAGAAAATGGCATCAGGGTATGACAAAAATATGAGGTAACAGAACTGAACAAGTGCAACGCAAAAGTTAATATGCTTGTGCAGGAACAGTACTTTTCTGCAAGTGCCCCATAGAAAAGGGAATGCCCATATTATGAACACAACTATTTTGTTGGAACCTCCAGAAAAAAAAAAAAAACCTAGAGAAGGTTGGAACTGTGTTTACGCAAGAACACCACCTCCAATATTGTTCCTGACTGTACACCATTGAGGCTAACTGGGCAGAACCACATAGAATGTTCACCTGCTAGCCTAAGTTTTTAACATGGTATAGGAATGCCATTACATTTACGTCAGGTTTTTAGCAATTTAGCAAAATGAGCAAAATTTAGCTTCTGCTAAATTTTGCTCATTAAAGTTCAATGAGGAGATACACCAAGCTGCCAATTCAGAGTTGCGCTGATAAGGTGTCATGCTTTGTGTAACAAAGATTTCGCCTTTAATTGCAAGTCCTTTCTCGTCTTAAGTTTGGAGCATATTCATGTTTTGGTTTCACTCCAAAGACCACAAGATCCACTGCTAGAAGTGTGACGTGTGGCATTGTGCTCTGCCCATTGCAGGTCCCAATTACTAGGTGGCACTGTGTCATCAACATGGTCTAGGAATTCAAGCCATTCATTGTGACCCTCTTCAGACCGAGTACAGTTGACTGCTCTTGGTACCAAACTCTGGTGTTATAAAAACTTAGAAGATAACTGCTCTTCCTAAACTGCAGAGCAATGCTCCTGATCTGTTTGTTCAAGCTTACTTTGCACTTGCACGAAATGTTACAGCATAGCCGACAGAGGAAGAGGTGGAAAGCACGCAATGAACATGAGGAGGCCGACGCATTTCAAACTTTCTAGAAAGCAGCATTTATGCATTTTACCGTTGCTACACATCCATCGAAAACCTTCATCTAATTCATAATACAAACCTATAAATATGTCATATGTACACAACTGATCTACAGCTCTAAATAGAAATCTCACAACCTGTCTTTGAAAACATGGGCCACAACAACTGCTGCGACAACGGCATAGCACTTTTGTTTTTGTAACATGGCACTCAGGAAGGCCACTCAAATGTCATGGTATTCTGGCAGTGCACAGCGAACCTACAATATCAGTAAGATGGTCATTCTGGCTAAAGTCCTTCGATTAACGCTTTGCTAAGTAGCAACAGCAATTGATGTGCTGACGCACTCTACCACTGTTCCGGGACCGCGTTCTATTTAAAAAGAGCATGGCGCATTTGACTCGACCACACTCCCACGTAACGGTTGGGTACCTTGGCATTCAAAAGCCTGCCCACGTCCAGCGTATCTGGATTATCACGTGACATGACCCGCCGGAGTAACTCGAAACAGCTATGGTAGGTGAGTTAGGAAGAACATGGCGGACTGCGCACTAGCAGGCGGCAGGAGTGAGGAGGAGGACAACCTCACAAAAGCGTTCATCAAGGGGCATTAGTTATAACAAATGGTAACAGAACTGGAAGATGTTGGCTAAACGAGAGCTTTTACAACCACTAAAAAAGAATAATGTAAGATCTTGCAGGTGCTTCACCTGGGTTGCCAGACGTCTTCTGACATTTGAGCTACAAGCGAAACGATGAAGGGAGTGCTAATCGGCACAGCAGTTTACGGCTCTTTGGCACCTGGACAAAAGATGCTACCAAAAACATAAAACAGGGCATGAATGAACATTGCATGGTGCTCTAACAATATGGAGGGGGCCCAGAAATTTGCAACTCCACAGTTACCCAGGATAAACACTCCCACACTACCCACAACTTGAACAAAAATAAGGCACTGTTAATAAAGCCATGCAGTCGAATGGACTAACAAGTCTTTGGCATCTGTGTTGCTCAACTAATGCATCCGCTATTCTAGCATGCACGCTCACATTTTTTCGGCTGATATACATTCCCAAAAGTGCTCAGGCTACGAGCCAACTCGCCTGATTTAGAAAAGCTACCCAAGACGCCAAAGTCCAGAGGGAAGCAAACAAATAAGGAGGGGAGGCAAACAGACAAAAAGCCAAAAGATTTCAGCAAATGGGCGCAGAATACTTTGATATCTGTCTGCTCCACTTTCTTGATCAGGCACACATAGGGTCAGCAGCAATTCAAGTAAAGGCAGGACAACTTCTACAATGCAAGTCCTAGAAGACGCAACATTTCATTTAGAATCTTACTATATGTACCGCACAGTACCTATATACACGACTCTAAGCACATTTCCTTTGAAAATGCACAACCCAAAGATGGGGATGCTTGCATCTGAAGCCCATATTTACCTTTTCTCCTCTCTTGTGAACAGGAAGGTGGTTAGAATCACGTAAAAATATCGCCGGAGTAGTGGAAAGATAAGCTCCCTACCAAATGTCGACTCCGACGCTTTCCCACCGACCTCCTCTAAGATCCATAAAGGTTTCCTATGTAAGGACGGAGCTTTCTCCAAATATTTTGATTAACAAACTGCTCCTGGAGACACATGCCGTGCATGTTCACCGCGGAAGCTCTGCCATGGCCTCGAGTCGCTTCTCGCAGATGGTGCGAACACTCTCTTGACCGGCCTCTTCGGCCAACACCATGATCCGACGGACGTGGTCCGTCCGGTTTTGTCGGACCGCCAGCAAGTAGGCAGTCTTGAGGCGCCCGGCAAGCATGTAGCCCTCAATCTGCAAAAACAGGGCAAGAACCGCTCAGCTTTTCCTGTGGACATGGATTTCTCGAGTTCGGTGGCAGGTGGCAGAGACACTCTCACTGCCACCGCACTCCATATTGTTTTGAAGCAGCCGTAGGATGTTTCATGTCTCCGCAGCCTTTCCGACGTTGCTTCGTGTTTACCCTGGCTGCATGTAAGGTCTATGATTGCAGCATCCGTGGCAAGAGCAACAACGGGAACAGGTGCATCGACAAGCGCATACGAATCGAAGTTGTCCTTGGTGGCTTTGCCAACATGTTTTCACACACTCTTGTCGAGACTGCCGCAGCCATGGAGATCGTACGCCAGCTCAGCAAGCAAGCTCGCGAGAAAAACTTCGAAATACGCAAAGTAGTTGGCGATCTTTCATGTTCGGGCCGCAGGCACGCTTTCTCCTGCATGAGAAACTTCTCGAACCCATCCAATATGCCTTGCTTGTTCCGCAAAAAAGTAGTCAGTGTCGACGCCGGAATGTCTAATGTTGTGGTGATTTCGGACTTGGGCCGGTCACTTTTTTCAACCCCACAATCTAAGCAACTTCCCGTAAACACTCCCAATCCTGTCGTATGCCACATGCGTCTTATGCCTGTGGCATATGACGCATGTGTGCTTGTTGTATGCCGCAGGCGCGCCCGCACAGGCATGTACATTGGGGCGAAAAAATCTTATTGTTGGTCCAAGTCTTTTTTTCTTTTTCTTAAATTTGAAGTACAGTCGAACCTCGATATAACGAACTTCAATGTAACGAAATCCTCGATTTAACGAAGTATTTTATTTTTCATAATTTCTTGCCCATAGACCCCATGTATTTTTAGTCTCTATATAACGAAGTCTATTTTGCTGCTATTTCAATTTAACGAAGCGCCATTGCCATAGAAGGCAATAAATAAATAGACTCTAAAAAACAACTTCGCAAAAAAAATTGTGGTTAAAAAAAAAAAAATTATGCGCGAACGCGAGCGCTTTGATAGGTTACTTCACGGGGACAGGCCTTCCAACGTTGTTAGGCTGCCCGAGGATGCGGCGCCGGTAGCGCCGGCGAGGCGTGCGGCAAAGCGGATTCCGCGGGGCTGGCCAGAAAATGCCGAGCAAAAAGTTTGCACGGCATAACAGCATCACCACTGACATTCACTGATCATCATAGTCCACTGAACCGCGGGTAGCGCGGGAGCCAACTTCAGCGGGGGAGCGACGTGATGGCGCGACCGCACGGGCAGTGCCATCTAGGGGAAGACCGAGAAGACTGATTATCGTCTTGCGACCGTGATGTAAAGCGAAGGCGCAAGTAGCCACCATAGCGCAAGCACACTGTGGGCGCAAGTAAACAGTGCGGGCAAGAGTGCTGTGTAGGTTGGAAACATTGGCACCGCCTAAACTAAACAGCTTTATTTTTCAACCGGGCGGTTCACTCACGTGCTTGCGGGCATAAGGAAACGTAAAGTTCTTTCTTTGGATGAGAAAGCAAACGTTTTGGACGCCATCCTGAAGAAACTGCTGAGATCACGAGCACTCGGGAGGTGCTCGACGCAATGGACGTACTGAGGAGGTACAGAGCCGTAAATGTAGATATACGGCTCTGAGGAGGTACTGTACACGGCGTCGCATGGGCAGCAAGATGCCGTGCAAGCGCCCTGGGCGCTCGAACGCCGTATGACGCCGCTGCTACTGTCGGACAAGGCGCAAGCAAAGCTCGCGGACTACTTTGCCCCTAAATAAATGTCATTTTCGGTGAGTTTTCATACCCGTAAAATGTTTCGAAATTTTTTTTTTTTTTTTCGCATGCTAAAGCCAAATTTCGATTTAGCGAAATTTCAATGTAACGAAGTAAATTGCGAATTTTACTGACTTCGTTACATCGAGGTTTAACTGTACATTAATTTCATGCATTTTGCTATCCCTGTGAGCTTTGAATTATAGAGTTGACTATATAGAAAAACACTGGACCCATTCGGTCATAAAATGACACGGACAGGCATGTGTGTGTGGTGAAGAAATAGCCATCACCTTAGGTCTGATGCAGATAGCACAGTTGCAAAGTAGGCACAGTGTGTACAGTCAGCACGGAATGAAACCCAAACGCCAGAACGCATGGCCATCGACACAGGCTACTCCACCTGGAGAGCCCCGAGGACTAAGGAAAATGTGCCGGGGTGCAAGGGTGCAAGGGTCCTACTAAGACGTGCGCGACCCTCGCACGGCGCGTCTGGGACTTCCGCGTTTTGCCGGTGGCGCGCTGTAAGCGCCGTCACTCGGGGTGCTTTTGTGTCGCTGCACTGTCGCCCGGTCGATACCGGACGGCCGTTTGACCTGGCTATAGCTCTTTGTGATAGGCCCTGCTCAGTCAGGGTGATGCATCTATTCTGTTCCGGAATCGATACACCTGGCATATCGGTGGTTACCAAAGAGAGCGTGAGCGAGCAATTTCTCTCTTTTTGTTAGGATCGACTGCTAACCTTGCACGAAAACATGCGCATAGCTTATAAAAACCGAGGCATCCGCGTCAATCCGCTGCAGCGTTTTTTTTTTCTATAAAGAGTATGGTTGTGCCATAAACAAATTTTATTTCATGTCTATGATGTTTCACTATTTCTCAGAAACCGCGTATGCCACGTTGTTCCCTGGAGCCTCCGCATGGTTCCGGTGACACGTCATCAAGCACTACGGGTCTTTTGTGTATGAAATGCTTGCATTTTCATTTCGCCCTTGCGATACACAAAGCAATAATTAATGACAGCACTGAAGAGATATCGCTGGGCATCCAATACACAAAGCGATAAATAATGGGTGCGCTGGACAGATCGGACCAGAATCTACACAGAGTGACGTATTGTTCAATGCTCAAGTCACTACGAATTAAACAAAATGTTTTCTGAGTATGCGAGCTCGTAGACCTGCATCATGGCATTCGCAGCGAGGGATACGAGCCTGAAGAACAAGAGAGGTCAATGGACGAGCTCTGGGAGTGGACATATGGATGTGTTCATATATTATACACTAAATATTTGTAGTAGCAACCTTCAGTTGGGTGTCAGCACTCGTCATGTGTCCCAACTTGTTCTTCTGTCTCGTTATGTCGCGTTGTCTTGCTATAAGTAGTGCTAATTATAAAATTACGACACGCATAACAAACAATAAAAACTGTGCATGCCTGGAGGAGAAGACACCATGGGCCTCCTCCACTGGCGCGTGCGCAAGCAGCTTGCTGCTGCTCCTAGCACTGACCTTCTCGCGCCGCACGCAAGCCGCAGGTGTTGACCGGGCGACAGTGCGCACACAAAAGCACCCCGAGTGACGGCGCTTACTCGCGCCACCGGCGAAACGCGGAAGTCTCAGACGCGGCGCGCGAGGGTCGAGCACATTTTAGTAGGACCCACACTTTTGCGCCCGGGTGCATTTTCATTAGCTCTCAAGGGCCCTCCAGGTGGAGCAGCCTGTGTCGATGGCCACGCGTTCCGGTGTTCGGGTTTCATACCGCGCTGACTGTACATACCTGACCCTAGCAATGCTTTCAACGTTTCACATGTCGAAAATCATGATATAGGTCAGGGGTGGCCAAGCTGCGACTCGTGAGCCGCATGCGGCTCTTTGTGTATTAAAGTATGGCTCGCGGCTCCCTCCCCTCTCCCCCAAAACTTGCCCAAAACAAGAAATGGACCGCGGTTTAGATCGAAAGACAGTTTGCAGTTTGGTAGTATTGTGCTTCTCCTACCTTACGTAGAGTTGGACTGCTTTAGACACGGATAGATTGAAAGTAGTTCGAGTTTCGATTATTCCTCTGGACTAAAGTTTGTTCCCTTCCGGCTCTTGGAAGTTGCGGGTTTTGTTTGCGGCTCTTAGGCCGGGTCAGCCTGGCCACCCCTGATATAGGTTATGCCCAAAAATGAACCACCCCCTGCATCATAGAGAAATTCTGGGACATTGAATGTCAATGGAATGTCAGGTTCAGGTTTTGGTGAGGGCCTCTTTGGGGAGATGGTGGGCAACAGATTCAGGGAGGCGCTGAATTTGATAACACACAGCCTCTCCCCAAAAATAGTTGCAATGTTTTTCTCACCGGAAAAATGAACTATGCATAGACGAACCCTCAGTCTAGGCTCAAAATGTAGCATTAGCACTTCGGAATATGTTTCAAAGCTATCGTTTTCTTGTTCAAAAGCAGCAAGTGGTTTCTTTAAACTTTCAATGAAAATATGGAGCCTGTTCTTGGTAGCTGACGCCATTCATCCGAATGGGTTCGAGGACGTTGTTGGCCACCATTTTCCCATTTAAAATTTCTGAAAATGTCTTACTTTTGAATGAGATAATGGCAAGCTCTAAAACTTCCGCATCTGGCCCATACCACCAGCAGTACATTTGGCTGGAGACTTTCTTGTTCACCGCTTGTCCGGAGAAAGGTTCCAAGTTGGGATGAAGAAAGAGTGTTGGCACCACCGTGGCTGCCCTCTCGCCATGTGCCTCACACCCCGCAACTTGGCCCCGCGCTCACACCTTGCACGCCCACCGCATTGTCGCCAAAGTTGTCTTAGCGTCCAGAACCCCAACAAGGCTAAGCGTTCCGCGATGCATAGTTCATTTTTATGGCAAAAAAACATTTCTTTGGGGACACCTCGCATAATAGCCATATTTCATAAACACTGAGTCAATGTTGCAAGCAACATATTTCCCGGACCCATTTTGGTGAAACTGATGTCCCACCATAAAAACCTCGCAGATCGGAAAAACATACCTTATTGACGTCATTCTTGAGACATCGAATTAGAACATCCAGTTCCTTTTTCTGCAAAGAAAAAAGAAAAAAAAAAAGCAATTGTTTCTTTATTCACTAAAGTTGAGGGCAGCACAAACACCCCCGAAAAATATTAGAGTTGAGTTTTTGCAACTTTATCATTGTTTTCACATATAATTTTTGAAACTTTTATGAATTATGAAGTTCATAAAACTTAGGGGCACTAGAAAATTATTATCAAAATAAAAAAACTCGCTGAAGCGTATAGACGAGGAGCTATGAAGACATCGACTGCAGCTGTGAAAACTAGGGGTGTGCAAATACCGAATAGTAGTTTTCGAATCGAATCAAGAAAAAAAAGCAGAATATCGAATCGAATATCGAATAGTGATTTTATTTGTAGGAATTTTTCATTGCGAATGAGATTATTATATGTGCAGAGTATGCGCCTGGTGCAGAATATGCATCTTGTGCTGAACAAAAGCTAAAATGTAAAAAAAGTTCTGATGAAATAAAAGCAGTTGCTGTTGGACGTTGGGCACTAAAGATCCAATTTTATGGCGCAAACATAATCTATCTACCCTAAACGTCACCAAAAAAAAGTTACAGCCACGCGTGCCTTTTTTTTTAACGTTAAAAGCACAACCTAACACCGAGACTTTTTTTTTTTAATATTTGTATATCTCAGAAAAGGGGCATTTTGCGATATTTGGTATCCATTTTAAGGAAAAAAAAGGGCACCCATGATTTTATTTCACATAAATAAACAGATAGATGTTAAATCTGAGTAAACAAGCTTAAACAATATAATCCGAAGTAGGAAAACAAAATGTGGTTAGGTGGCACAAGTCACCGTCCAACTGTCTCTATGCATCCATTTTTCCGTTTATCTATCCTGTTTTAGAGAGCCTAGATTTAAAAGAGGGAGCAAGGGAAACTGAAACTGCTGAAACCACAAAGACGGCTCCTGCGCAATTAGTCGTAAGTGCGCATGTGTTGTATTATCGCGTAGGAACCGTAGGAAGAAGGCGAGCGCGAGCAACCGTAAGAGCCGTAAGAGCCTCGACGCCTGCCCGATCGACTCTTTCGTCTTTTCGTCACCATCTCGCAGTTCATAATTCAAACGCGGCTATTGAACGGTTGGAAACCCTCTCAAATCTAGGCACACTATTTTTCCGGTCCGTTTCGTTCCGAATCGAAATTTGCGGCTTGCGGTTCCAAAAGAACGACGGTGAGAACTCGGCTGGTTTCATCGGCGTGGTTATCGCGGTTTTCTTTCTGTGATCGTGCAGTCGGTGCAGTCGCCGATTTCTGTGAGTGCGGCAAGTGTGTTTTACATCGGCGCTTCAATTTGAAACGAGGGGCTTTATTCGTGAAAAGAATTAGGCATGGCGCGGAATTCCGGCTTCCCAACAATTCCTCTCTGGAAGTGGCGCAAACGGAGTGTTTCGGTTGTGATTGTGTCACGATCGTGAGTAAATCTGCGTGCTATAAAGTTTGTGGCGTTCATTACTTTTCTTTTTTCTAACCTGTGCGTTAGATGTTTGTGAAATGGTAGGACCAAGAGGTGTTTCTCGCATGGTCTGTATAACATCACGGCGCTTACATCGGGAGAAAAAACACTTTTTTTGTCAGTTCCGCGCCGACCGCGCGTGTTTGGCTGAATATATTGAATATTCGAGTGACCGAATACTAGGAATTCGATTCGCGAATTGAATTATTCGGGGACTTTCTATTCGATTCGAATTTGTATATTCGAGTATTCGCACACCCCTAGTGAAAACCTCTGGTAAGCTGAGTGTCTCTTTGCAAGGGCTCCCTTCTTGCGTGCTTTAGCAGCACGCATGAGACAAAGGGTTGTTTCGCATACTTCCTCTAGGCCGGATCACCAAGTGGAGCATTTTTAGGGAGTAAAGCATAACAGCTGATATTGCTTTCGGAAGGAGACAGGAATGAACTTTTAGACAGCATTTCATATGGACTTCCTTGGCTGTGGAAGGTATTCAAACAGAGGTTGCCTTTTTTAGGGGGAATTGCTATTGAAAATTAAGGGTCGACCTACGAGTTTGATCACAATTATTGAACTAACCAAGATATTTGTTGTATTTAAATTTTTCGCAAGTTCTATATACACTACCTAGATGGCGCCACTGTCCACCACTGCACCCGTGTTGTCAGGATCGTGTACCCTTGGTGCTTGACCCCCATGTTTGTTTTCCATTATATACAAGAGTACGCCATCAGCCACCATCCTTATCGGACGCCTCCTTCCTTCTGGGGCTCCCGCGCCCCCAGCCCCACCACTCACCACCTCGTCATGTGAGACCCCTCGTCTTTTCCACAGGCCCGCGTGGGCACTGCTCTTCTTTATTTTCACAGGAGACCGCCTTTTCTTTTTATTTACGACAATATTCGCATGCACGCTGGTGACAAGCGGCAAAGCTGGACACATTGTTTGGTGTGAGACTATGAGGATTGCAATCGTGAACAAAACAGGATTACGAGTTCTCAACTTGACAAAAAATCAAACTAGTGGAACAACAGAAGAGAAGGGGCACATCAGAAAAAGACATGGAAAGGTGAACAGACGATTATGAAAGCCTCAATTCCTCTGAGGACCACAAAGCCCAAGACTGTGCCTGCACAAAGGCACAGAGGCAAGGAAGAAGGATTCACGTCTCCAGCTCCTTGCTCGCACTACCGCGGCGGAAACGGGAAGCGCTCTAGTGAGGGTCCCCTGGTTCTCCTGCTCGGCAAGCACGGCGGAACTGCTCGCGATTACGGACCTATCTCCTAGATGCCAAGAAAATTCTGTCTTTTTCTGTCAGGCTCAAAGATGGTGTACTAATACTAATACAAAAACAACAGCGCCAGAGCTAACTCTGGCCACCTGGGCATACACTGCCGTGATTGTGGGTGCGAGGTTCACCTGCCATGTTGTACCATTTTAGGTAGGCACAGAAATCAACCAACTAGAAAAATTATTGAAGCTGAACAATAAAAACATTAGTACACCATCTTTAAACCTGACAGAAAAAGAACAAATTTTCTTGGCATCTAAGAGATAGGTTGATGTGACTCAGGAAATTCAGTTGTTCAAGAAGTAGAAGTACCGGGTGCCCCAAATAGCGGCCAGGCTCTTTAAATCAATCGCAAAATTCGGGTTCTTAACATATCGTGTTGCGATTTTGTGCAGCATTGCCCACAGATGGTGCATTTTTTTTTGTAAAATATGCAAAGACAGAATTTACCTGAGGAAAAAGTAAAGGAAGAAAAAGGCTTGACTCCTATGGAAACCCAGCGAAGCCACCGGTCTTCAAACCATAGTGCGCCCTACTGATTGAAAACCGGTGGCTTTGCTGCGTTTCCATAGGAGTCAAGCCTTTTTCTCTTCTTACTTTTTTTCTCAGGTAAGCTCGCTCTTCGCAAATTTTATAGAAAAAATGTACCACCGATGGGCAGCGCTGCACAATATCGTAACACGATATGTTAAGAACCCGAATTTTGCGATCGATTTAAAGAGCCTGGCCGCTATTTGGGACACCTGGTAAATAAAAATGAGTCAAGTCACCGCAGTTCGTTAGATTTTCCTTTCTTTTTCGTGTGTAAAGGCCCGTTCACACTCTTGCGACCGAGTATGACTGAGAGAGACGAGATCTCTTAAAATTTCTTAAATGTTTTTAAAATGAGGGAACACACTGGGCATTGTGGCGCCATCTATGCGGTGACCCTGGAACTGCATTTCACAAGAGCGAAGGTTTTGTGGGATTTCCGAGGTCAAATATGCGTAATATCCATAGAAAGGCTCGTTTATAACATTGACAAAAGTTTTTCGAGCCAAGAAAGAAAGGATAATGCGCGAGAAATAAAAAAAAATATGCCGGACCGCCGAGTTTACACTGCTTCCCAATAGATGGCACCAGTGTGTTCTCTGGTTTAAGAAGTTTTAAGGAACCCAGGTTTAAGAGGTCGCAAGAGTGTGAACGGGCCTTAAGAAGTGAGTGCATGGTGTGAGCGAACTTTTGCAGTAGTGCGCTGTAGTGTGTGTCGATTTGTAATAACTTGTACAATTCTCATTTTATCAACAACCATTCCCCACCTCGTCGCCGGTGCTTGCCAGGTGGCGCAGGGCGGCCAGCACCACGGCATCCGTGTCGTAGCGGCCCGGGAAGCCACAACTCTGGATGCAGCCCACCAGGCGCTCCACCTGCAGCGACCCCTTCCACGCCAGCAGAGAGCCCGCTGCACGCTCAAACACAGGCCCCCCCTCCAGGTGGTGCTCCTGAAAGGTGCCACCACGCTCAGAGCCGGTGGCAGCCACATGTCCGACTGGCGCGTGCACCCTTAAAAGGGGTCCCTCCATTTCTTCCTCGCGACGTCGTACGAGTGTCGTCGCTGGCTGCAATCCTGTCGCAGCAGCGGATGTGGCGGTCCCCTCTAGCTCGACAAATCTGGTAGCCAGGAGTTGGGACACCGCTACAACCTTGTCTCATGCTTTTGTTCACAACTTGTACGCCCAACCACCAGGAGTGCGACATCTAACAGCGTGACATTCCAGCTTTTGCACGTCGTCAGTCTTGGAATGAACGGGCACAATAGGACACTAAACGCACCGGTCAGAGTTTCAGGCACCGTACGAGCGCTTCTCAAACGTCTTACGGGGGCCATCATACTGCCTGGAACTCCCACTGGTGCGAGTCCGCCCATCTGTCCAAAGTGGTTCTCAAGCGGCACAAATGACCTCGCAAAAGTGGATGCCGCAACCCTGGCAGCTGAAGCTACAAGTCCCGGAAAAAAGTATGAGCATCTGCAAGTGTCGCCGTCGTCGCGAAGCGCCAACTTCCGACTGCCTTTCGTGGACTGTCGAGTTGAAGAGCGACCCGAACGGGCGTCTGTCACGTTTGCCACCCCCACTGCAATACTGCCGAGATGGCAACGTGACGCTTCTACGTCGCCACTGGGCTGCAATCGACCAATCACTTTTTAGGATGCACGCGCCAGTCGCACTACCCTAGCATTGCCATTGTCCCACTGACTCGACGTCACACGCAGTAGTGCTTTGAGATGCCAAGCAAAAGCACTCTTGCCAGGCGCTCTTTTACTAGTATGGTTGTCTGGTAATTGACACATTCCTCACCGCTCGATTTGCACGCACCATCGAGCGCAATCCACCACTCGTAATGACCTCCATTTAGTGTTGGGCTGTTTCCTTTCCTACATACTTCAAAGGGGAGTAAATATGGATGTAAATATAAATATGGCGATGGAGTAAATAAAAAGTGGCATAAAAGTGAATGTCAGCATTAAAGGGCAACTCCGCTTCTTTTCCAGTAGTGCAAAACTATACAGTTCTCTTCGTTATCATCTACAAAACCCCCATGGCAAATATTACGACGGAATTCCACCTAGAAGTTCATTAAAATCGCTGTCAAAGTTTGACAAGCACGAATCCGCTGGTTTTGGATGAGACGTGCGGGCCAGACAACACTGCCCGGCTGCATTTCCGCTTCCTCCAAATTCCTTCTCCCGGCATGTCCGTGACGTCATCAAGCATGTACAGCTTCTTTTTTTTTTTTTCGATTTTGTTTTCTTTCTTGGGGAGAGCACGGGTGGCGCCAGCGCCGTGAAAGACGCGAGTGACGCGCTCGGCTGGCCCGGCGCTCGACTATTGATACTACTGATAAGCCGATCGCCTCGTTGAGCGCGGCTTGTGTTACATCGCATACTTTTGAACACCAAGTAGAAGGAGGAGAGGGAAGCTGCTTTTGTAAGAATTTTGAGTGACAGGTTAATCTTCTATAATCTTCTGGGAGGAGAATAGCGACGCCTGTGCTAATCCAGGAGGCACAAAGGAGGATCCTGATAAGAGGGGAGCTTCTTCTTCCCCTTGTATATCACGTGGGTGTACATGCTTAGTGATGCCGAATATACAATGTTGTCCGTCTTTGCCACCGTTTTGGTTTCGGTTTGGGATCATGGCTAGAGTAAAATTACACGAAAAATATTTGATTTTTCGCGAAACAAAGGATTGGGGATTGTTTTTGAGTGCTTCAAAAAACGAAATCGGCCACTATCTCAAAATTTTTGAAATTAAGCGGAGTTGCCCTTTAACAGCTATCGTTGTCACTTTGCACGCTGTGGCAAAAAGCTCTTTATTGGTGTCCATTCGGGGATCACTTGGTCAAAGGTACTCAAGGGGGTTTAGATCATCAGACTAAACACCTTTGTAACTTTATAATCCAGTCCCCACGAGTCACAGCACAGTGTTGCTGTTTTTTGAGGGCATTTTTACTACGGGCTTTCTCGGAGAAAGATGTCATCTTCGCTTTCCACTGCGAGAACCTTTTGCGAGGACTTGTTTGCGAGATGCCAAAGACAATGAACATGATTTACGTTGAGCTGGATTGTCGACTCGCATTTTCTCCGATTTACGGCGAGGCGAGTTCTAAGTATGCCTCTGTCGTGATATAAACATATCTGTGTCTGCAAATAACTGCTAAGATAGCTGAGGAGTCTACAAAAATGCAGTTTGACAAGTGCTAGCCCGAGCCATTCATGACAGCTAGCCAAAAAGAACATAATGAGGGGACACTTTGCCAAAAAGAAATGCCAGTCCATTCTAAAAACATCTTTTTGAAGGTTCATGAAATTTCACTGCAGAATATGCAGAACCATCTTCAACAACCCTGGCATCCCACAAACAAGCCGCAGAAATAAACAAATTTTACTCACACTTTTCTCATATTCTAGTTTTTCCAAACGAGCAGATCTCTTATACCCCTGTCAGACTGGCACCTAAAATAACCTTTACGCCAAAGGACCTTTAGTGTAAATGTCATTTAAGCAGTGCCACATGGCAACTCAAATGGCATTTGACATAAAGGTCCTTTGCGTGAACCTGAGTTCCGCCCTTTACGGCTGCTAAAGGCGTACTCTTGTCAGCAGCGGTCTACCCTAAAGAAGCGAACTGAAATAAAGGATAGTACTCATATCTAAATTCCATGTTTTTGTATGTTTATAATTGAAAAAGAGTGTTTTACGTATATTCTGAGCAGACCTCGTTCTATTAATAGTTTTCTGTACTCACTGCCCCAGCTATCTGGTAGGCTTTGTCGTCCTGCTGTTCGCACTTCGGTTTTCCTCCTCTTGATTTTCCTTACAACCATAGTTACCTAGCTTTTACTTCTCTACTTTATATTTTATCATCCTTTAATAGTGTATTGCTAACTGTTTTCTGTACATACACATTTCTGTACCTCACTCTCGCGTCGTGCGATGTGCCGAACAACAGAGGAGCATCCACGACTAGGAAGGGGTCGTCGCGCTTCCATTGAAGTGCTGAGTCGACTTGGGCACTGATACGACTTTGGGAAAATCGGCTGGAGAATTTCTGACACGTGCGATGAAACTCAAGCGCGAGCACGACACCGAACCAAACAGGTCAAAAGCGTAGCAGAAGCACGGAAAGGAGCGGGAGCCCTCATCAGTGAGCAGGGAGCGCGCACACTCAGCAACGATCAAGGTTTGCCGCTAATTGCCAAAAAAAACACTTTGCTTGGGCTTAAAGTGGACTTTGTTGTAATCACACGACTAAACTCGTCATTTTGTCTTCTTTAATATTTTGTTTGCTTAAGAAAAACTTAAACAAAGTATTTACATCGTAAAAATATTATTTTTCTGGCGTGAACATGATTTATGCATTTGAACGGCATTTAGGTGCCCGTCAGACAGAGGTATTACGAGTGTTTTCTTTCTTAACTTGCAAGTTAAGAAAGAAAACACTCGTAAGAGATCTTCTCTTTTGGAAAATAATACCAAGTCAACTAAATCATACCAAGTCAACGAAACTCAACTTGTCTGAGCTCAACCTTGCTGAACTCGGCAGCGCCAATAATAATAAGGAATTATGAAAAGATGATTACTGGGTTCTTGCTGGCTAAACTGACACCAAGTTGATTAGTTTTGCCAAAGACATGATCTTTCCATAATTCCTTATTATTATTGGCACCGCCGATTCACCAAGGTTGAGCTAGGTTAAGTCAAGTTTTGTTGACTTGGTTTGATCAATGCTGGGTCAAGGAAAGCTAACTTTAGCTGGATTGAGCCGAGTTAGGTGGTGCTGTGTTTGGATGATCTGACTCAAGCTGGGCCAGGCTAGGCTGGCCCTGGCTGAGATAGGCTCGGGCAACATTAGACTTATGACAGTGTCTGGAGCATGGTTGCAGCTTGATGCATTCAGCGAAAAGTGAGGTACATCGTCATCAAAGCTCCAGTCCATTGCTCCCATAGGCCGGAGTAGTTGACATAAAATAACAAGTGCTCTTATGGCACAACAACTGTTGAAACAAATGAAAGGTAAGCCGGCTGTCTTTGGGGAAACTTACCTGGATGATCCGGAAGGCAGCACCAAAACCTTCCTCCACATTGCTGCCATTGATCAACACCTGCAGGTGTGAAAGTAAGAATGGAAACTGTATATATATACTGTAAACAACTTGATTTTCGCGTGGGCCTAATTTTTGAGAAAACCGCCTTTGATTTGCGAACAATAGGTCCCGCAAACAATTTAGGAAAAATTTCATCACCTTGAAACTGACACTGAGACACTGGAAAAACATGCATCCAAAAAGCATAACGATTTCATTATATGCGATATGTGAATAAGCTATGGAAAGTATGTTAAAATAGATAATTTAACAAGTCGGAATTCAGCTCCCTTCAAGAAGTTTATTTGGCCCCTTCAGACAATTCCTGCCAAAGTATAGCCAGTTCGGATCACGTCTTTACGGTTCCCGAGATTCGCATACGCTTCAATCAGCCACACTGCATGAACAAGCTTCATAACACTTGCTTGCAAGTCAATCTTAACGTCAGCTGCACTTTGTCGTTTCTCCACCACCTTTTGTACACATCCGGCATACCACTGGGTAAAGCAGTTCAACATGGTAGTCTTGAACACATTGTTAATGTTTGGGTCGGTCGGTTGCAGGAGTCATGTGTAGCTTTGCCAGGACAAAGACATACTCAATGTTGTTTGCAGCTAGTTTGTGCAGAAGACTCTGTACGATGTGCAGCGAAGATGTCAAAAATACAAAGTACATGTTGACTGGCATCACCCACACGACTCCTGCACGTTTCCACGCACAGAACAAGAACAGTGTCAAGAAATCGCAGCATTGTGGTTTTGTTGCTCCAGTGGTTGTCACTGTGCCACACGCCCCAGTCATATGGAAGCTTCACCTTGGCATGGCACCTGTCTGCTTTGCCCGCATATATCACTTGAGGTGGGAAGAGTTAGCCAGAAAGCGTCATGGTCATCAAAACGGTGATTTCCCTTTAGCCGTTTAAGCCAACCACCCTAACTTGCTTGGAGCCTTGGGCCTCTATCGTCCACTCGCTGGCCATAACCAGCTTGACACCTGTTTGGCCCCAATTGAGCACCTAGTCGTCGGGAATACTGAAGTAATTTCTCTTCTCGTCGATAGTATGCAGGAACTTCTTTTTGGAACCCTCGAAATCATTTGGAAAATTTCGCGCAGTCTTTGTGGCCTTCCGTTTGACAAATCCAATCCTGTGCAGGAAGTACGTTGAGAATGAGAGTCCCACCAAACTCTGGCGAGAGTGTGGGCTTGGTCGCCCGCACAATGCCCAGTGCAGCAGCGATGCAAATCCATGGTGTTTACAATCCTGCCCGCTTCTCTGAGCTCCACAATGTGTGCCTATATGTCATCATCAAAGTTTCCAAGCACAGGCTTGACACCTCGAAGTCTACCAGGTAAGCTAGCCAGCTCTTTCGAATGGCAGGACTTGCAGGCTTGGATATAGGCGGTCTTCATCCCCCTGACGGTGCTCTCGTTGAGAATTGCTTTTCTCTTCCATCTGAAAATTTTCTTACTGCAGCAATTGTCCCATTCTCCACAGCATAGTTTCCAACCTTAGATTTAAGTTTGTCATTGTAAGCAGAGTAGGGCCCTCGTTTCTGCTTTCGGGAGTCCACGGAGGTAGAAACAGCAATAACACTTTGATTTGCCGACGCAAAAGAATGTTTATCACGTGTGGTCTTGCATACCTGTGGATTAGACAGTCCCGGCGTATGATGATCTTCTGCATTCTCGACCACTGTCTTGAAGTAACGTAGTAACGACATCGCGGGACAGCAGACTGACGGGCACAAGAAAACGTACCGCACTGATACAGAGTACAGAGCGTGCTGGTGTCGATGGCCACGGTACTCAGCCAAGTTTGATTGGCCCCTAAACCTACTCTGAGCCGGTTTATGTACAATAGTTGTACCCCATCGCAATTTGTCGCTGGCCTTCCATGCAGAATGTGTGACCTCGAAAAGTGATCTCGAGAAAGGTTCACGTCAAAGAAAACCGACGTGAACACTAACCCGGCCTTTGTCGGCGTCTCGAAGCTGCGGGTGACGGCGGTGACTTTTGGACTATTAGTCATGCAACCTACCGCCGTCTTCCCTTTCCTAGATGTTTCCACGAAAAGTTTAGTATATGAATGGCACCAAACAAGTCGGTATATTAGCCACTGCTGCAGTCGTGAGCAAGGAACATGCGCTGCAGAAGGTTCCTGCAGTACAGCTCCCAGTCGTTTCAATAATGCCTTGGTCCATGGGCTGCAATACCGCAGTTGTGTTGGGTGGAAGAAACTCCAAAGTGATGATTATAATGCAATTAAATGCAAAGGTGCAAGCGAGCTGGACAAGAATCCGCCAGGTCCGAGTCCGGACCAGGCGGATTTCTTCGGTCGCGCACCAATCACCTAGCTGTGTTTGGAGATTTCCGTTTGTCCTTTGTCCCTCTTGTTCCCCTTCTCCAGGAATTATTTTCGTGATCCAAAGTGATGGCTTGCAGGTTTTCGATTTTCCACCGGCTGGGGCAGTTGTCAACAAAGAATAGCACCTTGCACTGCTCCTTCCCGAACAGTACCCCTTCCAAGATGGGCATGTCATAATGTGCCGTCGACCTTTCTTGGTCTACGTTAGGATCCTTGCTCCCTTCCCCTCATTTCTCCGGTTCATGTTCCAAAGCCTGCTGCGACTTATTCCTAATTTTTCGACGAGATACACAACAGCAAGACTCCTTCTGGCCGCCGTCTTTCCTTCTGCATGATTTCAAGTCGTGCCCCTTGCGACGACAGTGCAGGCAGAAGGGTTGTTGTGTCGTCGAACGGCACTCTGAGGCTTTATGTCCCGTCTTATTACAAACGAAATATTTAATCCGAGGTTTGTTGAAAAAATTACCGTCCTTCGCTTTTGTGTCCCCCACCTCGTACTTTTCGCGAAATATGAGTAGGTTTCCCTGTTGCTGTGCTTCAAGAAAGTTGTCTGCCACTTCTGCCATCTCGCTGAGCGTCTTGCATTTCCTCTCTCAGAGAAACAGAGCTAGCGGGCTGTGACAGTTGTTAAGAAACTGTTCGGCAACTACTAGGTCCCGTAGATCTTTGAAGTTAGCTGCAGTGCCGGATGTCTCCACCCAGCGGTCAAAAAAAAAACAGAAATTCAGGCAGTGTACTGTTTTCCAGTTTCACCCTCCTGGGGCTTACTCTCGCGGAATTTTTCACAATACCCCTCCCCCGTGAAACGAGAACGCTGCAACAATGCCAGCTTTGCTCTCTTAAAATCCATAGAATCCTCCGGGGACAGCCTGCCGAACACCTTCAGAGCTTCACCACCGAGGCACATACTAAATGCCGTAGTCCACTTTTTTCTTGGCCAATTATAGCCAGTGGCGATGTTTTTGAAGCGCTTCAAATACGTGTCCAAGTCATCCCGTCTCTCATCAAATGAGGGGATCATCCTGTGGGGGTTAATGACCATGGAGAGACCCGGATTTTTCCAAGGTCTTCAATCAAGTGCCACATAATCGTCTTCTCTCTTTTGGTGCATGGCCTTGACACTGCCATCATCTCCTGGATTCATGATTTTCTCACTTCCCAAGTATACCTACTTCAGAACACCTATAGCAGTCCTAAATCACCCCTTGTGTTCCCTAGGGCACAGGACTTTCCCTGCTTTTATTATATGCATAAACAACCTTTCGCATAGCATCAGTTAAAAAATCGGACTGTTGGCCGATGTCATTTACCATCCGGTCTCAAATCTCTTCAATCATCTTACTTTACAAAATGCCCTAACATGATACTTGCAATAACCACGAAAAAAGCATATCATTTACACGGAAAAAATTCACTATCCTTTATCCATACTCTCTAAGCGATGTTACGAAAGTACTTTGGTGTTCATTTGGTTCTTTCAATTTCATAGATTCACAATATTGATATTGTTATCTGAAGCAATACTTGGATACTTAAAACACAACTCTCTCACCTGAGAAAACTGGACTACATAGGATTTGTCTGCCCAAAAATAGAATATGCATTGTCCATCTGGCATCCTCCACAAGTCTACTTCGCCGATAACATTAAAGCAATCCTAAGCCAAGCAGCTCGATTTATACCATCCAGATATTCCTACGGCGTCAGTGTAACACAACTTAAACAAACCCTAAAATTTCCTTCCTATCTGACCGCAGACTAACTTCTCGAATGTGTCTCATACGTAAATTTTATCACTAAAACACAAGTATATACCTATGACACCCTTGTTTTCCTCCAGATATTATATCATCTCGCCTCAATCACAGTCGCTGCATCAAACGTATAACACTGGTTTTTAATACCTCATTTTTTCCACAGGTTGTAACCATCTGGAACTCCGTCCCCGAGAAAATAGTACTTATTTCAGACCTATCCATTTTCTGCCAGTCAGTCACCTTACACCACTGCTAACCACCACTGCTATACCAGATGGTCACTGTATGCGGTTTTTACAGTGTAGACCGCATATAACGTATGTCGCGGGAGTCGCGAAAATCCGCACTATAAGCGGTACCGCACTATAACCAAAACATCAATTTTTCAGGCCAAAATACATGCCATCAGACAACTTACCTTTGTAAAAGAATTTATTTTATGTTAGATGAAAAATAAAGCTTCGTTTGAGGAAAGTCGTTATTTCACCAAACTAGTACACTTCTCTCGCTTCTCTCTCAAGTGTGTCACACATTTTGAAAGAAATAAGCGACTTTTGACTGACGCAGCCTTTTAAGGGCGTAGCGGGTTGCGGATGGACGTTGCGAGCGTTCAGGATTGCTAACCCTAATCACTTTTCTCCGGTGATGAAAACGCGTGAAAATTCGCATCCGTTATATGGTACGCGCCAGTAATACCTTCATTTTGAGCACAGGCATGAAATGCTTCAAATAAGAAATCCGGGCTATGTTCGAAAACACACATGCTTAGAAATCACCACTGTAGTCGAAGTAAACAAACATGACGACATGGGCGTTTCTGCCGTTTTGGGAGTGCCGCCACGACATCGCCGCACGAGTCGGTGGATCTTCCCTTCTAGTACGTGCTGGGTTATCATAGCGACACACAACGAAAATTCACAATCAAGGATAGCGCTTTTACGCGGAACAATGAGCTTCCACCACGCTATGCTAGCCACCATAACCACGCCGTCTACGTCGACTGCCCTGCATCTTGCCCCGCGAGTGCCGCTTGCGGCTAGCGCCGTTATCTAGTGTCGCACAAGGAAGCGTGCTTGCTGCGTTGGTCGGTCGGCGGGCTGTTCCAGAAACCGCACTATAACCGGTATTTCCCTTTGCGCGCCTGCATCTTAAGCGGTATGCAATTACATGGAGTTCTATGGGAGGCGAACCGGTGGTTTAAAAAAGCCGCATTATACCCTGTCCTGCACTATAAGCGGTTACATTGTAAGTGGTCTATACTGTATTACTATTGTTTCTACTTTTGCTTTACTTTGCTTTTTTGTGTTTCAAGTCGTATCATGTTCGCTCACATCCCCCTTATGTAAGTCCCCATCGGACCCTTAAGAAGAAATAAATGAGTGAACTTGAACTTCAAATGGGTTCTCTGTTCTTATGCAAGCTGTGTCAATCTGGTGAAAGGGGCTTTTGAAATAGCATCATTGCACTTTAGGTAACCGATGGTTTGGTTATGTGACAGGCTCATGTTCTGTCTAGGATGGGCACTACCGGTGAAGCAAGCATAAAAAGTGGTGCCTTAAAGTGACCCTACCAGGCAGGCCAAGTCCATCTTGTCCGACGTGTCTCCAAAGAGAGTGGGTGGCCGCCAGTCACTAGGAGCATCCACAGGTCGCAACAGGACACCCTGGTCAAGCTCTCGGGCATTCAGGAAGCGCGTCACATCCATCTGTAGGTTCACTATGCTCACGTTCCTGCAGAAACCGGAAACACATTTGGGTCATCCATTTGTAACACTGATGTTCGTCAACTGCAGAGTTATTTGGGGCTGCTTAATTTTTACGGATGGTTTCTACCGAGTTTGTTATCAGTTTTACATCCTTTACACCTATTGCTCAAGAAGGAAGCATTGTGGCAGTGGGGAGCAAAGCAAAGGGCAACGTTTGAATCAAGTAAAAAGTTGCTGGCATCGGCTTAAGTTTTCGTTTATTATGATGCAAGTTGCCTTTATTGTTGCTCTGCAATGCGTCACCATATGGGACTGGGGCAGTACTGGTGCACCGAGTGGGGTCTGGAGCAGAGCGACCTGTGGCATTTGCATCATGTCAGTTAACAGCAGCCAAGAACTATAGTCAGCTGCACAAGGAGGCTTTGGCTGGGATTTTCGGAATGCTCAAGTTACACCAGTTTGTGTGGGGCCGGCAAATGGGAGTGTTTGTGGACCAGAAGTCGTTGTGTCTGATCGGTCAGGACTGTCGCGTTCCTCCACAGAGTTTGCCTCGAGTGCTGCGATGGATATTGACACCGAGTGGACACAACTACAAGTTGTCTTACAGGCCAGGAGCCAGCTTATGCAATGATGATGCACTGAGTTGGCTGCCATTTCCGTTCACATCGGTGAAGGAGGCAAAAGTTCAGGATGTCTTCATGCTGGAGAAAGCCTATCCAAGTGTCCAGTCAGCAGCGGTCGTGGAGGCGGCAACTGGTGGAGATCCGGTGCTGGCTCCACTGTGCGACGCCTTGTGGTCTGGTGGTCACCCACCATCTGGACCTGATAGGCGACCCTTTGCAAACCGTTTGGAAGGCTTCTCTGTTCTGGAGGGCTATGCACTGCAGGGAAGTCGTGTGGTTGTGCCAGCATCGCTGCAGATGGCATTTTTGGATCTGCTGCACAAGAGCCACCCGGGGGTGGGTGAGATGAAGCTGGTGGGCAGAAGTCGTGTATGGTAGCCGATGAGGACATCGTGACCAGTCTGGGCACATGTGCAGTCTTTCAGGTATATCACTATTGCTCCCAGGGTTGTGCAGCAAACACCGTGGCCATTTCCTGAGCAGCCTTGGTCTCGGCTCCACATGGATTTTGGGGGTCCCATTCGGGGGGGGGGGGGGGGGGGGGGAGGTGTACTTTTTGGTAGTGGTGGATGCTTACTCCGAGTGAGTGGAGGTAGTCCGTGTGCCATCCCCTTCACCAGAGGCTACAGTTTCATGCCTGCAGTCGATTTTTGCAACCCATGGACTGCTAGATGCGGTTGTGAGCAACAACAATCATGCATTCACAAGCGTTCTGTATAAGACGTTTCTGGCCCATAATGGAGAGCGGCAGATTCTGTTTCCTCCATATCATCGAGCATCCAACGGTGCTGCCAAGAGAGCAGTCCAGACAGTGAAAGAAAAGCTGAAGACCCAACCAGGAAATTTTGAGTTTCGGACTGCTAGGTTTGCGTACCATACCAGTGCTCCGGCCTTACAGGACGCTCTCCAGCAGAACTGCTCATGGGTTGGCACCTGAAAACTGCATAGAACCTGCTACAACTGGATCTTTGAAGCAAGGTCCAGAGGTCAGATTCAAGAAACCATCATACGCCAAAAATGTGCGTACGACAAAGCGAAAAAATTTGTATTCGTGAAACGAATTATTGCAGGTTTTGTGCATGTCATAATAAAATCCCACGACAGCTCCAGAGCTGTCTTACGCACTTTTTCACAATCAAATTAACATGGCCGAAAGCAACACTCAGTTACTTGGTTGCAACGACCAACCAACATTTATTTTTCTACATGCTCTTCTCGCCCGTCCCAACTTCAAGCAGCAAGAAAAAAGAAAGAAGTACTAAAACCGACCATGACGGACATGAACGCGCTGGATCCACAAGCATCCGAGAAAAGCTACAATGGCAACGATATCACTGACCGAGCGACCGCTAGCGCTAACTCAGGGAGCTCGACAGAATGCCTAGCAAGGCACTGCGATCTGCTCCGACGCAACGTTGCTCCGATTGTCCCTGGCCAGGACCGTCTGCACAGGACTGCCTGGCTTGCTGAATAAAATATGCCAGCAACACCCTCGTAGACTTTTCCTGTGTGAATAGTTTGATCGTTGACCTCAATTTTAGATTAAGCAGTAAATCTCTTGCCCTTCATCCCCTTGTTTTCCGAGGCAGCGGTGACAAATGCTGTCATCGAAAAGGGACTCTCATTGGTTCCATCTCCTTGTTTTGTGTCATATAGAGCTCAAACAAACCATCGCAATATATGGTACGTACAGCTTTGGTATTAGTATGCCATTTTTATTCCAACACGACGGTAAACGTCAACACTGTCAAGATAGAACAGTTTGTGGGAGCTACACGATACTGGTCTAACGGTTCAACCTTCCTCTGCCGAGTGTCACGTCAGCATCGAGTTGCCATCGGAAAAAATTGGTCCCGAAGCGCTTACCACGACGTGGTCCAACAGCGCGAATCTATAGCACTTCGATCAAACGCGCACGTCTGCTCCGTATGTGAACAGGTATTTACGTAGCTCCTGCCGACACTCTCGTAGTTCAAACGTATCTTCTTGGACGTTGGCTCGCTCCTGCATCTCAGAAGACGCGTAAAACGCCGCGGGAATTTGTTTCTATCTACACCGCTTCGCAAACTACCGGCACGAGCAGTCTTCTTTTAGCAATGATGACAGTTGTGTTGACTTTATAGTGATCGAGTTCGTAGCTGTCGATGAGGGCGGTTATCCCGGCCTTGGCATTCGGGCCCGTTTAAATAGTGTTACCGTCGACATTTCACTGCACGGACATCAACAGATGCTCCGAACTGCCAAGCTCTCAGACTGGTTGTTCATGTTGCCGAAGAGGCCGGCGCCATAGCAATAGCCCGCTCTCACGAGGATCGGGAGCTTGAGGGACACCAGAGGTTCTAGTTTTTCCGTACGAGAACATCGCTTTTCTCCTCTCACTTAAGAATGCATTCGTAAATACCGATTTCTCCTCTTCTTACGATGTTCTTAACTTACGAACTTGCTAGCTAAGTTGTCGTAACCTAAATTGCTCTTCGTGAATCTGGTCTTAGTTTCGTCAGCTGCAGCAAAAGGTACTCGGTCACTGGTCAGCCAGGAGGGAACTAGTGCCACAACTAGGGGATCCTGTTTGGGCAAGGATCTTTCGGCCAAGTCCCTGTTGGGTGCCCGCGTTTGTCGGCAGGGCTACCAGTGCATCGTCAACCAATGTGTGGCTGCCAGATGGTACAGTGTGGGACCGCCATGGAGACCACATGCTGCATCGGGTCAGCGAGGCAGAAGTTCAGCCCACAACAGAGGCTGAGGTCGTGGGGCCGCGGTGGCTCCTTGGATGCCTAACGTGCAGGAAGGTGACTTCGCTCCGGGGTTGTCAACAGGGCCAGTGGCGTCCAACAGCCATGCAGACAGCGTTCTCCCAGCATTGCAATGCTACCCCAAACTTTGGTACTCCAAAGATCAACCAGAGAGAGACGAGCCGTGCAGAGGTTTTCTCCTTAACATCAGAACTTCGGGGAAAAGGGATATTGCAGCCGGCAGCTACCACTGCGCACCTTGGTAGGCACCAGGGGGCACATTGATCGCCCTTCCCATATAAAGCTGCATGAGGCACTACTGGCCACTGACCTTTAGGTTGTTGGCTCAACTGGCCCACACGTTCAGTCAAAATAAACATGTTTTGTTGCTCATAACAAGCTTTCCTTGCCAAAAACCACAGTGTGCAGCAGCCATAACAATCAAACGGATTGTCCGTGAAGTGGAGCTCGAACAACCTACTCGTCCAAGTAACGGCAACTGGCTTTTGCTTCTTCTTCAGCTTGCTTCAGCCCTTGTTGCTGCGTGGTGGTACATGAAGCAAGCAAGAGACTTCTTAGTACATGCACTCTGCTGTCATAAGAGCAGTTGCAGACTCCTGCACTGCAGGCACGACGCTCCGTCGCGCTAAGGCTGTCCTGGGTTCCCGGGTTTTAGACTTCCTTGAGCACTTCCATTTTAGCCCTATGTTGCCTAACCAAAACACTCTCCACAATGTCCATTATAGTGTACAATTCTGAACCGCTTCATTGCATCAATGCCATCCCTTGGCTGCCTTTTTAAAAGAGATGAGCATTAAAATGTTAACTCCAACCATAGGCTCTCGAGCGAATAGAATTATTCTCAAATTAACAACAAAAACATTTGCAGCAACCTCCAAGGTCCTCTAATGCACAAAGTATTTAAGGAGCGATTGTTTAAATGTGTTTGGAAGACATTCAGTCGTTTCCGAAAATCAAGAACCTATGTTTTTATTAATTTTCCCACTAAATTTGCCAGGAAAACTGACTCGGTGCCTGTCACCCTACATCAATTTCACTGCCAAATCTAGAGGGGAAATTTATCTGGTGCATAGTCCCATAACTTCGGGTTACCTGACATACAACTTCACTGTCGAGTCTACCAAGAAAACTGAAGTAGTGTGTAGGTCCCGTGACATCAATTTACCCGCTAAATTTAGCAGGGAAACTGAATCGGTGCATAGGTCGCGCAACGTCAATATCCCCAATAAATTTAGCGTCGAGTCTGATTTTACGTATAGGCCACATGACGTTAATGTAGCACAAAATGTATGGACATACAAAATTTTGAAATTTTGTTAAGGGGGGACACTACCCAGAAAAAACAATTTCTGAAAAAAAAAGTTGATTTTGAAAAATGTCATATTTACATCCATCAACATCTAGAGAGTATTGCCAGAAAGTTTCATTAGTTTACACTGCATAGTTAATTTTTTATAAATTATTTTCGGTCCACTGATGCTCAAGAAAAGGTAGAGGTTGGAGCACTTTGAACGCATTTTTCTCCATTCCACTTTTTGGCATAAATTTCACTTTAGGAAAACTATTGTTTTGTTATTACGCAAATTGGATTTATTTTTATGAGTGTTTCTGGGGTGAAATTTTAAGGGGAAGATAACTATGAGCTTGTATTTTTTATTTTTGTCATTTTTCATGCTCAAGAACTAAAAGTTTGGACAAAGGATGGAAATCTAAAAAACTGTATTTGTGTTAATGTGGCTTTTTTGTCATGAAAGATGGTATAACATAGAAATATAGCTCCATAGTTATATGCTCTGAACTGTCCTAATGCAATGTAACACATGAAAACAACAAATTTATAAGTAATTTCAAAACAATAGTTTTCCTAAGCAGACATGCCCACTTTCGTCTTTGAACGTTTGCAATTTTTTTGTACTTCACCCAAGTTAACAAAAATTGGCAGAAATGTTACCAACATCAACAGAAACAAGCCCTGTAAATATAATTTAAATCAAACAAGTGGTTCAAAAATTTACTTTTCTGGGTAGTGTCCCCCCTTAAAAAAACATGCTTTAAAAAGTTGCATGGATGATTAAAAATCAAAAACAGTGCAAAGACAGAAACAAGAACGAGAAGGTAGACAAACAAGGCGCTGACAACAAATAAAGTTTACTTCTTTTTTGCAAACAAAACTGAATACATAATTGATTGATGATCCCTTTTGGGTGGAGAACTATGTATGATCAGATAATAGATTTTTTGAAAGACCACCCAGACCAAAGCTTGAAGGCTTGCTCGATAGACATTAAAGATTTTTATTATTTGATTCCCCATAAAGAGCTGTTGGCATCTGTTGAAGACTGTATTGACAATCGTGGTACCGTGGCCTCTCAAAAAAAGTCTGGACTTAGTGCGAATCAATTTCTAGAGCTTTAATCTTTTTACATCAAGTTGACGTGCGCAACCTGGCATGACTGTTTTTATTCAGAGAAATGGCGTTTGCATAGGGTCGTGCATAGCCCCAATACTTAGCAATATATTTCTTGCATTCCACGATAGAGTCCTGTTAGGCAAGCTGGAAGGGACCAAGGTGGAAAACTTTTTTAGATTCGTAGATGACTATATTTGGTGCTCCTAGATTGTGGCAAGGAAGGTTTGGACACTGCTGTGTCGTTTGTCCTTTCAACGTTCAAAGAGTGTCTGAAACCGCTGTTGCTGATGCGTGAAGTACCTGTAAGCGGGCCCTTTAGGTTTCTGGATCTGAGCCTTCTGCTTGGTCATGGCTATGTGTGTTGGACATATGAGCCGAGGGCTAAGAAACCCATCTTGCCTTTTTCCTCAGCTCATTCCAAACTTGTGAAAAAGGAAATTACCGTATTTATTTGAATATATAAGTAAACCTTTTTTCTTCGGAAATGTTGTCAAAAATTAAGGGTCGACCCGACCTATAATCGTGACTGAAGAATTTTGACCTACATTCGCGACCAAATTTTGCGACCCAACCGAGGGCGTGGAGCTATCGAATCACCGAGCCCGTGTTGCCGTAGAGCCGCGCCGCTTCTTGTTTCAAAAAGCTTTTGGTGCATGAAAACCGAAACAGCAGCAACCGACAGTTGCCCCCCCACCCCCTCGTCCTTCCCGCGACTCGCGGTGTTGCTCTCGTATTTGTATTTGGGCTTTTGTCGCTTCGCCCGTCTCCACCTTCTTTCTTCTTGTCTTCATTTTGCAGCGGTGTCAATGAGCTATCGTCGCGAATTTGCAAGGATGCCTACCAAGCTGACGAAGCTCCGGACGACGATGACATGCCCGGAAGTTCTGACGATGATTAAGTTTTTGGCATCGCCCTGCGATTTAGCCGAGAGTGCTGTAAATAAAGTTTTGTTTCTTTCTTTTGCCCTAAATTTCCCCCGTTCCTAAAAAAAAAAAAAAAATAGGTCGACCTATATTTGAATTATATTTTTTTTTTATTCTCGGTGGGTTCAATAAATAGGGGTCGACCTATTTTCGTGGTCGACCTATTTTCGGGTAAATACGGTATTAACCTTTGTTTTCGAAATGCCCTGTTCAAATCCTACCCCCCCTACCCCCCCTCCCCCTCCCCCTCCCCCCCCCAGGGTAAAAGAGCTTCGACACACAAGCCCCAAGGCTCAGAGAAGCGGTATATCCATCTTACCCGTTGATGACAGTTGCTAAGAACCTACTTAAGAAAGGATGTGAGGAAAAGAGCCAGCAGGCTTACAGGAACAAAAAATAGCGGTTTTACCTTACCTGCATAAGGCTCTCATAAGCTAAAGAAAGTTGGCCGACGGGATGATGGTGATGTAGTTATTTTAGCTCTGGAAAAGCTGTCTGGGCTGTGCAGAAAGGTGAACTCCAATTCTAAAGAAAGGCAGGGATGCACCAAAAAACACCATGACCGATTTGTGAACAATGTGGAGTGAGCAGTGTACACCATTCTGGTTGTGCGGCAGGAAATATGTCGAGGGAGATACGTCGAGCAAACAGGCCGTTGCCTGAATGATTGCTTGCCACAGCATAAGTACAACGTTTACAGGTTGTGTCGGGTCGACTTGGCCTGCATCGCTGAGACTGTCGTTGCACTCCTGTCTTCGACAAGTGAGAAGTGATTAGAAAGAACGAAGTTAAACTTACTCGGGAAATTATTGAAGCGCTGGAAATTGGAAGATTGGGGGAAAACTGTGTCAGCGCTCCATCGCCATCTGATAAAAAAATGTTGCCTTTTAGATGCACGGTAACAGCGAGTGATGGTGGCTCAAGGAGCATGTGGCATCCACGTCCTTATTTTTTCTCGGTTTGTTTGTTTTGACGTTGCAGTCTTTATACTCTATGTTAGAAGAATAAACTTCAGTTGCAATCAGCGCCTCGTTCGTACGCCTTCCCGTTCTTGTCTGTGTCTTTGCACTGTTTTTAGTTTTTAACCATGAAATACCAACTAATGTCTACGTTGTGTGGAGGCTGAATGCCTAGCGAGGTGCGCACCTGTTCACTTCCTTTGGCGCCATGGCAAGCACCTGCGTTCCTGGCCAGAGCGCCCGGTGTCCTTCCCACGTGTTATACTTGGCCAGGTAAGTCTCCAGGTGGCTTCGAGCCTCCGCCAGGTGGCGCAGGCGTCCGTGTAGCTCGCAGTAGCTGCTTGTCGGGGGACGCTCGAAGAACTGGATGCTCGTCACCGCAGCTCGCAGGTAGTCCTGGGAATCCAGTGTGTTGTGCGTTGCTTCCAAGCACTTAAAGGTGCGGAGCTACCCAAACATATTTTCCCAAGGCCCAGCATGCTGTAAACTCAGAAAAGCAATTGAATGTCAGTTAAAGGTCAAAACCAACATTAAGATTTTACCACGTGTTGTATAACTTACAGGTTGAGCTGGTAGGCTAAAAACATTGTAACGACTTTGGTTTTCCCCAGCATTCATTTCACACCATCGAAATTTTTGAACCATTGGGAACGAGTTGCATGGCAACGACGTTTTCAGTGTTGCCAGTCAAACCCCTCGGTCAATCCAGACAACACTGTGCTGTTTTGTCTTTCTGAAAAAAAATTTTCCCGTTTTTCTGAGGCATCTGAATGGACATAAGACAACTAGCGCAATTAGCCATTTGGTTGCCTTGAGACCGCATTTGAAACTTAATAGCTTGGTGAAAAAATGTTATTGTGACTCGCAATTTGGATTTAGACATGTCTATTATGTGTTGAAGCGACTTTCAGGCAAATCAACGACTGAAATAAGAGTCAAAACGCAGCCATCTCAAGGTTTTATTTCTTAATTATAAAATCAGTGCCTACGAGGTCGGAGCTCAGTTTAAGGGGGATTCACTCGCTCGTCACTCAATGGGCCCATTTTGCCACACGAACCTGGAATGCACCAGAGCATTATTTATTTTTGAGGCTCATTATGAATATGTAACGAAGGTTGTACAATGCTTAGATTTTCCCCTGAGCGTGCTGGAGATTTTTAATAAAATCCAGAATTATGACCGTTTTGACTGTTTTGAGCACATTGTAAGACAATTTCCAAATTAAAATAACATAGCTAGAAGATAAATAATGGTAGTACCTATACTAGAGATGTCACCTATCTTAACTTAAAGACCCTGACAGGAAGACTAAATGTCTCGGTATCAATAGTTATTAAAAGCAAGGACATTTCCTTGGCCAACCGGCACCGCGGAAGGTGCAACCTTTGACTTGGGCTCCCGCTGAGCGAGGGCAGCACGACCTAACGCGCCTGTGTCCGCCCTCGTGCAGAAATTCTTCCAACACTTTTGAAAGAGGTCTCGATACGCTTGCTGGAAGTGGTTTGGTCACACCGTGACAGAGCAGATCGAAGAGACCCACTAAGGCTCACGGTGTTTGTTGTGCCAGAAAAGAGCATTCGGTTAGGGAAGCAAGTTGGTCCCGCAGAGGGCCGAGTGAGGGAATCGACGAATAATGGCCTTAACTCGAGTCACCTCCATGAAGAGCTGGAGCCGGTGCAGGGTGTGGATGCTCCCCCTCCGGCCCAGGCTGCGGCAGCAGGCCAGCAGCGTGCTCCACCACCGCCCCAGAGTAGGGTCCAGTCCCCTGAGCTGGCCAAGGAAGGGCTCTAGGAGGCCGTGCCTGCACGCCGGCTCCAGCAGCTCCTCCAGGAACAGATCTGCCTCACAGCCCTGGACGTCGCCACCACATATTGCGAGACATTCGAGCGCCCTCCTCGAGCTCCAAAATCTAGCATTTTATGAAATCTCCTGCTGACACATAAACACGAGCTAGTGACTCCCTAACCGTCGTTCAAAGGGCCGCTTCTGTGTCGCTTTAGACCAGGTCACGCATCCAAACAAACTGCCTTGAGTAATGTGACACTGTACAAATGAATCTGTTTTGTTCTTGTCCCGTCAGTGATACCCGTCGAGCGTTTGTGGAGAGAGAAGTAGGTGACCTAGTCCACATTGTCTATCCGTTTAGCCGAGTCTCCGAGCCAAACGTCGGCCTCTACCCTGAGCCTCCCCGGAGGTTAGTTCGTCGAGCTTCGTCAGTTTTAGTAAAATGTTGGACTGCCAAACCACCGTAGCGTAAAAACTTTTGACCCAGAAGCGAGCTACAGTTCACTTCAAACAAAACAACTAAGCATAATTTGGTACAACCACGATTTTTTAGTGTCTGGGTCGAGACAATGTTAACGGCGGTTCGCCAAAAGCATTAAGCCAAACTCTGCCCACGGCAAGATGGCAGGAATCTTCCGCGGGGGTTCTGTCCCGGGCACTTATCTGCTTGCCTTGTCCAAGTAGTACTCCAGTGCCTGGGTAGTCCTGCCGTGCTTAAACATGAAAGACAGCATGGAGCGGTGGCTTCCGTACAGCTCCAGGTAGTTCCGACACTCCGTGTACACGGCCCCCATCAGGTCTCCCACGGGAACCTTCATCTGCGACAGCAACGACCAAATACACAGTGGTGACGCAGAACGATGTTGCACTGAGGAGCCCTTGAAAGAAGGCCCTGCTCCAACGGAACGCAGAGTCGGCCCTTCGAGACACTTGTGCACACCTTCGAGCTCTCTAATGCGACTAATACAAAAGCACGGAGCAGAGATTGGACACGAGTACGGCTGGGACTCAATTGTGGCACTAAGTGGAAAGGCTGGACTCGAAGGTTCTGGGAAGGCATGATGCCAGCTTCAAAAAGGCCTCTCCTACACCGTTCCACAGGATCAAACACCCTACCACTTTGATATCCAGGAATCCCCCCCAAGTGCCTAGTTTTTCCCAACTTTTGCACGTGCTTGATATTTAATGGTGACTACCGTTCAATTATTCCGTCATAAAGAGATGTGCCCACCTGTCCCCCATGTTCGATGCAAACTTTTTCCAATCTAATTAATTAGGTGAATAGTGTAACTGGCAGAGCAAGCAGCTCTCTTAGCTTTTTGCAGAGTAAGGTAAAACAATCTGAAAAGTTGGCAGTATATCAAGCGTACGTCCATATTAGAGCGTGCCTGCCCCGTATGGGATCCTAATGTAGAATTGCCCGAGATTGCGGTGATGACAAAAAAAAATGACAGGAAGGAGGATCTGCTTTACCAAGGCTGATGCACATACTATTCAATCTGAGCACAGCCAATTGAGGTCAAATGGATCTTTCAATAAACCTAAAAAATCAGTTTTGCACGCTCCGACAAAAGCTGCAACTGGGAGGTACATTTGTTTCTTGAAAATATCCACGTGCAAACTTGCCTCGATGAAAAGTAACGACTAAAAGTTATCAATTTTCTACAAATGAACAAGTTGTCAGGCCTTTTTTGTGCCAATGTGGGCAAACGTTGTGGGCATTTGAGATGTTTGATTTAACGAAAAAGAAACTTAAGATAGTTGTTCTGGCTTCTTCCTTATACCCTGTTTTGTCAAATAAATTTCTCCAATGGCCCAGAAGAACGCCTTTTCACTTTTGATCTAAATTGAGTCAAAGGAAGATTTGAGGTTTTATTTGTAACCTTTGACTGAGGTTAGCTTTTACTTATATATCTTCACGAAACAAATGCACCAGCTATCCGTACGTTTGTAGAACAGTGACGGAGCTTGAGCAACCAATTTTTGAGATTTTTAAAGTGTGTTAGATCTGTCCAAAATGGAAGCTTAGGCAAGTTGGCAAGGCATGATGATTCAAGCGTACAATGCACAAAGACAACACAGAAGAAAGAGGGCACACAATTGGTTATGACTGAAGTTTAATCGTCCAGGTGCAACCTTACATTCGATGAGCAACCAAGAACGATACACGCACCACTGTAAATTGTAACTCTTTACCAGATAACAAGTTTTGTTATATCGTGAAGAGTTACAATTTCTAGCACGACGACAGTGACAATAAGAGTACTGGAGTCTACTGGTGTGACTTTTCAGTCTTCTTGGCTGGTCGTCGAATATATGAAGTTGCGCCTGGGCGATTAAATTTCAGTTGTAAGTTCAGCGATTGTGAGTCCTCTTCTGTCCTGTCTTTGTGTGCTGTACATTTTAATCACCATGTTAATATTTTTGCTCCTGCTGTATAAGCGAGTCACCGAGCACACTAGATGTGTGCACGCATACCAGAGGAAGACATGGCAAGATAAACAGGCTGTTAAGGAATCTCTTCCACACCTAACATCAAGCATGCACCTCTGTTAAAATACAGTAATCCCTCGTTATAATGAAATTGCTTTTTTTTCAAATTATTGTTTCTATCAAAGTTTGACGTGGTCCCAACCAAAATGCACGCATTTTTAACCGGGTTACCGTATAAATGCGTGTAAATACAATTGCGTGTATTTAGGACAAAATATTGCAAAAAAAAAATTAGAGAAATTATTCGTGTATGCGCCGCACCCCCTTGTTTTTGAAGCGCGCCGACTGTAATGCATGAAAGTTTCTACGAATATATATCGCTAGGTGGCGCTAGCCACCGCACGAGCACGTAGCCGCACGTCTTCACATCCCCGATATTAGCTCTCCACTCATCCGTATCACCGTTTTGCACAATGGCTGCCGACCTCGATCGCGGTCGGCCGCACCGTCGGGAGATGCGTTTATGTAGCGGCCGGAAGACATTGAGAAAGGGTAAAGGATATGTCAGCTTCCGTGGCAAGCGCGAGAAATGGGGATTCAGCGGGCTCGGCTAGCGCGTGCACTCGGGTTTCTGAACGCCAGTGTACGCTCTAGGGAGGTTTTCTTTTGTTCTTCGATTCGTGTCAAAGCGTCGCGATTTGTCTGCCTTTTCGCGCAATCAGAGCTATGGGCAAGTACCACTTCAACAGTCATACGGGATTCAAGTCAAAAGTTGCCAAGCATGCTATCAAGTACAAAAAAAAAAAAAAAAAATGATGCGTGCTGCGCAGTATGTAAACTAATTAAATCCGACTGACGATTCAGTCCGGATTCCGAAGTGAAGGCGTTCTCGACCAGTGCAGCCGAGCGCGCTCATGTACGTTTATTTCAAAATGTGGATACAGATTTTTTTTTTTTTTTTATCAGTTATGGACCGCACCTTGAAAATTTGCCCTCAAATCGAGAAAAATAGTGCGGCCCTTACACGAGTTTATACGGTATTCAAAGTGTATCGGTGGCCGACGACACTTATTACGAAGGCCGCGGTGCCGGAAGTATGCAAGCCTACACTGAGGCGCACAAGAGACCTTTGTTTTCCCTCCTCCTTCTCCACCGAAGCAAATAGCAAACTGGGAAAACTGAGTAAATGGGTGACTGAGGGTAGAGCGCGTAGAGCGCCCCTTCCGATGCCGATGCACCGACGCGGGGAGGAAGCAGTGTTAACGTTCCAACGCTACTCGCACCACCCGCGACCGATGTTGCCCGACTCCCGTCAGAATCAGGTCAAGGGAGCGATGGAGACCGGAGAAGATCATCCCCTCGAGAGACCCGAAGGGACGCTTGCTCGGCATTTTGCGGTAGTTCAAGGTAGTGCCTTCTGTAAGGCACCATTCCCCATTTCGCTCCATTCTTTTCTCCTTTTTACTCGCAAAGCGCGACCCACAAAGAGGGTCCTTTCTGCTTGTTCTTTGGGCCTTCAAGGGTCATTCAGAAACCCAAGGTTTCTCTTTAAGCTCAAGGGCATTTTCAGGAAGCTGCCAATCCACTGGACAAACTTACCATTATGGCAGGGTCCTTGAGGCCTTTGAGGCTGGCAATGGCGCAGAAGACAGCAGCAGCCTGAGGAGTCACCAGAAAAAGGAATGCTCAAAAGGACGCTTTTTATGTGTACGAGGAGACAACGCACCTTACTTATTCCAGGGTATTGAGACTTCTCCAGGCTCTCTATGATCTCCTTCAGCAGTGGACTCTCAGCAGACCCTTTGTCCTTGGGCTTCTGCGGATACAATTAAGACACATTTTCAAAGTCCAGCAAGGTCACAACTAAAAGACGCTGTTAAGGGGTTGCAGACATTTCGGGAGCATGCCGAGTTCTTGCTACATGTAGTAACGCAGGGTCCTCATTTAAGGTATATGCAAGCAGAAGAATGGCTGAATCTTCATGTCACCGCTTCTTTTGTGCATTCTATTAAGTGGTACTTTGCACAACTTCATGGAATACAGTTAAACAGATGAACTTGCAAATTCATCTGTTTTCTGCAATTCAGCAGACTGTTAGTCAAGTTGGCAACCTGACCTGCTTTTTCACTGTGCCTCCATGCATTAGTCTCTTCATAAGGTTATTTTTAAGTAAATAACCGTATTTACTCGAAAATAGGTCGACCCCTATTTATTAAACCCACCGAGAATAAAAAAAAAAAAAATTTAATATAGGTCAACCTTTTTTTTTTTTTTTTTTTTTTAAGGAACAGGGGAAAGTTAGGGCAAAAGAAAGAAACAAGTCTTTATTTACAGCACTCTCGGCTAAATCGCAGGGTGATGCCAAAAACTTACTCATCCTCAGAATTTCCGGACATGTCATCGTCGTCCGAAGCTTCATAAGCTTGGTAGACATCCTCGCAAATTGCAAATTCGCAACACTGACACCGTCCGTGTGTAAGATGATTTGTAAAATGAGGACAAGAAGAAAGGAAAGAAGGTAAAGACGGGCGAGCAACGAAAGACCAAATACAAATACGCGAGCAACGCCAGAGTAACAGTGAGCAATACGCGAGCAGCTGCAAGCAACAAGCCAAAGCAACCTCCGTTGTTTCTTCTTTTTTTTTTTTTGTTTTGTGGGCATTTGCAAGGGAGAGGCATGGAAGACAAAGTGCATGGCGCATCACGTTCCTCTCCCTCCACTTGCCCAGCGAGGGGAACGCTACAGGCACGATTTCGAAACTCGACACCCACGGAATGTGCGCCAGCGGCAGCTAAGGGGGGGGGGGGGGGAGGCTGTCATTTGTTCCTGTTGCGGCTGCTTCCGTGCACCAAAAGCTTTTTGAAACAAGAAGCGGGCGCGGGCTCTAGGGCAACCCAGGCTCGGCGATTCGATAGCTTCATGCCCTCGGTAGGGTCGCAAATGTAGGTCGAAATTGTTTGGTCACGGTTATAGGTCGACCCTTAATTTTTGACAACATTTAAGAAAAAAAAAAAATGTTGACTTATAGTCGAATAAATACGGTAGTATCAGCGGTACGTCCAGTATGGCCGTAAACATCCGTAATCCTTCCCCGGCATTATTTTAGTTGTTTCACCGCTGAACCTGGGCTGAACCTGGCCGAACAAAGAACATGATCAGACGAAGGTGTTCGTAAAAACGTCCAAAATTTAGGCTCGCAACTACGTCGTAGTTCTCAAGGTGGCCCATAACCAGTGTGTCATTGGTTCTGAACCACAAGGGATATATTTACGTCGCAAAACTAAGCAAAAACGACATAGCACACCGACACAGCCGTGAGCCCGCTGAAACCGAAACCAACCAAATCGAAGACACCTTGTGGCACCACGTGTGCCAGCGACCTCTGTCCACCGGTCAGGGAACTACCGAGATGAAAAGGTCTATAGCCATGCAACGCAATAGCGGTGCCGTCACAACAAATACACTGATATTTGCTGCACAACGTTGTTTCCAGTTGCTCCGATTCTTTTTACAGCAAAGCTGTTATGCGCTAGAATCTGGAAAAAAATGTGTCCGCGGATGTTGACAAAAAACTCCCCATTGGTCGTGGCAAGTATAAATAAATAAAAATAAAAAGAGGGGGCAACCAGTGTGAGTCAGCCTGCCTTTGCATTATTAGATAGGTCCTGATCCCTTGTTATCATCTCTAGGCATCATCCTCGAGGTCGTCCTAGAAGTCGTCCTTGAGGTCGTCTGAGAGGTCATCCTAGGCATCATCCTCTAGGCGTCGTCCTCGAGGTCATCCTAGAAGCCGTCCTCAAGGTCGTCCCAGAAGTTGTCATAGAGGTCGTTTGAAAGGTTGTCCTTTAGGCATCGTCCTCTAGGTGTCGTCCTCGAGGTCGTCCTAGAAGTCGTCCTCGAGGTCGTCCTAGAAGTCGTCCTTGAGGTCGTCCTAGGTGTCGTCCTAGAAGTCATCCTTGAGGTCGTCCTAGGCATCGTCCTGAAAATCATCCTAGACGTCCTTAGGCATTGTCCTAGACGTCATAAAAGTAAAAGCTTCACCGGTTCTCCATCTTCACGTAAAGTGGAAGGTTTCTACAATTTTTAGCATTGGTTCTTAGTGGAGATGTTGAAACAAATCCGGGTCTTCATTCTAGTGAGCAGAAATTTGAGAAAACCAGAAAAGGTCACCATAGAATCATAATATCTTTGGTTATCAAAGAAGAAGAGCAGTATTGGTAAAGAAAAAAAACTTGAATTTTTGTATTTGTTTCATAGTTAATCCCGGCAGGTTATCTTACCGAGCAAAAAAGGAGTGGCCACCACTGGGATAGCCGACCGCTTACGCGTCGGTGCCACAGGATCGGCAGTGGTCGCTGCCGGTCACTCTCTAGCTTCACATGGAAGCTTTGGAAGTGACACTCATATTCTAGCTCTTTTTTCTTCTCTAACCAACTGCCAGGATAGCCCCATTCAAGAGCATGACGGGCTTCTGTGGCCTCCTTTGTTACAGGGCCCCTTTGGAAATGTGCAACATTTTTTTTTTTTTTTGGGTGTGCATTTTGTTTTGTCCAGCTGGCCCCTTTGACAAGTAACGAAGCAGTCAAGCCCGGAAAGTTAAAAGCGGGAAGTGCATTCCAGGCAGTTCGGGTCACCAAGCGCAGAGAGTGTCAAGGTACAGGAATATGACTGCGTCCCATTCCCCCCAAGCATTCAAAGTGATAAATGACGCCATGTTCTCGATGGTCGCTGCTGCATTAACGTCCCAACTCCTAGCTGCCAAATCTTCCCTGGACTGCCAAGCTAGAGAGAAACCTGCAGCAGAACCCGCAGCTGCGACACTGCCTCTCGTACGCCGTCGGGCGGAAATCGAGGGACCGCCAGTTTGGACCACGTGCCAGTTCCAGGCAGCACGGTCGGGCCGGCAGAGACTCACCTGCAGGCAATGGGCAAACTTGTCCCGAGCGGCGGCCCAGTCGCCCGCGCGCAGCATGGCGAGCCCCCAGGCGGCAAACACGCCGGACTTCTCCAGGCCACACTTGTTGGACACCTCCAGAGCCAGGGCCATGCGCTCCGTCTCCATCAGGCGGTCTCGCAGCTTACGCTCGGGACTGTGGTCCAAACCTGGGCCGCGGTTGCCGGTCTTGCGCCCGCCGTTGGAGGCCTCACCCTGTCCGTTGGCCCTGCGGCGATTGAGGTGCGAGCAAAGGCCGAAGAGGCCGCGGTCACGGTACAAATTTTAACCAACGTCCTAAGCTTTTTTTTTAACATTTACGATAGCAAAACGGGCATAAATGGCAAAAGATTTCACCAGTCTCTTCGTGTCATCTCACGTGGGGTAGATTGCCGAAAAAAGTTAAAACATTTTCTCGTGGGACCAACACTTTCAAAAACTTGCTTTTTCTTTCTTACTACTGTCGAGACCGGTTATAACGAAGTCGGTTATAACGAAAAAGTAGCTACAGCAAAGCGATCACCATTTTCCATTTCCTTTTGCACTTTGGTAACCGAAGTCAGTTATTACGAAATAGTGGATATAGCGAAGTGATTTCCGATTCCCGTTGACTTCGTTATAACCAGTCTCAACAGTACTCATTGATGTAACTGCTTACATCAATCGAGTGTTTTAATTCCATCCAACTCTGTTTTAAAGCGATAGCTTTAAAATTGCAATCCCACTTCAAAGGGATTTCAATGTCGGCGTTTGTTCAAATGGAAAAACCCCTCTCTCCCCTCATGGCACGAGGAGAAAGAAGTCGGGTGTTCCTGTTGGCTGCGTCGCACGAAGAGGGAAGAGAGGAGCGCCCCGACAAACAGCCGATAACAGCATGACGGATAAGCATCGTCTGCTAACAATTACTTTAAAAAAAAAAGTGTTTTCAAGCATTATTCACGTTATACAAACTCCCACTTTGGCTGCATCCAGTTGCTACGCGTAATGGTGGAAGGTTTTAGAAACTTCCACCACATTCAATTTCACCGTAACATCTCTACTTTTTCCACGCAACTTGAAACGTAAATATAATGATTTTCTGCCAAACATGTCGCCTGACACCTGCCTTCCTTGCCGAGCTTCACCTCGTTTCTCTGCCCATGTGTCCCCCTCTCTACTCATTGCTGAACGTCAATATTACCCCCTCATTTTACCACTCGACAACACCCGGAGGACCCGCGTCTTCGCTTGCGTCGGCGGAAGTTCTCCCCTTGCTCAACGAATCAGCCCTAAATTCGACCCTCAAAGATTTGGTGATCTAAAAGTACCTTTTACAAAATATTTTTGCAATAACTATCCTTTTTATGACATCCTGAATTTTGCAGCTAACATCCGAAGGGGTGAAAAACACCATTTTCTTTTAAAAAAAAGGTTTGAAACGAGACTGCAAAATAAGCACCGTCTTCAGTAGGTCAAAATATTCTTCTAAATCATCCATTATGTTTAGCTACGCATTTCCGAGAGTTTTTAAGGCTGCAGATATGTTAAGAATGTCCAAAGAGCCAAGATTTACCTTTTATTTTCCAACACATGCTATCATATGAAGACTTAAATCTTATGGGTTTTAAAGGGGCCCTGCAACAATATTTAAGCGTCTACCTTTTTTGCGGTTTCCATGTCTCTTGGGGTTCGGGCAAGCCAGAGGGCACGGAGAAAGTAACTAAATATCAGTGCTTCATATTTTAACCGGACGACGCGGAAACCTCCTCCACCTACGTGGGCGACCCGCGTTGCCGAAAGCGCGCGATATGCGACGTCTTTGGTCCTGGGCTTACTACTGGTCAAAGCCGCTAAAAGCTTTTGTTTGGTCGAAATACAAAATAGAAGTGGAGTGAACTGTTTCATTTATTTATGAAAGTTGTTTTTGTTCAGTATTTTAGATAAGAAAAGAAACAAATGCAGTTTAGAAAGTATGGAAAGAAGAAATGACCCATCGACATACCCGCCACCAAGCGGTGGAAAAGGCGGCGCATACTATAAAGGGGTAGTGGGATCAGGCACCGGCGAGTGTAGAAAGGTCCCGGACGTATAAGCGGCACTGCAGTCGCATACGAGCTCGAGGATCTGACTGGTTCCGAGCGTTCCAAAGGCCTTCGATGAGCAGGTTTGGCTTGCGGTTTGGCCGTTTGGCGGTATGGCAGTGCGAAGTGGCTCCCGTTCTGAACTGATCTTTAGACCGTGTTTGCTGTCGTTTGTAGCCAATGAAGTGTCCTGCCGAATAAGTGTTTCATCGCGCAGCAAATGCAATGCGAGCCGCCCTGGCTGCCCGCATCACACAGCCTATCCAGAACATGCTTTAGTGGCACCCTCTCGCGCCGTCGACACGGAATGTGGCAGCCGTGAGTGCTGAGCTCACTACCCCTTCTCTAGTTCACAGGCACTCAAGCGACCAAGGACGTCATGAAGGAGGTTATTTTTTGCTTCCTTTGTAATCTTAATTTGCCTATAACTTTTAAAATAAAGTGAAATTCGGGAAAAGAAAAGTTTCATTAAGTTACTACGTTCAGTGCGCTCAGGTTCAGTGCAAATTAAAAACCAGTCAAAAAGTCCTTGCAGGGCCCCTTTAAGAGAGGGAGACAAAGTATATAAAAAATATTTTGATAAAAAATTTCGTACTGTTACCCAAAATAAATGGACAATATTAAACATATTGACCAACACGTGGCTCTGACGTAACGCCTCTGCGGTAGTGCTGTTGTCGCAACGGCGGATGCGCAGAAGCTTCGCCTCACGCAAATCTGGTTTCTGCGCTCGTACAGTGCCCATACCTGGTGTGGGCAAATGCGGGCTTGTTCGTGAACAGTGTGTCAGTCTATAACAAATTGCTGTTAAAAAATATCATAAAGGTTGCGGTCCTAAAATATATAGAGTGGAACCCGTTTATAACGAACTGCATAAAACGTTACATCTAGTTTGATATATCATCAGCAGCATTCGCAGCTGTCCACTCGCTGCCCAAGGTCGAAGGAAGCGGGCTCCCTTTTTCTTTTTTCCTCGTTCGTTCGTGCGAGGCGAGGAGCGGGCACACTTGTTTTGCGTAGCGAGGAAGCATTGCAAGGGGAAGCCAAACCCCGTAGGCACCGGAAGCTGCTTCGTTTTTCTGGCATTCGGAAGCGCTGGGAGTTTGATATACACCAACTCAACTCTCCTACGTCACGCCGCGGTGGTGGCGCGCCGGACGCACTTCCGGTCTGGGGCGGTGGGCAGAACTCGCCGTGCCAGACATGCATTCCTGTGTTCCTTTGGAAGAAACGAGACAAAAAACCTGCCTTCTCGTCAAAATGCTGCGATGGGGGCTTTACAAAGAGAGTCTGGGAAGGTTTGAAGATCAGTTTTCATATGTTTTTGCACCCTCCGTTCGTCCGAGAACGTCGATAGCAGCCGTGAAAAGGGCAAACCAGACGCTATCGAACTACGATTGCGTGTGCGGGCCACAATTTGTAGTCGCCAGATGTATTTGCTTTGTTCCAACATGACCGAGAGAAAACCCCCAAGTTGTCCGGACCACCCACGGATTCAGTGCGTCTTCAAATTCACACGGCCGCCTGATCGTTCGAACTTTCGTCTGCTCTTTCAAAGTTGTCTGCTTTTTCTCGTCTGCTCGTTCAAACAAAAGCAGCCCGTAGACCAAACTTTGACTCGGTGATTGCAATAAGAAGTAATTGCAGGCCTCAAAAGACTTAAGTAGGCTCGGTGTAAGCAGTAGATACAAGATGTTGATCAGTGGTACCGGTGGCCATCACCTACTTGTTACGCTTTGTCTGTTCCCGCTTCCGATTTTCAGTATCGACGTCGATCATCGCCTCTACCTTCTACACTTTTGCAGCACGAGGGTCGTCGCGACCGAAAAATAGCTAGAAGAGTCTCATCATGGTTTTGTACGTCCATTCTGCGGCGGTCATGCAAATACATCGCCGCACGTCAAATTATTTATGCTAAGTTTAGCAGCGTAACGAGCCTTGATGATTTCGCTCAGGCGATTAAAGTGGTAAGACATTGCGATGAGGACGTAGAATCGACAACTCCAACGCGAAAAAGAGTATGCAGACTCACACAGACGCCGACAACGTGACATTCGAATGGTTTGTTGACGCGGGACGCGGTGCTTCTTGCCCGTACTCCATTGCGCGTGCGTTCCAACTTCCAACTGTCGTCTGCTCTTTCAAACTTGGCTGCTTTTTGTCGTCAGTTCGTTCAAACGACAGCGGCTCGTAAACCAAACATTGACCCGGTAATTGCGATAAGAACTAAGTGCAGGCCTCAAAACGCTTTTGAAGGTTGGTTGGGGTAAGTCGGCTAAGTGTAAACAGATACAAGAAGTTGTTGATCATTGTTACCAGTGGCCATCACCGACTTGTAATGCCCGATTCTACTTGAGGTTTTCAGTATCGATGTCCATCTCAGGTACGGTCCACGCTTTTGCAGTCCGAGCGACGTCGCGACTGAAAATAGCGAGCAGAATCTCGACGTGGGAGTCAGGCTTTAGCGCCCATTCTGCGGCGTCCAGGTGAAATGAATTGCCGCAAGTCACATTATTCACGCAAAGTTTTGCCTCGATAGTTTTGCTGAAGCCGCTCAAGTAGTCAGACATTGTTAGGAGGACGTAGAATCAACAATTCCAACGCGAAAAAGAGCACGGGGACTCCCACCGACGCCGACAACAACGCAATTCAATGGTTTGTTTATGGGCGACGGCGGGCTTCTTGCCCACCATCCACGGCGCATGCGCGGCGCCGGTGACGTCCGCTAGGGGCGCTCCGGTTTGTTTGTAAACATGAGTTGGTGTATACCGTATTTACACAAATGTAGGTCGACCCATTTTTCAATTTTTGAAAATCTGAAGTGAGGGGGTCAACTTATAATCGAACCAAAGCACTCCACCCACGACAAAAACGAAACAATCGCAATATCAAGAACACCTCTGCTTGTTACGAGTTCAGCCAGCTGTGCCTGCAGCATTGCACTATTCTGCACGCTCAATTTACAAATTCTTTCTTTTTTATTTGTGCAGACGAGTATTATTGATAGCGATTCGCAAATTAACCCGAATGTAAAACGCCGAACAGTGCATCACGTGCCTGACTTCCGGGGATGGTGGCACTTCTTGTAAGAGCCACTCCGGAGGCTGCTGGAACAGCCTCACGGCTCACTCCCCGCAGCGTCGTCGTTCGATCAAGTGTAGAGATCATGCTGGAGTGCTAACTATGTGTTTCTTTTTTTTTTTTTTTTTTTTGTATTGACACGCGTGATTCGGGCAGTTTAGGTTTTCGGTGCTCATTTATGGCCATTCTTCACCCAAAACAACCAATAACTGCGCTGTTGGACGCAAGTTCGACCCGTCGGAGCGGGTTATGCTCCAGTGGAGTCTGCAATGGCGTGGGACCTTAGCCAAAGGCTTGCAGCATACGCCGCAAAAGTGCACAATCGGTCCCTACCCGTGACGTGCTACGCAATCGCCGAGCAAGCGCGGAACATGCGGTCACTTGTAAAACGGAAAATTTCGTTGGACAACGCCGACGCAGGGGCAGATCCAAGGAGGAAACGGACAAAAAGAAACGGGAAACGAGCGCGTGCGCGTTGTGGCAGTGTATCCAGTACAGCTCCGCTGGTCCTCCTTCTTCACGAAAGTGGAAAGGCTGAACTTTTTTTTGTTTCTTTTTTATGGTTCATTGTCTTTCTTTTTCCACAACTGCTTTTTCGCTGCACATCTTTTCACATGTATGCTGGCTTGGCGGTCTGCCATCTCATAAGGCAAGCAATGTGCTCACCACCGGCGCAATCGGATCCGGCAAAAGAGAAAAGCAATGGGCAGCCGGGCTTCGTTTGCTATATCGAGTGTCCCCACCACAGAAATTTGATTAAAAAAAAAAAAGGTCCCATACTAATGAAGATTTTGACCAGCCTGTTGGAACAGATGTAACAGTAAGAAAGCACAAAACGAACAGAAGGACGAAAACAGACATGTATTGCTATACCTTTGCATATGATTTTCTAGGGGATATTTGGACTATTTGATATAAACGATGATTCGAAATACTGGAGTGTAATATAACCAGGCTCGACTGTAGAAGGTTAAAAGTTGTCATAAAAAGCAAAAAAAACTTTTAGGCTTTTCACTCTGGTGAAGAAGGAAGAGCAGCGGAGCTGTAGCTTCTGTTCTCGGCGGTGGCTTTCCAGGCGAGCGATCTACTCTTCTTTCGCAAAAGAATCTGAAGCGCTCGACGCAGTGGAACTTTAGGCGACAGCGGCCTCGCGACAGTTGTGGAGCCATTCGCGCTGCTGCGCACATCGCCGCTCGTTCCGTTCCCGCTCTTCTCCCTCCAAAGAAATGTTGCCGCCATCTATGAGTGACGGCGGCAACCAGTTGTCTGGTTGCCGAGGCTGGAAAGGTTGTCGCGATCTATGAGTGACGGCGGCAAGCAGACAACCGGCAAACACAACACTCTGGACAGCAACCGCCATCTATGAGCGACGGTGGCAACCAGAGTGTTGTATCGACCACGGGTGTCGACATTTGTTTGGTACCGGACACGGTCCTGGGGAAACTAGTTTTAACAGCTCCGCTGCAAAAAAAAGTCGGGGAGTGACACTCATAAGAAGAATGGACTCACCCAACAAGCATCTCATCTGGCAAGAGATGCTGGCAGTTGGCAGTCACCACGAGGCTGACGATGTCCACGCGCCGGAGGTAGGCCTCGCTCCACGAGATGCCCGTGCTCATGCCAGCCTCCAGGAACTTCACCTTGGCACGCAGGATCAGCGACTTGAGGATCCTGGGGATTCTTTCCTTCACTACTCCGAACATCATACAAAACTAAAACTAACACTGACACTATACAGGATAAATTAAAGACATGTCATTCAGATGCCAACAAGATTACCGTATTTATTCGAATCTAGGCCGATAGTTTTTTTTTAAATACCGATACGTCAAACTCTAAGGTCGGCTTAGATTTGAGGATTTTGAAACACGCGCCAATTTCCAAGTAAAATTGAAGAAAGTGGCGCGCAGCTACCGCCACCCAGAAAATGAAGTATTGTAGCCATTACTAGCCGAGCCAGTAGCCGCTTAAGTAGACGAGCGGTGCCGCCATTTTGACCCGCGTTGATAGTCGCTTGCGTGCGGCGTGGCGTTTTCTTTTTATTAAAAGGGCAATGGCACCAAACAGGCGGTGCCATTAGCGTTCCGCTCTTAAAAGAAAAATTGTTTTAGCCGCAGAGTTGTCGTCGAACGTTGAAACCGGGCAAAATTTCAGCGTGGATGAAAGAAATATCCGCGTTGGAGGAGGCAACGGGAGAGGACATTTGCGTGCGCCGCAACGAGGATGGCATTCACCGGACCACGAAAAGACCGTCACCACGGCCTTTTCGTAGTCCGGTGAAAGGCCATCAACGCAGACTTTTTGTGGTCCGGTGAACATGAAGACTGGACATCTTTATGTTCAAAAAATGTCTCCTGTTTGTGAGCGCTGTCCTCGCCTTTTCGTTCGGCCTACAATCGAGGTAAGTTTTTTTTTTCCTGGCTTCAGACTTTCTGGGGTTGGCTTAGAATCGGGGCCGGCCTGTATTCGAATAAATACGGTAAATGTTGCCAAAGTCACTCTTTTCGAGATTATAAAGAAGCCATGAAGGTGACACCGAGGGCGAGACATCGACGGACGGGATGAAAAGAGATCAGAAACACTTTCGTAGAACACAGAACGAAATGCCATTGAGGAGCAAAGCGCACCAAACATGCCATATTACAACTTTATGCAAAAAAAACAAACAACATATCTAGTATTACCCTATTTCTGTGCGAGGGTACAACATTAAGTGTGTTAAGAAGCTGTCCATAGTGAAAATAGATGCGCCTTCAGAATGCTTGCATCTACTGGATGCGAGCATATGCAGCATTTCAGAAGCACCCCAAAGGATAAAGGCCAAGGTCTTGCACGAGCACCAGCAGGAACTGGCCGTGAAACATTGACCAGATTGAGTCACCGGAAGACGGGCGGGACTACAGTCAAGTCAGCTTTCCAGGGTTCCTTTACTCCCGAAACACTCCAGAGTGCACATTCAATCGTGCCCAATGTGTAAAAAAAAAAAATCTATTGTGACCGTATCCCCGATTTTTGTTGCAATCTTAGGGTAACGGTAGTAAGCTGTCTCTTCGCTGTGATTATATGTCACAAAATAAGATGGTGATCAGTTCCCAGCCGAGGCAGGGTACAAGTCCACAACATCGCTGTGATGAAGTTCTAAAAGTCAATTCTATAAGGCACTTTCTTGAAACGCTTTTTCCCTCCAGTAAGCCGCATTCCACCACATTGATGAACAGCATCTGCACTTTACCCATTAGTTTGCTTTCATGCAGACATGTTCGGCGTCCTTTCTGATGTTGTGCCCAAGCAGAGCAAGGGGCTCCGTCAACGAGAAAATTCGAGAAGTACAAAAGGCGACAAATTCCCTTGGGAATCGTGCATGTAGCAGAGCCATTTTGGCCGTCGACGGGTAGGCTTCTCTGTCAGCAGCTTTATCAAGTCTGAATAAAAATAGAGTACCAGACTCTTTTATGTTCCTGGCCCCTAAGGCTGGAGCAGTCGACCGTAAAGAGATACAACTTGAGCCATCAGGAAACCAATGCCTTTATGCATTAAAAGACGTGGGAAGAAAGTTCATCAACATGGGGTCTGGTAAGATTTTGTGCCGAAAGTATGTGACGCCGAACTGCCCGATAAGCTAGTCGTTTCCAGCAGATGGCAAATGGTGGCAAGTATGCGGCTCGACGATAACGCACTAAACACCAATATCATTGGGTCAAAGACTGACGTGATGATGAGTCCATAGTCGACGAGCTTGTCGGAGGTGCTTTTGGGAGCCAGGAGTGCCAAGAGTGTGTCGCACAGCGACAAGATGAATGTGGCGCACTCTGCCAGGCTGGAGTGCTTCTCCAAGATGGAAAGGCACAGGGACACACTAGGGGCCTGCGCAACAAGAAGCAAAATAAATACCTTGGGCGTGAGTTGAGCTAGTTGATGACATCATATTAAAAACAAAGCACAGAGACTCCCAACTAGTGTACTGCGAAATAAAGAGGAAGACAAAACGTCAGAAATGCAACGCACGCACCATAAAAAAGAGGAAAAACAGTGATACATGAACGAGATGTACTATAAAGGAAAGAGAAAGAAGAAAGAGTCACAAAGGGAAACCCAATTAAATTCAGGAAAAAAGAAAAGAAAGAAAAAATTAAGAAGGATCGTTTACTAGGTCGGCCAAAAACAATTATTGTAGGCATTGTTGTAGGCATTGGCTAGGTGCATGTTAAAGACCCTAGGCTGGCAGTTGTACCACACTGGCTAAATTGCTCATCTACAGCCAGTCTTGGGTAAGTTACTTCTAAAAAATAATTAGTTACAGTTACTTTCAGAAAAATGTAGTGAAGTTACCGTTACAGTTACCGGACCAAAAGAGTAACTCGTTACAGTTACACTTACTTTTAAAAAGTAACGATGTTACTTTTTAGTTACTTTTCTACAACATAAAAAATTTAGGAAATACTCGAAAACGCCCCCCCCCCCCCATCAAGTTTTATTGAATAAAAGTAAAAAAGTATGCTTTTTACTTCATACTGTATCATAGCAGCAGTTGCTTCTCGAAATTAGTGTCTGAAAGTTTCCCTCGTTTGATGGCGAACACGTCCCTGCCATTGCTGAACGGACCCCGCATAATCAGAGCAACGAGAAAACCCCGCGCAAACAGCAGTCAATTTTGCCTCGAATTCTGACGCCACGCCGGAGTGGCGCAAACGAAAATACGAAACATGCGCAGTGCGGAGCAGTGGCTCTAATCAAAATACGAAACATTCGCAGTGCCCTTCGTGTGTATTGTTGTTTCACGGTTGATTCACCCGATTAAAAAGCGTTTGCGCAGAAAAAAGAACAACCGCAGCATAGATAGTGCTTCAAGATATTAAGATGTAAGTGTTCAGTCATAAAGTACACGCCCGTGCAAAAAAGATAACTAGATTTTTTTTTTTATCACATCAACACGTTCGGGTCGTGACTCGCGAGAAAGAATGTATTCACAAGTTTGTGCATGGCCAACTTGACACTTAAAATGTCTGAACAGACAAATTGGAAAGTGCAAGAATAGCTAGATTGTACTCGTTCAATCATATGTTATTCATAAAAAAACTGGAAAGTAACGACCAAAGTAACGTCGCTACTTTCATCGTTACCTCAGAAAAAAGTAATAGACCTAAAGTTACAAGTTACATTTTTAAAAAGTAACTCGTTACAGTTACAAGTTACCAAAAAAGTAACAAAGTTACAGTAACGCGTTACTAGTAACACGTTACTACTCAAGACTGTCTACAGCTGAGAAACCAGACGCCCACTAAGGCAGACTAACTTCCGACTGTAAAAACATACACACACCAACTCTGATTTCACAATACATCAGTTGGGAGCCAGCGCTCAGTGTTCTCTTGCTCACAGCTTGTGCGCCGTTTTTAATATGATTTACCTTGGGTATTTCTCAAAAGTGTTTTAAATGTGTAGCACTTTGAATGCCTTTGCTCACATCCGCTAAGAAGTCTGTTGCACGCATTACATATCTCGGCATACTCAATCAGGAAGAAAGCAAACACATAACAAATATTATAGCCATTAGCAACCGTCAAATGTGCTTTAAATAATTGCGTTCGTTTCGCGCACCGCATAGGGATTCATGCCCGTCCGGCGCACTTCCGGCGAACGGTGCGACATTCTTCACACAAGTGCTCGACTTTTGCTTTCTTAAAATGGTTTGTATGCACGAATGTGCCTATATAATTGCAGGATAACTTTATGCGCATACGCGATGTTGAATATTAGTGGAATGCAAGCGGGTGGAAACTTCACTTCGTGCAGTGCTGCGGGGCAGTACAGGTAAGAGATAAGAAGTGTGTTCAAATTGAGCTTTTCAGCGGCGCCTCTGAGTTTTACCTCGCGTACTCAGGCGTATTAAAGAAAAACAGTAATCGCAAAAAGTTATATTTCGTCTATGGACGCATGAAACAAACAAACTTTCTGACCAACAACACTAATGTAAAGGCGCGATATGCATACTTATTGGCTCCTACAGCTTGTTGATTCGTACACAAGCAAGATCCCCGAGCTTCGCAGCGTCGAAATTCCCAGCACTGGCTCGTCCACATACCTCGAAACGCTAACAGAAAGGCTCAAGTACAAAAATACAACAAGCATGCCTTAAGACAAGCTATACGTCTCGGGCTTGTGCTAAAGCTTCGAGGTCTGGCCATTTAGGTTAGTTTAGAGACCACAAATGACGCTCTCCGGACCAGAAAGCATGAGATAACAGCCGTTATTAGTCCACGCTCTGTGTGTGACCTCTTGTCGACGTGTCGATCGAAACCGAAACCATGCCACTCACCTCCCTGGCCAACTAGTTCCCAGAGTGCAACGCGCGCCGAGTTGCATGAAGGGCTTTATGGAAGAAGTCTATTGCACTTTGGCCGCCTTATCCTTGTTTACCTTTTTCTTTTGACGTTATTATTTTGCCCATTTTTGTTTTGTTTCTGTTTTGCCTTTCTTTTTTTGCTGCTTGAATTTAGTGAGCTTTCTTTTTTTTCTTTGTTTACCTTTCTCTTTTGCCATTATTGCTTTGCCCATTTTTGTTTTGTCTTTCTTTTTTTGCTGCCTGAATTTAGTGAGCTATCTTTTTATGCTGCGTGGAAGTCCCGGTCAGGCGCACGTGTAAGCGCGGCAGTGTGAGCGGTCTCCGTCAACTGTGCTTTACTGTATATAGCGGCTCTTGGATGCTCTAGTCGGTAAGCTCCCGTTTGTCGCGACCTTCGGTATTAGCTGAGACACCAGGAAATTTCAACTCTAGCTTAATTTAACATATTTTTGTATATCAAATTATTGATATATCAAACTATTTTACGATCCCCTATGAATTCGATATATTGTATTTATTCGAATATAGGTCGACCTTTTTTTTTCGGAAATGTTGTTAAAAATTAAGGGTCGACCTATAATCGTGACCAAAGAATTTCGACCTAATTCGCGACCAAAATTTGAAACCCTACCGAGGGTATAGAGCTATCAATCACCTAGCCGGCGTTGCGGTAGAGCCGCGCGGCTTCTGGTTTCAAAAAGCTTTTGATGCACAAAAACAACCGAACAGCAGCAGCCGACAGCCCGTGGCTGCCGGCTTCGGCTCTCGCGCATTTTCCTCGGGCGTCGGGTTTCGCCATCACGCCTGTAGCGTTCCCCTCGCTGGGCAAGGGCAAGGGAAAGGGGAGGGAGAGGAACGCGATGCGCCATGCACTTTGCCCTCCTATGCGCTCCATTCCTCTCTCCCTCGCAAACGCGCAAAAACAAAAAAAAAACCGGAGGTACTTTAGTTTGTTTTTCTTCGGCGGGTTGCGTGTTGCTCACGGGGCTCGCAGCGTTGCTCATGTCTTTGTATTTGTTCTTTCGTCGCTCGCCCGTCTCCACCTTCTCTCGTTTCTTCTTGTCGTCATTTTACAACGGTGTCAGTGATGTATTGTTGCCAATTTGCGAGGATGTCTACTAAGCTGACGAAGCTTCGGACGACGATGTGTCCGGACGTTCTGACGATGAATAAGTTTTTGACATTGCCCTGCGATTTAGCTGAGAGTGCTGTAAATAAAGGTTTGTTTCTTTTGCCCTAACTTTCCCCTGTTCCTTAAAAAAAAGGTCGACCTATATTTGAATTATTTTTTTTTTATTCTCGGTGGGCTCAATAAATAGGGGTCGACCTATTTTCGTGGTCGACCTATTTTCGGGTAAATACGGTACTGTAAACGACTTAATTTTCAAGGGCTGAAATTTTCGCGAGTCGGGCCAAAGCTGACAATTTTAAATTATTCGCAGGTTCTAATTTTCGCGAATTGAGTGTAGCATCCGTAACTTTCCCATATTGCCCGAATTGTTCGCGGAACGCATTTTTCGCGAATTGTAGGCCATCCGCGAAAATTAAGTCGTTTACAGTATCCGGGCTTGACTGTACGCCACTCCAGAAACACAGCTCACAAACAGCTTTGCGTGTTTTTTTGCGCATTGGCTCTTTGACTGCCCTTCTGCCCTGGCTCTTACACTCAAACATATCTGGCTCAAATTTTGAGGGGCAGAAAATATCACAGGGACGTGGTACCGACTTCCTACTTTCTTTCAATTTTGGGAGACTTTGTGTAGGTGTGGGATGAAACCAGTTTTTTCTTAAGGGGAGAGGTCCCTTTTATTATTTTAACAAGGGTGCCAGCAACATCACACAGCAAAGCACACATAAACCCAGCATTTCTCAGCCTATCGCACTGCGACTGAAAGCTCTCATGCACCGTGTGGACGCAGGACCTGTTTAGGACCGCGTCCAAGCACAAAATCGCAATAGCCTTTTTGACAACTTTCGAGTTGGCTCATCTAGAGTCTAAGATGGCTTTTTTCGACCGAGGGCTGTACGCCCAGCAGATATGACTGCCACCCACACAAGGCGAAAGGTCCAAAAACTCCAGGACCCCCTCCTTAAGGACCTTACACGTGAACCTGATTCCTCCACCACATTTGCCAAAAATTTCCAAAACGTCAGCCACTGAGGACACCGAGCCAACAAAAACCCTCTAGGAACACTAAGAAACCATCAACATAGCGAGCCACCTTTTTAACCGTGGTGGAACCTTATAGAGACCCTTCAATGTTCCGGTAAACTGTACTCGAGTAAATATCACTCAATACGGGTGCAACACATGAGCCAATACAAACACCCGTCTCGACAAAAAGCTTGAGGATGACGGTGCCACTGTGCAGTCGTGTTTGGTTCATCCTTGTTGTCTGCGTGTGAATGCGCTTAAGAGGTGGACCATCTGCGAACCTTTTGTCACGTGATCAATCCATGAGCGAATTGGGAAAGCAAATACACTCAGCAGGAAATCAATACCTATATGTGTTCCTCAGCGGAGCCGGCGCTTCCCAACATAAAAGCCAAGAAAACGCAAAAACCAAAAATGTATTGAGGTCCTACACACAGTCCTGCACAACTCCTACTTGTGGCGCCGAGCAAAGATGTCGGACGGCGGATCTTGTGGTCTGTGTTGATTCCCGCCGAGCTTGGCGAATCTCTCATGTTTCGATTAAGTGCTTCTAGTTATGATCGTGCATGAATTATAATGGCAAATTATGCCTCCTATACGCTTTCGACGCATATGCATTGCCCGCTATGGGTTCCTCACACTCAAGCATTTTCGATAAAATTTATCGCATTAACACATTCTGTGTATTTGAAACTCTACACAGTCATGGAAGTCTATGAGAAGACTCTTCCCGTCTCATCCATAGGTGGCAAAAAGCATTACAGGTTCTTTCTTTACCGCCCTATGTATTCCCATTTCACTGCAAATCAGGTCATCTGCACGGCATCATCTCTGAGAAAAGGAAGAGACGCACCCGCTCGTAATAGAAGTGTTCCCTGATAACCTTGTTTTCTTCGGGGTTGGCACTGAGTAGCCAGAGGGGAGGTCTGCACAAGCTCCAAGTTCGCGACGTTCCTCCCTGCTCGCCCTTGCTTGAGGCTCCCTTGATTGAACCTTCTGCACATGTCACAAAATACAATCTCAGAAATCTCTGCAGGGAGCAGCTTGCAGGTCCTGCCAAATAGAAAACATCCTAACAACAGTGCAAAGGGTTTTCACTCATCACTCAACAACAATAAATAAAATAAGCTTTGATAGCTACCAAAAAAAGGGCTGAAAATCTGCACAATTATTTTTGAAAACATGGTAAAATGGAAGTGTCCCAGCACACAAAACAGATTTATTTAATCCGTTTGACTCACAAGTGGAAATTGCCGCCGAGTGCGATTTGCTGGCTCCACACCGACGGCAAATCGCGGCAGGCGGCAATGTCCTGGTTCCGCTTTGTCCCGCCGCGTGGATTAGTGCCACCGGTAGTTCTATTTAACACTACTAAAAAGGTGTAAATTTTTCTTTAAGTCACTTTTTAGTGAGTTGTCTTCTTGCAGGTCACCCAACGGATGTTGTCAGAAAGTTTCACTCCTGTCATTAAAGTACTTTTTCAGAAATAAATGATTTCCGACATCCACTTAAAAAGCTGCTTTCTGAACGTTCAATCACATTTATCTCAATTTCACTTTTTGTCATCAAAACTTGGTCAAGGACAACTATCACTTGATAATGGATTGATGTATGGAGTTAGTTTTTCAAGTTTCTATACTGAAACTTCCTAAGTAACGAACCTCTAAACTTACTTTCTGCATTTTCATGCTCTTTTGTTTTGAAAGGCTTCAGTATCTTCAACAAACAAATTTTTTTCTTTTCTATTAAAAATTGTGTTATTTTTGTTATTTCTCTTCACAGCTGTATGCAGTAGGTGTTATACTGTATGTTTCCTCAAAAGAACTGGCCATTATGTACTACCGTCTCTAAATATTAGTTATTAATTTTCCTCAGGGGGTGAGGCGTTTATATGATGAACTTTTACGGAACTCTTTGAAGGATTAATTTATGAACTTGAAACATTGTATGGTAACCTCCTCCACAGTGCTGAATATGCCCCGCAAATTTTATGCAAATAGGACTCACAGTTAAAAAGTTGGCCTTTTGAAGTGACCCTACAGTGTAGGTAGTTTAGCTTCTTTTTTTGACGGTTTGTAACTTTATATGTATTATACAGCCATAAAGAAAACTTCCAGACTTTCCACTCTGGTGAAGAAGGAAGACCAGTGAAGCTGTACTATGATGGGACGACCTCAAGGACGTCTAGGATGACTTCTAGGACGACCTTAGGGACGACGTCTGGGACGACCTTAGGAACGACGTCTGGGACGACCTTAGGAACGACGTCTGGGATGACCTTAGGGACGACGTCTGGGACGACCTTAGGGACGACGTCTCGGACGACCTTAGGGACGACGTCTGGGACGACCTTAGGGACGACGTCAGGGACGACCTTAGGGACGACGTCTGGGACGACCTTAGGGACGACGTCTGGGACGACCTTAGGGACGACGTCTGGGACGACCTTAGGGACGACGTCTGGGACGTCCTTAGGGACGACGTCTAGGACGACCTTAGGGACAACGTCTAGGACGACCTCAAGGACGGCGTTTTGGACGACCTCAGGGACGATTTGAAGGACGACCTCAGGGACAATTTCAAGGACGACCTCAAGGACGACTTCTAGGACGACTCACAGGAGAACGTCTAGGACGGCCTCAAGGACAACTTCTAGGGCGACCTTAAGGACGACTTCTAGGGCGACCTCAAGGACGACATCTAGGAGTGGAAAGGCTGGAAATGTTGCCGCCATCTATGAGTGAGGCCAGCAAGCCGGTTGTCTGGTTGCCACCGTCGCTCATAGATGGCGGCAGCTGTCCAGAGTTTGTGTCGACATTTGTTTAGTACCGGACACGATCCTCAAGAACCTAGCCCTTAACAGCTCCACTGTAAAATGTCAAATTAAATAACCAGACTGTGAATATACGTTAATGTTTTAATATTATGTTTAATCTGACTCATTAGTTTATTAATCTGCTTTTAATAAACCCCAGTCTCCGATCCTGAAATATTTTTTCCTCGAGCTACAACGTCCGCAATAATTCACGTAAGCGGCCTGTTGGATATAACAAATTCAAAAAAGTAAGTGAGGAACTGTACAGATAATGTATATATTAAAGTAAAAAAAAATAAAGTTTAAAATGATATTTCCATGTGCTGTCAAAAACGTATAAAAAATTGCCCCGCAATTTTGTTGCTACGCGAGACATCCTTGGTTTAGCGCTCTGCAGGCAGTTCTTCTCGAGCCCTGCCTCCACGAGTGACCACTGACTCCTCTTCACCCATTGACCCATTGGCTTTCTCCGTCGGCCTGCGTTCACAGGGTATTTGGAACGAAAGGCTGCGGCTGCTCATGTGTAAATCTAGCGGGAAAACTGAATTGGTGTGTAGGTCCCGTGACATCTAGCCAGGCGACGTCACTTACCCCACTAAATTTAGCGGGGAAATTCACGGTTATGCTCTTTGTGGCTTCACTTAATCCGAAAGCCTAGCCTAAAAACGTTTCATGTTAAAAACGAAATCGCGTCAGCCAACGAAAATTATGAGACATTAAATTACGGAGCATCTTACGATATTACATTTTCCAGAAGCGACATGTCAATAGATTACATGTGAAGTATAGTATTCAATCCACTTCGCATTCAGTTACGGCAAGCCGCAGATTTCCAATATCAAATACAGATGGCGACAGACGCATAGCTTGGAACGCCACGGGAGGGATGAAAACGGCGCTAGATGTTTGGGTGTCAGGTGTCTGGATGCTTACAGCGACCCTAGAACAGCAAGAGTGAGGCTCTGGGTGGACAACAGCCGCTTTCGAATGCGTTCCACCGTGCATCATTATGCCCATATGACATGGACGCAACGAAAGGGATTCCTGGGGCTGCAATTCTACCAAGTATGCTAATTTTTTTTTTGTGTGTGTGCTTTTTAATTGCAGAAATTATTATTTTGCAATCGCACTATGGCTCGACGAAATGGTGCGACTATATTTTGTTTCACGGCCGTCTGGGATGCTTTTAGCTGGAAATAATATATGAAAAAGTCTCCGAGGCAGAGCACCAGCCTACGGATCCCGGTTAGGCAGCTTCGAGTCCCAGCCGAGGTGCCCGCAACCTTATTGAGAAGGTGCCGCGGCAATGGAGATTTCGGTACCATAACCAAATATTGGGTTAAGAATTGAACTACTTTGCTGGGGTGTACCAGACATATTAGAATAGATAACTCAACAAGCGAACCAATCAAGCGGCAGTACAGAGCCACGCAGTTCATTTTTTTTTTCGAGCGTTTTGTCTTCCTACCTTTACTGACTATACTTGTCAGACTTCTGAGAAAGTATTATATATTAACATATTCTTGCCAAGGAAAAAATGGTGATTAGTGCAACAATTATCTTTTTATGTTTCTGATCGAAAACTACACCAATACTCGTAGCGACGTTACTTGTTCGCTCGGATATAAAAAAAGAGTGCTCTCGAACGCTTTCCCTTTTATTTTTATTTGTATGCTTTTATTTCATAGCTGCCTCGGAGACACCTGGGCAAAGCACCGGCCTACAGGTCCCCGAACTTTGGGTGAATCTAATTATATTAAACGTTCGATCTCACCCTGGTGGCAGTTACGGCCAAAACTGGTAGAGACTGTTAACGTTTGTTTGCTCTACTGACGGCTAGCTCCTGGTTAGCTTAGTTGGTAGAGCGCTTTGCCGGTCTCCAAGAGGCCCCAAGATCGATTCCTGGACCAGGCGGATATTTACAGCGTCAACAAGTCACCTAGAGGGAGACAAGTGTGCTCCATTTCAGGTATGCGTAAATTCATTTGTGCGTAAATCTTTTTACCATGGGGATTTCCTCTAAATTATTTTATGTACTTCATATCGCAAATTGTGCGCAGTGTTAACGGGGGAATGTCAACGGGTCGGCTCATTGCATAATTTCTCGCCTTAGTGAAGCACTTTCTAAAGTCGTGCACTGACGCCTGTACTTCACAAGAAGGTCAGAAACATCATAAATAAAAAAAGCATATAAACCAAATTTATTTTAATATCTCCAACCTAAATTAGAGTTATTTAATTTCAATCACCTTAAACTAACGATTTCTGCTTTCAAACTCACGCAGTCTGATACAGTCGACTCTCATTAATTCAAACTTGTGGATAATTCACACTAACATGCATCTCTATGGGAGGAAACTCCCGGTAATTCAAACTCTGCTTTATTCAAACTAATTTTTGGTCCCCGTCGAGTTTGAATTAATGAGATTCGACTGTAGTTTCTCAACGACAGTGGCTTTTTGCATTTAGTTCTCAGGAGCGTGAAGTGGTGGTCTCAAAAGAGATGCATAGAAGCTCGTGTAAGACAACGCCGATTATACCGTCCAATGCAAGATCAACCTTAACTCAGTCTGTCTATCCGTACCTCTTTCTTTCTTTCTCTGCTGGTGTGTGTGCTTCTGTGTGCACACATACTTTTTTGTGCTCGTTACCTTCCTTCACATCTTAATTTGCATGCATAGGATGCCACAGAACTGAGCAAACAAAAGTGAAAGGAAGACGCAAAGCTCACCTTTCCAATTTTCTTAGGAGAATACTGTATTTAAAATATTGAGGTGGGCTAGTTGGCTCAACATACTGAAATTATAAAGCGCAAGGGACAGACACGGACATGAAGCAGACAGGACAGTGCTACACTCACAACTGGCATTTTAATAGAAAATTAAGGAGGAGAAGAAAGAAGCAATAGAAGCTGTACAGAAGACAAAAAGGACAAAAATAAAAGAAAGAAGTTAGAGAAGTAGGAGAATGATAGATAGGAATTGTAGATATAAATTAATATGTACAAATAAATAAACAAAAATTTTAAAATTATTATTAAAGACATTAAAAAATGCAACTCAACATCATTTCAACACGACTTTGAAGGATGGATGAAGTTTGAGAGGATCATCCACCTAACTAGAAACCTTTTGACACCTCATGTAGGCTGGTGGAGGTATAATGGTTCTTCGTCTGACAGGGACACAGAAGGTGCACTCACACAGACGTCAACACAAGCCTTGATTATCTGCGTATTTTGCTACCGTATATTACCGTATTTTGCTCGTGTACAGCCCGATATATATCTATTTTCCTTGGTTGGTTATTCTTTTAAATAGATACAAAATAAAGGAGCATGAAAAGCTTTATGAGCATGAAAAGCTTTAAGTACCAAACAGAACCGATAAAAATAATTTTTTTTCAATTTCATTTTTTAAAAAAAAATATGATTTAAATCACAAGAAGCTGGAGTGGGTAGGTACTTCAAATCATTCCACAGAGCAACAAAACAACATAAGAAAAAACCTCAGTCCCAACAATTACTAGCTTCAGGAATGAGAATGAGGTACAACTTACCCCCAAGGGAAAGGTGTGCACCTTGATCCGCAGACACAACCGAGTCCTCCGAACTTGCGCCCCTTCAACCAAATGCGCCAGGCTCGTTAATGCATTTCGAACTAGCACATCCACAATTTAAAATTTCACCGCTTGCATGCATAACAGACAAAATGGAACAGCGGTCCTGAGACTTACGTGGAGCCAAGTTTGATGGTCTGCAGCAAGCAGTCGTCGCACACACGGACTTTCGCCTTCCCAAAGCCTTCCACCAGCATGGAGTGCTGCGAGCAGGAGGCACAGACGACGCGGCCACAACGACGGCAGTGGTGACGGCGACTGAACTGCGCCGAGATACGTTTACTTCAGTGCACAATGCTTCGTAGAAACCCCGATACAGTTCTACCCTTGAATACGAGCTCCTAGTAATTCAAACTTTTCTTTATTCAAACAAATTTTGGGTCCCCCTCGAGTTCGAATTAGCGAGATTCGACTGTACCAATGTCATTGGTTGGATACATGCAGATTTCAATTCACTTTTTACCCATAAAACAGCGTCTTGTATTAATAAATATTATGCCAATATTCGAATAGTAGTTTTTAATATGCCCTTCAATATTCACTTCGAGATGAACTCTCGTAATCTCTAAGAGTTGACTGCGGCAGCCCTGTTGAGTCAAGCACCGCTGCGGAGACGCAACATCCTTGGAGCTCGCTTCCGCAGGTGTTGCCTTTCCACAGTGCACCGGTGCTCGGTAAGAGCTCAACGGGGGCGGACCCGCTGCAATCAACACTCAACATGCGACATTGTAGTCGCGTGCTCGGGAGTAAAGCCCAATTTAAAAGCGGGCTGGCGCATGCGCGTGTTCGGTGTATTTAAAACGGAAAGTTTGTGAATGTTGATGTTTACACTACAGTAAAATTTTCAAAATAAAGACTGGCTATTATGGGAGGATATATGTTAAGCAGATATGTCCTGAGAGTCTGCATTCATTACTCGCCATTGTCTTTGTTTCTTTTCTCAAATTCGAGATGTAAGAAAGGACATTTGCATAGAGCAAGAAGATTTACGAATTTCAATTGGGTACAGCTGGACATCTCTAGAGGTTTAATTTTATGTCAAATGCATTGTTTACTTGCTATATCAATGTAGGCAGTGGACTTTCCGAGGCCACAATCCAGAAAAATGGCTCAAATCAAACTTGCTTAAGTATGGACAAGCTTGGGAACTACCATTACGAGTTCGGCTGAGTTTTCATTTAAGCATGGTGCAATAGTGAAAGGCTTGGACAAACTATTTGATATTGGAAAATATTAGGCCAAGGTCACTATTCGTGTTGGACTCGCTTCAAATTTGAAATCCACTATTTGCACAAGATTAATAAATATTCTTTACAGAGCAGACTTAACTGAGAGCAAGATTCAGCATGGGGACCCGGCACTTAAAGGGTGCGTCGAATAAGCATGTAACAGCCGTGGCTACTTCGAATTTCTCAGCAAACCAACCAGGAAAGGCCATAATGAGCTGCTTGATGCGAGTGCAATGTTTTCAGCAGCAATATGCACTAGCCTCAGCAGAGGACTTTTTGTTCGGAACCAGAGGGGCTGGCGCTAATCGGGGCATCTGTAGCATTCTTGAGTCTGACAGACTTTGTTGGTTGAAATCCCCTTTACCTGGTGGCCCTCGTGTCTGAAGATAGTATGGGGAGTTAGGACATACCACATTGGGACTTTTACTGCACTTCCAACAATAGAGTAAAGCGGTGAAACTCACGAAAATTCATGAAACATAGTTTTAATGTAATGGCATCGAGGGAGCTACAGCAACCCCACATTCCAGCCATGCTCACATGCCGAAAATGACGGAAATGAATTGAGTAGTCTTGTGCGAATAGTGGATTTTGAGTTCGAAGCAAAATTGAAGCGAATAGTGGCTTTGGCCGAATATTTTCGATTCGAATATCGAATAGTTTTTCCACGCCTTTCACTACCATTGCATAATGCTCAGACGAAAACTCAGCTAAACTTGTGAAGGTTGTTCTACTTGTTCATTTATAAGCTAAGTTTCATCTATCTGTATTTATGAACTGTGACTTCAGAAGGTCTGGTGTCCTCGGATGGCAAGTAAACGACAGATTTGACATAAAATGAATCATGTAGAGATGGCCAACTATACCCGATAGTGTTAATTTACAAATCTTGCCATATAAAATATTCTTTCTTTAATCTCGAGTTAAAAAAGAATGAATTGTGGATCATGAACGCAGGTTGTAAGGGCATCCCTGGCTAACATAGTATACTCTTGCATAACAGTTTAATTTTAAACCTTTTACTGCAATGTAGATGTACACATTCACAAAGTTTTAATTTATTTTCACTTGCAGTCAACACAGGTGCACCATTTCGCTTTGAATGTATGCTTTACTTCCAAGCACGCTATTACGATGTTCATACTTTTCTAAGTGTTTATCGCGGCGTGTTACTTTGTTGAGTGCACTTCTTACTAAAAACCGGTGCACTGCGGAGAAGCAACACCCGCGGAGCTCGCTTCCGCGGGTATTGCTTCTTTGCAGCGCACCGGTGCTTGGCAAGAAGCGCACTCAACGTGGCCAACCCGCCGCAATCAACACTTCGAAAAACGCGAATAGTGCAGTTCTTCTCGAAGCGAATATCGAATAGTGTATTATTCGGAACTACTATTCGAAATTTTGAATATTTGCACAACCCTAGAATTGAGGTTCTGATGATCCATGTTCCTGAGCGAGCCAGCTGGGGGTCGCATTCAGGTCCCCACCAGAGATACAAGAAGTGTTCTTTTCAAACCAAGCACGAATGATTTTCGCGTTTTCTTTGAGGTTGAACACCTTTTTTCTACAGCGGAGCTGTTAAGGGCTAGTTTCCCCAGTTTCGTGTCCGGTACCAAACAAATGTCGACACAAAAGTACACAAAGCTCTGGACAGCTACCGCCATCTATGAACGACGGCGGCAACCAGACAGTCAATCTGGTTATCGCCGTCACTGATAGATGGCGGCAACCTTTCCAGCTATAATAGAAGAATGGATAGTTGGGCGCGTTGGTGGGAATTTATCGTAGGAAACAGTGCAAAAAACAGACGACGACAAAGAAGCACACAGTGTATCGAGTACAGCTCCGCTGGTCTTCCTTCTTCACAAGAGTGGAAAGGCTGAACGATTTTGTTATATCTTGGGCTCTGACAATAGACGGTTTTAGTAGACCGTGTTTTCAAGCAACGCTTCTATGGCGGGAGATAGCGCTGAGTCCTGTCGGTTACCTTTTACTTTGTCCTCATCTTTGCGCTGTTTTGTTTTTAATTACGCCTGCATACCAACTAGCCCAAACTTCTAGTTTAATCAACAATATTTCTTATATATCGGGCTCTTTTCAATGTTTTAATTTTACAGCACTTTGTCCTGTCGGTTAACTTTTACTTTGTCCTTCTCTTTGCGCTGTTTTGTTTTTAATTATGCCTGCATACCTACTAGCCAAAACTTCTAGGTTAATCAACTATATTTCTTATATATCAGGTTCTTCTTAATGTTTTAATTTGACACCCTATTAAAAAATGAAAGTCATTTACAACTCCCTGTAACGCCAGATTAGAGCGCAGCTCTTGAGGAGGATGGATGAGTACTGAGGGGTAGGTGACTCCCTGAGGTCACGTGACCTCAGGGAGGGGCCACGTGACCTCAGGAAGTTGACGTGAGCGTAACTCTCATGACCCTCTTCACCCTTGTGAGGGTAACCTTTTTGAGGGTAACTAACCCTCGCAACCCTCGTGAGAGTAACGCTCGTGACTTTTGTAAGGCTAACCCTTGTGATCCTCGTAAGGATAACCCTTGTAACCCTCAAGAGAGTAACCCTCGTAACCCTCGTGAGAGTAACCCTCGTAACCCTCGTGAGAGTAACCTTTGTGAGGGTAACCCTCATAACCCTCGTGAGAATAACCCTCGTGAGAATAACCCTCGTAACCCTCACGAGGGTAACCCACGTGACGTCATTATGGGAAACTTCCCATAATGCGTCATTATGGGAAACTTCCCATAATGCAACGCGCGATAATGCCGGCGGTGACGGCGACACCGCTCAAGACGGTAACAGGAGCTTAAAGGGGCCCTGCAAGGACTTTTTACTGTTTTTTAATTTGCACCGAACCTGAGCGCACTGAACGTAGTAAATTAGTGAAATTTTTCTTTCCGCGAAATTCGCTTCATTTTAAAAGTTATAGGCAATTTAGAATTACAAAAACAAGCAAAAAATAACCTCCTTCATGACGTCGTAGGTCCTGGCTTGAGTGGCCGTGAACTAGAGGAGGAATAGTGAGCTCATCGAGCGCTCACGGCCGCCGCACTCCGTGTCGACGGCGTCAGAGGGCGCCACTAAAGCACGTTCTGGATAGGCTGTATGCAGCGGGCAGCCAAAGCAGCTTTCATTGCGTTTTCTGCGCGATTAAACACTAATTCGGCATGACACTTTATTGGCCACAAACGACCGCAAACACGGGGTAAAGATCAGTTCAGAATGGGAGCCCACTTCGCGCTGCCATACCGCGAAACGCCCAAACCCTAAGACAAAGCCTTTCGCGGAAGGCCTTCGGAACGCTCGGAGCCGGTAGGATCCTCCTGTCCATACGACTGCAGCGCCACCGCGTACATCCGGGATTTTTCCGTGTCGGCGCCTTATCCCACTACTCTTTTCTAGTATGCGCCGCCTTTTCCGCCGCTTGGCAGCGGGTATGTTGACAGGTCATTTCTTGTTTCCGTACTTTATAAACTGCATTTCTTTCTTTTTTTCATCTATAATAGTGAACAAAAACTACTTTTATAAATAATTGAAACGGTTCGCACCACTTATATTTTGTATTTCGACCAAAAAGAAGTTTTTAGTGGCTCTGACCAGTAGTAAGCCCAGGACCAAAGACGTCACATTTTGCGCGCTTTCGGTATTGTGGGTCGCTCTCGTCGGTGGAGGAGGTTTTCGTGTCGTCCGGTTAAAATATGGCGCACTGATATATAGCTACTCTTTCCGTGCCCGCTGGCTTGCCCGAACCCGAAGAGACGTGGAAACTGCATAAAAGGTAGACGCTTAAATATGATTGCAGGGCCCCTTTAAGAGCTGCGATCTAAAAAATTTTTGTTGCTTGCTTAACTTTTTTCCATGGATCAAGAGGATTTTTTTATGTCTCTCGCTTTTCCGTTTTTCTTTCATTTTTTGTTTAGTTATTTTTGTGTTTTGACACTTATACTGTGTGGAGGTCCCGGCCAGGTTCAGGTGTAAGCGGCCAGGTTCGGGTGTAACCGAGGCGGTGTTTGCGGTCTCCGCCAACTGCGTAACGCTCTACTGTATTAAGCAGCTCTTGGATGCTCTATTTGGTAAGCTCCCCTTTGTCGCGACCCTTGGTATTAGCAGAGACGAAGAGAAATTTCAACTCAAGCTTAATTTAACATATTTATGTATATCAAATTATTGATATATCAAACTATTTTACGATATCTCCAAGTTCAACTCTGTCTCTGTGTGTGTGTGTGTTTATACATATATTTATTTTTTGCTTTGCCTATCTTGGAGCAGGTCTAGCACAATTCTTAGCAAAACTGGAACTCTGGTACAAGATGTTGCGGACTTTCATTCATGGTGCAATTTGGTGCAAATGACGTAGCACTACCATTTTCGCAAAGAAAATAATGTAGTGCCTTTAATTAGTGCTTTTTAATGTGAAATCACTCATTATCCCGGAATTTTCAGAAGTGAGCGGAGTTGCACTTTAAATCGAGAATTTCATCAAATCAAGTTTCACAAAATCAAGTTTCAACTGTAACTTGTTGCAAGCGGTCTAGAATTACATTACATAGCAACACGAGCGTTCAAAGCATCCGATATTTCGTTATTCCTGGCTCGTTACAAGTGGGTTTCATATAAAAGTGAGCTGGAGCTGCGGTGGACTTACCATGCTGAAGTGCTCAATGCGGCAGACCATGCAGCACGCCACCTCAGTATCTGGAGTCCACTCCGACTCTGGAGGAGGCTTGGGAGGCATGACAAAGGCTCCGTCGCTGCTTCCGACCGAAGAGTTGCTTGCAGCCGGCTGGGATGCCATGTCTGGCTCAGCTGCACAAACCAAGCATCCAGGCCCAAACAAACCGTTTCACAAGGTGTCAGCTTCTGATGAAAAAAGTAGCAGCCTGACCATCCCTATTGAGCTGGGGACTGAGGTACAGGAGATGACATAAAACTTAGAAGTGAGTTCTTTAAAAAAAAAAAAAAAAAAGGTATTTTGTGAGAAATGTGTTTTAGGCCTCAAGGGCAACATTTTCTGGAAACTTTGGGAGCGGCACAGTTGGTCCCTCACAGGAAGGCGACGGCAGGAGTAGCAGTTCGAGGGCCTTGGAAGCGTACGTCTCAAGCAGAGCGTTGGCCGCCTCCCTTCGGAACGGAGATTGCTCCCGGTCCAGGAAGGGGGAAACGGCCTCCAGGGACCGGCCGACCGCGTCCACCTGCGCCAGATGGGCCCCAGGGTGAGTGCACTCGTGCATTCACGAATACTTCCCCTCCGGAGCACCCTCGCCAACATTTACCGTAAATACAGCACTAAGATTCATGTGCCCAAAACTCATGCTGAACACCTCCCACAAAGAAGGGAGCCCTTTCCCTTTTTTTAAAACAAAGGAGGAGGGTTGCCGAGAAAATGCATACTTCTAACGGAGGCATTTTGCAAGCCGACAAAGAGAATGAGATGCAACAGCGGAGGACTGGGGATCACCACAGGCTCTGTTTAAAATCTAATCAAAATCTCTGTAATGCAGTTCATATACTGTGTGGGATTTGCTAGCTACTGACAGAGGTACCGACAAAGGAACCATAGGGTTAACCCAAAGGTGGCGGCGATCTCAAAGGAGACGTCAAACATAGTTGCCTCGGTCCCCACATCTCCGCGGCAATGTAGACGACGTTTAGGGCCACATTACCATGGGTCAGTTCGAAAAATACTTCAATCGGTGCCAATGATTGCTACCTTGTCTCACTCTCGAATATAGCGGAGAAAGAAGCCACACGTACCAGAGTAAGGACAGAGTCCAAGAGCTTTTATTAAAAGTGTCTTAATGAACTACTATGTCCTCATCCAAAATGCCCCCCGTGCCGGCAAGAAAAGGTCCTTACCAAACAGACGCGGGGTTCAGGAGAGCCACAGGGCAGGAAAGTTGCCCATAACATTTCCCATCTCTTTTGCGGCCACGAACGATTCCCATTCCCGAAAGCGGGAAAAGACGAGGCAAAACCTCCTCGCCTGTAGGTCACGAGCCACATCCGAGCAGGGGAACGGAACGTGGTCTCCCCGGTAGGGAGTTAGGGGAGGGTCCTACAAGACAGGGGACCCTCCGCTTCACTGACAGGTTGGAGTTCACAGCGAAGGAGGCCGAACATTCCGACCCGCGGCCGCTACCACAGCCATCGGGGAAGGGAGACCACAGGAATCCCCACATCCGCAACCAACTTTGCATTTCTACTATACTAGCTTTTGTTTTGAGTGCCACCCAATAACAGCTTCCCACCTAATTGGCACACTTCTTAGTAAAAATATGAATACAATGTGGCAAAAAACTCAACTTGAAATGCATACGAGAGAGACAAGAACATCCGCAATAGTAATACTAGTAGAGGATTAAACACTAACTACAGAACAGTCATAGACACCTTTTTGAACTTGGGACGAATCGGGGTTAAAAATGTCTGTCAAAAAACCGGACATAAATTTGCTTTGGCCATGAAAAAATTCATTTTATATTTCTCGTGGGTCGCAAGGTAGCAGAGTTTGGGAAGTACTGCGGTGTCTCAGGATGATATTGCGAGATATAAATCGATCCTAGACAAAAACAGAAAGAGCATACCTCTGCATTCATAAGCTGTTGTTCCAGTAGCAGCGACGGGTGGTTGACTAGAGGCACGTAGTCCTGCTGCTTGGCTGTCTCGACACAGGTGAACATCTACGAAAGACAGAAGACACTTTAAAGAGTCAGTAGAGTGAACCCCGAGAACAGTGCCGCAATATCTTGAGGCATCGCCAGTCCTTGGGTCATCGCCCACCCTGCTTTTTGGACACCCAAAAGAAACACAGAGTGATCGCCCACCCTTACAAATACAGGATACTCTCACTTGAGCAAACGTCAGCTTAACGAATATTTCCGAATAACAAACTTTTAAAAAAATCCCCGGCGGTTTTCCTATGCATTTTAGGCAAAAATGTTCCAGTTAAACGAATTAACGAATTTCGGAACAGCGAATATTTCAGTTCAATGAACTTGATTGGTAGACCCAGGATTATTTTTGCCATCGGTTCAACGAAGTTTTGTGCTCTGCAGTGCTGGCGTAGCCGATGCCTGCCGCCCCGCCACCACCGCCGCCGCCGCCGCCTCTGCAGCGGCGGCGTATCATCACTAGTATTCACAGCGGCGGTGCAGTAGACGAAAACAAACTATGTGGTGCGTCTGTTTTTTCCTTGTCATCCGTTCCGTTTGGCCATCTTAATTTTGGGTAACAACAGCAGGATGGCAGCTTCTGCGCCCACTTTCATAATGAGTATGACGATACAGGAGCAGTTGTCTCTATCAGACAAACTCAAAATCCTTCGGCGTCTGGACAACGGTCAAAGGCAAGTGGACGTTGTGAAGGACTATGCGGTTCCGCCATCGACGTTGTCAACGATAGTGAAGCAAAAGTCGAAGCTTGAACGAGAAACTGCGTTCACTCCCAACGGGAAACTGCTCTGCACAGGATATTTAGAGCCTGGACGATGCTGTTGTGGTATGTCTTCGTCACAGCAACCAGCTGTGCCAGAGGAAGTGCAAAAAAACATAGACTCTCTAGAGAGTTTTGTTACTTCATGCACTTTTAAGAGCATTACTGCAAATGAAAATTAAATTTATTTTCAAAATGAGAAAGGCAGCAACTTAAAGGGGCCGTGCAACAATTTTCAGACTTTGGCCAATTAACTGCAGAAATTAATCTGCGTCACCTATGGAACGAAAAGCAGAAAACTGTATTTTCTTGCGAACGCTAGCTCTTATTTAAAAAAAATGCATCAAATCAAAGGTCAAAGTGCCTCTCAACTCTCCACGTCGACTTTCGATTAAAGTACTCTGGGTGTTCACGTGGTTTCCCCTTGGGACCTCTCTTCAAAAACCAGCCGCTTCCTCCGCGATTGTCGAGTTTTAAAGGATTAGCCTCGTCGAAGGTTGCGGCGAGCGATCGACACAAAGAACGGTTCGCCATGGGGCTGACAGCGAGAGTAGCAGCGGAGGGGGACAGGTTTTGTTGACTTTCGCGCATCCCCCAGAGACGGTGTCATTTTAGTTCCCGTAACCCCGACAGGCGGCTCCAGATCAGCAAATAATTTGTTTTTTGCTTTGCTATTACCCAGCAGAATAGCAGTTTTTCGGGGAAAGGTGACGTGTTTTTGGTCACTTGGGCTCGCATAAACAATATAAAAAATGTAAACTGCCAATTATTTCAACATTAAAATCATTGCACTGCCCCTCTAACTGTTATGCACTTTGTATGTATCAATGCACATGGCTCCATAAATTGCATTTCACACTTTTAACTCGAGGTGTGCAGTGCCTTATGCTGTTCCATGTTCTACTGTCGAGCCTGGTTATAACGAACTCAACAGTAACCGGAAATCACTTCGCTATATACTCCATTTCGTTATAAACGACTAGGATTAACGAAGTGCAAAAGGGAATGGAAAATAGGAATTGTTTCGCTCTAGCCGCTATTTTGTTATAACCGACTTCGTTATAAGCGGTCTCGACAGTAGTGAATATATTCAGTTTAGTGAACTTTCAGTTAAGTGAACTATTTCCTTGGGTCCCTTGAGGTTCGCTCAATTGAGAGTTTACTGTATACCCCAACGGGGAAAACCCAGTTCCTCTTCGAATGTCGCGACTGTAGACCGTTTGGTCAGAGGACATTGTGACATACTAAAACCAAAATAAAACCGTTTACGTATATTCTTCGTGATTTCCACTGTGCCAAGGTACATTCGTGCAAAGGGAAACGATAGAGATAACAAAAGAGGGAAAGCTCCGCTTTGATTAGAAAGAAGCACCATAAAATAAGGGGGGAGCCTGCCCCACTTTCACTGAAAGCCTGGTTAATCAAGACATATACACTGGCCCTGGTCAAATCGGGCACTTAACGTTGCAAAATTTTCAAGTTTGGAAAATGTTAGCAATGGGCACTTGAACAAAGTGGGTGTTTCTGTGGTATCTACGGCAAGTTTGATCGGACAAAAAAAAAGAATTAGACCGATAACATGAGCAGCCCCTCATCTGGGGATTGCGAGGTCAGCGAACACCGAATATCTTGGAAGGTCAAAGATGCTCTTTTTTAACGCGATAGCATTAGGAGCTCATGTGGATAAGGTCATAACGTCACAGCCATGTGATCTCGCGCGGGAATTTCAAACAACCTACACCGCTCACGTGAGATGTGACGTCACGCGTGGAATGAAAGTGATGAAAACATGATATGTAATGCGAATTAAAAGTCGCCGCATGTCTCAAATGATTTCACTTTATAAAGTGCAATAATGTGTCAAGAATTTTAGGCGGAGGCGGGATTCAGACTTACAACCCTTCAGTTGCGATTTAAACATGCTAATGACTAGGCCACGAAGACAAGCTTACACGCATTGGGAACAACGAGATTGGGAATGAGGGGGATAGATGCATGCACGGATACGTCTGAAGCCTTCGAATCGGGCGGCAACTTGCACTACCTAGCGGCGGCACCGACTGAATTGACCGATTTGGGGAGCTTGCACCAACTGAATAGGCTTTGACTAGGCTGTTAAATGCCCTTCTGTTCCGGGTGATGCATTCTTTGTAGTACCCCACACCGACGCCACGCGCTTTCGGAAAAAATACAAACAAATAGCCGGTAACAAAGTGCCACCGTGGCACTGTGAATGCCAAGGGCTCGTGCCAGCAGACGCGCTTCCACGCGCTCCGGAACAAAGAAAAACGAAAGAGTTTGGAACAAACTGGTCAGATGTCATCCCCCTAAGCAAAGTGCACACGAAGGCACCATAGCTTTGACAGTCCTCTTCACCTCGTTGCTGCGGTACAAAGATGTGCGTATGAGTCTCGTGCAGTGCCCACTAGATGGCCACAGTTGCTGCGATGTCGCGACAGAAAATTCGTCATTCTTAATTCCACATTTATTCGGAGTTAATTGTAGGAACTTGAGATTAAAAGGGCTCAGCCACATTGAATTACCACCGAGAAAGCACGCATTACGTGCTCGTTTGTGGATCTCCACCCCAAGCTGAAAATGTGCTGAAGCTTGACGAGAGTGTGACGCAAAGTGGCAGACGTCTCGGTGCCACCGCATGCTCACGTCCCACCAGTTGCCAGATGCTCAAAGACGTGCTGGCGGCAACGCATCTTGCCGTTGGTCACAGGTGTGTGCTCTCAAAGTCAACTGGGACTCCATCAAGTCACCATGGCGGGTTAACGCGACGTGTTGCAGCTATTGGTGTCACTGTGCTGTGGATTAACATAGGACTGCTCATTTTTTAATCAATTCATTTAATTTTTTATCGACAGATCACCAAAACTAAAGTTGAGGCTTGGGCGAGTTGGTACCTACTTCGGAATTAAAAACAGCGCTACGTCCGTGTCACTTCTTTGTCTGGTCCTCGTCTTTCCGCGCTGTTTTTAATTCCGAAGTTGAAAGAATTGAATTGAATTCCGAAATTAAAAGAATAAATAAAAAGAGCGTTCACTTTTAGGAATCAAGCCTGGAGCCTTCGCGCGAAAGCCAAGCACAGTAAACATTCGGCCACGCAGGCGCTTGCTCGGTGCGTGGCAGTATTGACACGCGTGATCCGTGTCGTTTAGTTTTTCGGCGCTCGTTTATGGCACATCTTCATCCAGAAGCAACAAACAACTACAGTCGCCGACTAAATATTTGGACGCCGATAATTCGGACTTGTTTAATATTTCGGACCTAAAGAGGAACCTTGACCTCCCCAGAAATAGTGCATATTCACAACCAATGTTTAGGACAGCTTGAAGTCTAAAGTTCAATATTTCGGTCAAAATAGTCAAGAGCGATCACTGAGGAGCAGCCATTTTGGATTCTATGTTGGCTGCACATGGATTGGCTTGGTTTGGCAGTGCTCCTTGGGTACTGCTAAGTCCTACCGCTAGGCGACGCTGTACAGCTTTTTACAGCGGAGCTGTTAAGGGCTAGGTTCCCCAGGATTGTATCCGTGTATGTCGACACAAACCTACCTGGACAGCTACCGCCATCTATAAGCAACGGCGGCAAGCACACAACCAGTATGGTTTCCACCGTCGCTCGTAGATGGCGCCAAACTTTCCAGCTATCATAGAAGAATGAATAGTTGGGCGCGTTGGTGGGAATTCATCGTAGGAAACAGCGTGAAAAACAGATGACGACGAAGAACAAGCACACAGTATATATAGTACAGCTCCGCTGGTCTTCCTTCTTTACGAGAGTGGAAAGGCTGAATGTTTTTATTCTCTAGCTGTGTGTCATTATCATCATCAATGTTTTCACCATTTTGCTTTGTTAATTTGCCATTGCAGTCGTGGACTTGCGCTTCTCATTTCGATCTCGTCTCGGTGAATCATTTTTCTGGACTACGCTGGCTTGAAAGTCCTTGCCCCATCTGTTCTTCCACTGCCGCGATGTGTTGCTAAGAAGCGCAGAAAGTATTCTATCATAATGCTAGAAAAAAAGGCAACGACTTTCAAAGTAATAGAAAGTTGCCGAACGCAAACTGAGGTGTAATTTGAAACAAGGCGCGCAGGCGTGACCGAAAACAAGGCACTATTTACGGCTATGTTAAGCCACTTAGAGATAATAACTGCGATGGCAAACGAAGAGGCTTCCACAAACCAAAGTCTGGATAAATCGGGATGCCTTCCGGAGTTAGAGGACAGGCTTGTAACGTACGTACCAGAAGCGTGCAATCAGTCCCCACCTATGACATGATCCCCGGCAAGCACAGAAGATGCAGCTGATGCTGTCATTTGCGAAGAGCGAGATTTCGTTGGACGACGCCAGTGACGTGCTTTGAGAACGTAGCAGTGATCACAAAGGGAACGACACCACCAGTGCGGACTAGTCAGTCTCTAGTCGCAGAGTGAGAAGGGAGCAGCCTCAGTTGTCCCACCTCCAGCGTGAGCTTCCAGCTTCGATAAAGCTTAGGCATCGCATGCACCTCGTGCGTGCATGCTCAGCCAAAAGGCATCAAGCGTGCGTTGGAGGCTGGGCTTTTGAAAGAAACACCCTGCCGTTCTCACATGTTCACCGTAAAACTGCAGCATTAAAAAAAAAAAATTCTTTCTTTTTTTTTGGGGGGTTGGTGCATTGTGGGGGAGTCTACTTACAATCTTGTAAATATGGTACGCTTCTGTCTAAGAATAAGGTAGGTGAAGTGTGTTCAGTTGAATATCGCGCACATTGCAGGAGGTGGGCCGTGTATTTACGTTTTAAGAAAAATATAATCAGCCATTAGAAGGACGAACAATCATTCTGTGGTAGGCATCAGTGCGTAACCCTACCAAGTTTGAAATTTTTGTTTTCTGAAGCAAAAGAAAGGCAGCTTTAAGGACCAGCACATTCGATCGTACGGGGCTACGAGAAAATTAATCGAACGACTCGACATCTGAACCGACTGAATGCAAAGAACTGTGAAACCTTGTTTGTGCTTGCTGCTTGTTACTACATAAGGGGCTCTGCCTTTCCCTTTGTGAAATTGAACCCTAGTTGCCAAGAAAGAAGGAACTCCTTCCCGTCTTGGACGAGCAATCTTTGCTCCTGCCGTTCATGCTCGACCGCTGCCAACCAATCCGAGACAACTGCTTGCTACACAACCCCACCAAAATCCTTTCCGACCATTTTCTAAAGAAACTCAGGACTTCGTCGGTCGAGTAAGCCATCTCAACGCTACCTTGCACCACCCGGGGGAAGCGAGCAGGTAAAAGCAACCATCTTGAACCCATGGCTTCTACCGCCGTTATATAAACTGCCCTCAATAAAAAAAATTTTTTTAATCGCACAAATAAATTACGCATTGCTAATGCTCACTCTCCACCAAAATGTAGCGTAAGTGGTCCGAACGCCAAAGTTTCAGAACAAACCATTGTTTTATTCGAAAGTTAGAAGCAATTGTTTTTCAGAACAAACCATTATTTTATTTAAAAGTTAAAAACCAATTTTTTTTAATTTTATTGAGGAAATTGAAACCCGTTAAGATAGTTTTGGCCGCTGAGTCCCACGCATTTGTTGGCTCTACAGGCCACCATTTTGCTCTTAAATTTTTCAAAAATTGCTCAAATTGTTTTGAGAATGATAACATTCTAAAATTTTGCCACCTTGTTTGGACCACTTATATTTGGACGGGAAACCCAGCATTTGGTCATGCATATACTTTAAGTTTGCGGTGGAAAAACACTAAATTTCAAGGAACAACAGTATGCAAGTGATGTAGTTAGGAAACATAATCTAAACCCCGAGACAGGGAGATCGGTCCATTATTTTATTTCTCCCTGTCTCAGAGTTTATGACTACATGTTTGTTCTTGGGACACGTTGTACTTAGAGCGTGACGAAAAATTATGCTTGTTCTCATCCAGAAGAGAGGAGAGGAATGATTGCCTGCAGAACATACATGAAAGATAGCGAGCAAGAGGCCGGAGTAAACGAGATGCCCGAACAAACGAGCGAGGCATGCAATCAACAATCCCGGTAGGCACATGAACGACACATTCAATAAATTAATTTTATCATCATAAATGTTGCAAATGAAGGTAAATATTATGTAAATACGTAAATAATAGCTTTGGTCACTACATTAGCTTCCTGCCTTCGAAAAACAATTTAAAAAAAAGGCTAAAACCTTTCGTTTGTTTGGTTTATTCTTGTTCATAGCGAGACTACCGACAGTAGGCCTTTACCAATGACTAGAGTGTGGGTGACCTGGACCAAAAAAAGGCAGTGCACAATGGCCGTCTCGAGATCCGAGGAAAGAATCACTCGAGGGTTGCACGCCCAAAGTTAGGCTCAACCTACCCGGAGCCCAATAGCCAACTGCTGGTAAGAGAGGAGCTCAGAGTCCATGAGGCAGTCCTTGTAGCATCCGAGGAGGTGGTCCAAGAGCAGGATCTGTCCCTGTCCATGAGGCAGACGCTCCAAGACTCTCTGCCAGAGCGGGAACGACTCCCGTTCCTTGTCAAACCCCTCCGTTAGCTGGACGACCAAAAGAGACAGCCATTCAGCAGACGCAAAACTAGAAACGAGACAATAAAGAGCATTTACCCGGAAGGCTGCTTCTGATGCGGGGGGCGACTGAGTGAGCAGATCAAGTGCCTTGAGTTCAGCCACTACCTGCAATTCATCCAAGAATACAAACACTTAACGCACAGTGTGTTCTATCAACTGAATTCTAAGAGGTCATGAAGATAAATTTTCCCACCAAATTTATAGGAAATTGATGTCACGTGGCCATGTACAGCATGGGAGAAGGGATTGAACTTGCATCAAAACTGACCGCACAACTGGGTTTCTTAACTTATCGTGCTGGAATTTACTAGCGAGGTGCTCGATTGAGAGTATGAATACATGAAATCTGCGAAGTCAAAAGAAAGAAAATAAGAACTCGTTTTGTCTATGGAAAAAGTATCGCTAAACCTGAATCATGATTCAAAAACCCTCCGAGACTGCAGGTAACGACACAAACACTCATAAGTCCGAAACACAGCTGAAATTTTATTTTCCAAAACGTGGTTAAATAGAACAAAAAAAAAAAAAGAAAACGAAGAGGGGGAAGGAAAAGCCCCGAGAACACCTCTTTCCGGAAATGTAATTTCTAAACAGTTAGCAGGCCAATGACGGCCTCCGTGACATCTTTCTCCTCTCCTATCTTTGAACCTTGTCACCTTGACCGAATACAAACAAAACAACTTTTCTTCCTGAAAGTTTGCCAAGCTTGGCAAATTTGCAAGTTTGCTAAGCTTGGCAATTTTGAAAATTATATGTTCAGCACCCGATTTGAGCGGACAAGCATCCGTGCCTAGATTAACCCCGTTTAAAGTGCAAGTGGAATTCTTCGGTAAATCAGAAAACAGACAAAAACAAAGAAAAACACCAACCAAACGGCAGTTGTCGGGAACGACGTGCAGCTCTGCCCAACGTGGAGCAGCGTTGTACAGTGAAGCTGCACTCAGCTTCTCCAGGACTAGGGTGGGATCAGAGACAGAGTGCTTGGCCACTTCCTTCCACGATGCTCCCAGGGGCACTGTCTCTCCAGACTCTCGGAGTCCCTCTGCAATCTGCGGCAAACACGAAGAAGGAAAATGCACTCGAGGACATCTGTAGTCGGAGAAAGATTAACCCTTCGAGTGCCACGCCAGAGTAGAAACGCGCCCACTCCCATGGGGTTTGCTCCCTGCCACTCACAACTCGGATATAAATTTTTTTTGTATTGTGCCATGTACGATCAAGCGATAAAAACAATCCTTTATCTTATAGTGTCACTTTTTTTAGGGCAAGTAAAAAATTTTTGTTCGGGAGACATTTCTTTTATTATGCTTTCCTGTTATTACAGAACTCTGTATTCAACAATCTTAAAATGACACTTTCTGAACTTTCTGATGCCATGTGTGCGACTGATAGGACTTACATTGCCCAGAATTTGTTGCTTGATCCATAAAACTAATCTTGATGAACACACCCGGTTTACCTTTTGATAAAATAAAACCTGCAAAAGCCAGGGCCAATAGCCCATACCAAGACGTCTGCCAAGAATCAAAGTAAGGTGATGAGACAACCCTCGACGGTCGTTGCCATATAGCGACCATTACACATTTAAAAGTTACCGTTTAAATGCTCTATTCTTTATGTCTTGGGCAAGCTATAAACATTATATCCACACCGTATTTCAGTTTGCCGCGGCTCTCAGCAGTTTCAAAATTCAACGCTCCGAGCAAGCGATACGCACGAGGTTGTCGGTTCACGTTGTGGTGACCATTGGTCGCCCTTCCCCGACGGCCGGTATAACAGCCGTGGTTCGGGACGCGCGACCTGGTTGCCTCGAGTTCCAACCTGTTCGTGAAGCGTAGGAGAGCCGCCTGGCTTGGAGGGCTCTCCTCCTCACTCTCTCCCGGGGGGACCTTTTTCCGTCCCCCCGCTCATCCGGGAACCTAGTTGTTTTGGGTGAGGACGATGCCCGTGGGGGGAGGAGGTCGACGCGCGTTCCCGACTTCGGGAACGTGGGGGACTCCTCCCGCGGATGCGATAGAGATTGGACGTGTCGCGAAGGACCTCCTTTGCCCGCTCTGGACTGCGCTCTCGGGACGGTGTCGACAGGGTGAGCACTTCATCTGACCTTGTCGGCGCGGGGGTTTTGGGGACAGTGTGTCTATTGGTGTTCCGATAAACACCGTTGGACCCAGTCCTATTGTGGTACGTGCTCCTCCATTTTAGAGAAGCGATCAGTTGTGCGGCTGACGTTCGGACCCGCCCGTAGCGGCGTTCTCGAGAGAAAGCTGCGGGGTGTGGGAGTAAGTAGGCTTGGCGTCTGCCGATTAGAGACCGCCGCATAACCCTTCGGTTACCACCACCCGTGACCATCCCACAGCGTGTTGGCTGCCCTAGCGGTAGTGCAATCCAAGACTGCTGGAATATGACTGAAGCAGACTGTCCAGAACGAAGACAACCCTTTGCCCTTAACATATTCAATCGATGCAACCCAAACAGCTAGCAAGGACCTGTACAAGCTAGATATAAAGAAAAACACCTGAACATTCCTATTTTTCTGGAAACAAAACAAGACTACCGTAATATCCCGAAAGATAGACCACCTAAAATCGAAAGCAAAGCGGCGAAAATAAAAAGTGAACAAACTTTCGCTGTGCGATCAAAAAAAGTTGAAAAAATGCTAGTTTTAGATTTTGTGAATCACAAAGCTTGTGATTACAGGGAGGGGCGACGGCCAAAGACGACTGCCCTTCCCAGTCAGCAGTGTATGATTATCTCCTGTTGCAGCTACGTAACACCATTTCTGCCAAGGTCGGCACTGGCCAGGGTCCTGCAATTATTAAAAGTGGGCTATCTTTAGGTGTTTTTGAAAAAAAAAAAATAGCAAATTATGGCAAAAAAGAATTATCTTTCAAGGGTGGGGCATCTCTCGGGATGATATATCTTTTGGGAAAAAGAAAGCGTTCCTAATTGGGTGAAGAAACTACCTGTTTGTAGAGGCGAAGCCTGTGCAGCTCGGCTGCCACTTTGGCGTGGAGTGTGGAGTTGCCGAGGTAGAGGCACTGGGACAGGAGACTCTCGAGCGTCTGACTGGCATGCAGGTCGGGCCACTTGAGGTGGTTTCCCAGCACACAGTCTACCCTGAGCTCCAGGTCGTGGATGCGCATGGCGTACGTCCAGGGGCCGCTGCGCACACAACAAAGCCCTATGGACGGACTGCACCCATAGTGTGGGACTCGAAAATCACGAGAAAAGAAAAACGAACTCCAAAGAACACAAAACAAAATTCTTCAGCGCAGTTTAACGGTGCTTGGGACTGGACCAGTCGGACTCTCACGCTTCGATTAAACCACGCCGCGAAGGATTACAAAGGTTGATGCTAACTAGAAAGGCAACGCGATGTACAGAAATTACCCCTTAGTAAAGGATACTAAGCGTAGCCCTCCCAATCGCAAAATATTGTGCCCACCAAACATTCCCAAAACCCACACTTCGTAAAATATGCAAAATATTGAGGCCGCGAAAGTAAAGTTAACAGTATTTGCCTTCAACTTTGCCGAAAGGTCTACAAGAGGAGAAAATGTTGTGTCGAAGACTGCCACTGCCGCTGAAGCAAACAGTCTCTATACTGCTGCTGCCGAGAAGCGGCAAGGGATGCTATCGTGCCAACATCGGCAGCGATGGCGTGACAAGCAACTCAATCGTCAATGTAAACCGCGTCGCCAAGAAAGATGCAGAAGCTACTCAATTGCCAATGTAGACAGCGTCGCCAACAAAAATGCGACAACCTACTTAATCGCCCATGTAAGAACGAAGCTGCAAAAACAAAGTCACCGTTTCGTGCGACGGTGTTTCCACGTAATGTTTAGCCACGAACTTGACCTGCGCCCTCGATTTTGGTCGCCTGTCTTGCGGGCGACGTAGGTGTCATTTACTCTATCCGTAGTGTACCAATTTGGAGTGTCAACTAAGCTCCTGGTCCACGATAGCGAATCGGGACCAGCGGTGGTGGTGCTCGCATACCACATTACGGCAGTGTCTTGAGAAAACATAGTGGCCAGCCGCACTTTTGAGCGCCATCAAGGCAGCATCTCTTAGTTGCCAAGAGCAAGTTCGGAAAGAATCTATGGAGTAAAAAATGTGCATGCATAGAGCCCTCCGCGAAAATCATACTCCTGACCAACAATTTCCTTGCGTGCGCGCAAAGCTTCTCAGCTCCCGTGTCAGCTCTCCTATCAGGTGGTGTGTTGCGAGATGAAGAGGCGCTAAGAAACAATGCCAAGTGAAGAAGCTGTGGCAGCCAGTGCATTGCACAAAGTGGGAGTTGCGTCAACCATAGACTCAAAGAACACAACTCGGAAGCATCAAAGGTTTCAAATGAGTCTTTTCACCCAATCGTCGTTCTTTATTTCTCCGACACTAGAATACTCAGCCAGGCACAACAACAGGTTTGGGAGAGAAATCATTGAATCATTTGCCATGGGGACTGTCCAACAGCAAACACTTCTTTACCTTCATTATCACTGACAAAGACAGATGTTGAATCCCTAACACTAGAGACGACTAGATTACTGATACCTTGTTGTCACGCTAGTGCTTTTTAAACTTAAATTTATAGTACATTTCTCTTTGAGACTGTCAACAATATTTCTGCAGCTTCATTATCACTGACAATGATGAAGGTTGAATTCTTTGCATCAGAGATAACTAGATTAGTACTGATACCTCGTCGTGACGCTGGCGCTTTTTAAACTTCTATATTTAGTATAGTAAATTCCCTTTCCTTTTTAAATATTTTCTCCTTTCCTTCTTCGAGAACGTTGAAAACTTTGGGGGCGTTTTTATAGTCAGTGCCATTTTATGTTGTTGTTGCGCAAAGAAAGAAGTCCTCTTTCCGTCCCCATCCTCAATTTTTTATCCTTTTAAGTATTTGTATCTACTAAGAGGGGACACTACCCAGAAAAAACAATTTCAGCAAAAAACAAAAAGTTGATTTTGAAAAAAAGCCATATTTACATCCACCAACATTTAGAGAGTATTTGTAGAAAGTGCCATTAGTTTGCACTGCATAGTTAATTTTTTACAAATTATTTTTGGTCCACCGATGCTAAAGGAAAGGTAGAGGTTAGTGCACTTTAAATGCATTTTTCTCCATTCCACATTTTGGCATAAATTTCACTTTAGGAAAATTATTGTTTTGTTATTATGTAACAGATTTATTTTTATGAGTTTTTCTGGAATGAAATTTTAAGGCAAAGACAGCTGTGAGCTTGTATTTTTTATTTTTGTCATTTTTCACGCTCAAGAACTAAAATTTTGGACAAAGGATGGAAATCTAAAAAAGGGTATCAGTGTATATGTGGTTTTCTTGTCATGAAAGATGGTGTAATATAGAAATATAACTCCATAGCTATCTGCTCTGCGCTGTCCTAAAGCAATATAACACATGAAAACGACAAATTTGTAAGTAACTTCAAAACGATAGTTTTCCTACGCAGACATGCCCACTTTCATTTTTGAACATTTGCAATATTTTTTTGTACTTCTCCCAGGCTAACGAAGCTTGGCAGAAATGTTCTCAACATCAACAAAAACAAGCCCTGTAAATGTAATTTAAATCAGAGAAGTGGTTCAAACATTCACTTCTTTTGGCAGTGTCCCCCCTTAACACGCTCGTTTTTGATAACAAAAAAAAAAGCCATTATTTTCTTTTAAAAATCGGAAATGGTCGACTGCAATGTCTGGGGTGGTATTGCGTGGAATGACCCATTTGCTTTATTTCAGACAAGCAGTCTGGGGGGCTCGTGTAAAAGAAGACAAGCTTGTCTTCCGATGGGAACCCAGCCCCTGGCTTGCACATCACTCAGCAACAAACTTCTAAGAAAATTTTTTTAGATGAACCAAACAAGTTGGAATATTGACTGCAGCTCATAAGAAGTTATCCAGCGCGGCCCGAGAGAGCGTCCGCAATATCCCAAAATGTGACGCACTACAGATAAGGCTTCTAAGAAATTTGTACCACACCGAAATTCGAATCAACCGTGAACATATCGTCGAGATATCGCATCTCCCCACTTCCTTCCAAGCTTGCTTCCTTTCTTATCGCCTTCTCCACACTCTTCCCTGTACGTGCGAAAACAAGCTCCATCAACGCCTTCTAGACAATGAGGTCGCAGTGCCGCATTTTCTACGTCACCTAGCAGAAGCCGGGATTAGGTTCGGGTGGGTTACAGGCTGAAGTTGAGCACACTGGTACATACTAGTGATTCGTCAGCTTGAACTTGCAGAAAGAGACGCAGAAAGGACAACTGTTCAAGTGAGACCCGTGCACAATCGGTGAAATTACAATTTTGCCCCCCAACGCCAATAGAGCACTGAGGCGACTCCCCTTCCTTGCAGGACTGTGTCACACAAAGTGGCTATACCTGGTTTCACCTTAAGTCTGGACGTAGCCAATCCTAAAAGATAGGACCAATTTTAAAAAAGTGTGAGACACATGACCATACATGACTGGTTCAACGAAGGCAGAACACAAACAGACACATGCCGAAAGTCGAGGCCATTTCATTGGTCCCACGTAGGCTCTGCCCGAACTGATAGGAAGTATAGGAGCCAGCCACAACACCCTTTATGGGTTAAAAAAACAACAGTCTGCGCAAGGTTGGCTGACCTGTCGTCCTCCTGCCAAGTGTCCCGGGAAGCCAGCAGCCGCAGCACGTTGCGCCTGTGCGCCGCGAGGTCGGAGGAGTGGTCCCCGTCCAGGGCGTCCACGAGCTCGACGAGGGAAAGGGCGGTCACCCAGTCTCCCTGGGATGAAAGCTCCTACGAGCAATGCCAGACGTGCCCCGGAATCAATGCTCAAATTCATTGAGGTGACCTCGCTTTTCACCCTTTGCAGCGGTTACATTTTGCACCATGTCCCTCGACAAGAACAAGTAGGACCGACCTCCAGCGTATGACGTTGCGTGCAAGCCACGTATCAACACGTGGAAGGTGCCAAAACATTGCCCGTTTTCAGTTCTACATCTATCCATTTGTCTTGGTAAAATCAGCGCAAAGACAAGGGAGGAAGCACGACAGGATACAGCACTACTTACCACTGGTATTTATTACTAAGTGTAAGGAAGACAGAAAAGTAGTACTGATAGTTAAAGGAGGAAGACACAAATAAAAAGACAAAGGGGTGGGAGAGAGAAATAATGATAAAAAAGAAAGAGAAGAAAAAGTAAGGGGAATTTGCAAGCTTGATTGCTGGTTTACACATCCGCATCGGCCGCACCCACACTGTCCAAAACGACAGCGACCTCCAGGACACCGGGAAAACCGTGGTTCATGTACTGAATGGTGAATACTTTTCCCGCTGACCATGTCACAGTTCTTTACATTCTGCCACCTGGGCCGCGTCCAGCACGCCGTTGGACTCAAACCTCAAGAACACATTATAAAGGACAAGAGCGCAAAAGACACGGACAAGTAGAAGAACAGGAGAGGACAAGACAAAGCATACGACATACGCAGTACTTTCGTCAAAATGGCTCAAGGATTGAAGTTCACAAACGAGTTGGCAAAAAACAACATGCTCCAATTTCTGGATTTGCAGCTTCTATTTCAAAGCAATTACACCCGTTGGATGTATAATCCACGGTCCAAAAAAAGGCTTCCATCATATGACTCGGCCCATTCTAAATTAATCAAGACGGATTGTAAAAAGCTGCCTGAAGGCGTCCCTGAAGAAATCTTGTGAACACTCAGCAAAGAAAAGCTTCAAGGCACAAGCGCAAAGGCTAGCTGACTCTGGGCATCCCAGTTATATTCCAGACTCCAGCGAACCATAGGGGGCGCGCTGGTCAAGCAAAATGGCGGACGAAAGGAGGTTGTTTTCGTCGTTCAGCACGCGGACCACCCTATATTTCTTGCACTACAGCGCAGAATTGGTGTACCATATGAAAGCAAAGTGACTTTTCGATGGCAGAAACCTTCTAGTCAGTGCGTAGGAATGGCACGGCGGAAGCATAAAAATAATTACTGGAAACTATGTTTGTTTCTATGCTGCCTACGAGAACCAAGCAGCGATAGCAGATGACGGAGTCGAAACGACCTCCTCTCTTAAGCTTCTTGGCGCTGCCGCTACGCGGCTTCGATTTCGCTGGTGTTGCCAATAGTGTTTGATGTTGCTGAAACTTTGGCAGCTTACAAAAGAGCAACCCGTTTGGAGAAACCGGCCTGCTATAGTTCCCTACAAGTACAGAGTAACACACAACTTGAAGAGGGTAGCCTCCAAGTTCAGAGTCAATGTAGCTATATATGCTCCGGACAAACTCAAGAGGCTGTGTCCCAAGGTCAATCTTGAGAAGCATCTAGAAGATCAATGCAGTGGGTCGTCTATGAGATTCCGCTCTCCTGTGGGAAAGTGTGTGTGGGTCAATCTGGCCGGTGTGTCAATATCAGACTACGTGAACACGCCCTTTCACGAAAATCGTCTCCGGCAGGACACCTCGTCCAACATATCCGAGACTGCAAATGCACCCCTGGGTTGTCTAAAGCCAGAATCCTCAAGCGACACCACAGCCTGAGAGCCGGGGAGATCTATGAGGCTTAGATCATCAAAGCCAGACGGGACAATTGCATTAGCGCACCGTCAGTGGCCTGATCTGACAGAGAACTCCAATACCTCAATTGGTTTTTTAAAACGCTACAATTTTTCAATTTTTTCTTTATCTGTTAGATGTTTCTTTAAACTTCTTTCTTTTTCTCTCATTTTTGTTTCTTATCGTTTTTTCTTTCTTATTTTCTTTCTCTAGTCTCATTTCCCCAGTCCAATTCTTCTTTATAACTTTTCATAAAAAAAGATATTTCTCTTTTCTTAGTTTTTTTTCTTTGACAGCAACCTTCCTCTTCCTTTCCTATCACTAAAAATCTCCAGTTTCGTTTTCCTCTTTCACATTAAAAAATGTCAGTTGATAGTAGCGCTTTGTCCTGTCCTGTCCTTCTGCTTGTCCGCGTCTTTTGCACGAAATTTTGACCGTCGTGACATCCGCAGGCATCAGAATTGGAAGTTCTCTCGGCAGTAGGAAAATGGGAGCGTTAGCGGCGGCGAGTTGGCAGTGTGCCGGTAGGTTTTGCTGCGCTGACGGCGCTGACTCTTTCCTGCTCGGGGGCAACAGTAGCCGTATCGGGTTTCAGGCGGAGGGCTCTTGGAACCTGCCCGCATTCGCCAAGAGCACTGTGAATGTGGCTGTAATCACGCTCGCTGTCAAAACATTCTGAGCATACACGAATGACCTCAGACCCGGGGTCCCTCAAACCGACGAGCCTGCACCAAGTGCTTCGACGTGGCTCATGAAGTAGCAAGCGGTGAAACTGCAACTGTTTCTTTTTAACCACCGGACTGCACAAACTGTGATTCGGGCACTTCGGTACACTGCAGCCTTTCGGCATAGCGACCGAGCGATTGATCACAAACAATGTAAACACTACTCGAGCAGCCAAAAAACGAAAGTCTGCCAGGAGCAAACCCGTTCAGCAGACGACGCTCGTGGGTTGACTGCGCAGGTGCAGTTCAGTGTTCCTCTTGCTTTGTTTACCCCTTGGATAGATGGCGCTTGACTCTCAGCATTATCAAATTTGCCAATTTTCGTCACATCTCTAATTAAGCTACAGAATGTCGACCCGAATATTGTTTAAAAAAACTTTTAGGAAACATTCTCCCACTATTTATTGTTTATAATCACGGTGCTGGTGAGGTTGGCTCTTACCCAATAGGCGACGTGGATTTGTCTGATGTGCTGCAGTTACGTGGATGTACCTCAGTGAAAAGGCAGAGAGCTTTCGAAGAAAAAAAGGTGTAAAAGGTCCTTTTTTTTTTAAAAAAAAGTTCTGTAGCGAAGAATGTTTTTGGCTCTTTATTTCTGTGTTTTAAAGTTTCTTTTCACACCTTTAACGACGTGCAAGGAATGAAATTCCATTTTAAAATCGTTTCATGGTCCCTTTAAAGACCCCAGGCTTAGCTTGCAGTAGTATTGCACTGGCTAAAAACCTCCACTACAGCTTAAAATGCCACCATACCTCAAAGGCAGACTGACCTTAAGGCTCGTTTGCACAGTTGTGTTTGATTTTGTTTTAAGGCTGCTTGCGTCGACCTGTTGCACTGCACGACGCAATGCAGCGCAACGCGGTCGACGCGAATTTGTGAACCAGCCTTTATGCTGTGGAAACATGAACACATGACTTTTTTTTCTGTAACCATGATTTGGGTAGTCCGTCCTTGTGGCCATCTTGGTGAAGAAGGCTACCTGAAGTGCCTCCCAGACCAGGCCTCCATGAGAACGGCCCCCGAGGGCCATGCCCATCCAGGCCTGGTGTGAACGGCTGGTGGCCACTTGCACCCAGAGCGAGTAGGCGTGCCCCAGCAGGTTCTCCAGCGGGGAAGCGCGGAACTTGAGGGCCTCCTCGAAGAATGCCTCCTTGGGCGCCTGCATAACAGAGTCAAGGGACTCTGTTACTTGCCTCACTGCAGACATCTGGTAAAACGACTCGGACAAGAACGGCAGGCAGGGTCCCTCCTCTAGCGTGCGCACCTTTGCTAACGGCCTCTCGTGAGCAGTCACTCAAAAGCCACTATAACTGGTCTAAAAAAGGGGGCTATCCTGTTTTACCCAGACTGCTTTCATGCACATATCCATGTATGCTGCATGATCTTAGTTACCAGCTGTCTTGCCTAGCCATATCTGCCGAAGTGCATCTTCATGGCTAGTTCCCATCTGTTGTGCAATATCTGCTGGCAAAGCTTCAATAACCAAATTCACATGTTTTTCAAAAACTTCTATTCTCCAGTAGAGGTATCCGACTCATCCAACGTCCACTTGGAACTTCCAGTAACCAGTCCCGAAGTTTACAAGCCTACATTCCTCGTTTTTAAAAAAAAATTGCTTCGCATAGTTGATTGGACCCTTGTCATCTGGCAGACTCGAAAAACAAATTCATGCAGCGGCGACATCAAAATTAGTTTGAAGCATCCTTAAAGGGACACTGACACCCCCCGAAATTTTTTTTCCAATTTTTGCCAGGCGCTTCATTATGGTGTCGGAGGACTACCCAATTAATATTTTGCAACAGAGTCGCGTATTTTTTTAATAAAGCCAAAAGACGCAACTGCCCGAAACCGAAACCGAAACATGGCGGAGGTCGGAGAAGTGGAGAGAAGAGAGTGGAGTGGCGGAAGTCACGTGACTACACCCGATTGTGCGTTTTTTTTATTCTTTTGCAGTTATGTTTGTTCCGCTCGTTGTTCTGTACTCCAAGATGAGTTATTTTGTACATTGAGGAGTTGGAGATGAGTAGTGAGTGCCCGTGGTGAATTTTCATGATCGGCTCCGAAAAGAATACACACAAGATGTTGCGTGAAGAGCTGGCTCACATGTCCTGTGTCCGAAAAAAAGTGGCATTGTGCGACAGAGTTTCCGAAAGATCAACGGGATTGGGACCAATGGCTGGCTGCAATTCCTGTAGAACATTTACGGGAACCTCGGAAAGCGGACGCTACCTGATTTATATGCTCCTTGCATTTTGTGGAAAGTGATTACATTGAGTTCGCAGGTGTCGAAAAGGAAATCCCATATCATTTAATTCAGCGACATGTATTCCACAACATGCTTCTTCTTTTTTTTTTTTTTGTTTCTTCAGTGATAATTGTAAAAAAAAAAAATGTAGACATCAAAAAATGACTGAAAAAAAAAAAAAAAAAAAAGTTTCACGGGGGATTGAACTTGGTCCTACCGCGTGTGAAGCGGACGTCTTTCCCACTGACCTACTGAGCAACCCTTTAGTGGGGAATCTCTTTTCTTAGTAATAATTCAGCCAGTAAACTGTACGTTGGAAAGTTTGCTGCCGCTTTTCCTCTAGCAAAAGCACTCCCGGGTCGAAGTCGGGAAGCACCACGCATTGGCGACATTCGCACCTAGTAAAGAAATCGTATGCGTGCATATTCAACTCGAAGTAGACACGTCGTGCTTGACGTTTGAGCGAGCGATGTCTTCAGCCACGAGAAGGGAGCGACGGCTCGGCGGCGTCTTTGTGCAAATCGGCTTGGTGGTCGGGCGTGTCGTACGGGATGAATACCAATTCTTTTGATCAGTCCCAAATTTCTCTTTTAAAGGCAGACGAAATTCGCCGGTACCGCGAACGACAGTTCTGAAATAGAGGTTCCACGCCCGTCGTCCACTGCCATCGCCGTCCCCACGAGACCCACGATACGCGAAACGACGCATGCACAGAATGCTTCCGGTTGTCCGTGGAACTTTTTTTTCAATCAACGTATTTGCAGCTTTTTAGAAGCCACAAAAAATGGGTTTCATATTTTTTTCTATTTTTAATATTGAGTGTGTGCTTTCAGTGACCTACGACTTTGATTAAATTTGGTGGTCGCATCGATACCTTAGAAAACGGCCTGTGACCGCGGAAAAGAGAGTGAGCGAGACTCGAACCGGCCAGTTCTTGATCGGCGGTTTTCGGGCAGAAAGAAACCGAATTTCGAGCCGCAAATTCTGTTCTGGATAGTTGAGCTCTCATGTGTCACGTACAACTAAAAACCTCGGCGAGTATGAATACCCTGTCAGTGTCCCTTTAAAGGGGCCCTCCGGAGCGTTCTGCGATGGTCTATTTATGGCGGTAACTCAATCTACGGGCCCTAAGGATTTTAAAAATCATAAAATTACGGTCATGCGCGGCCGATTTCCCTATTAAAATTGCTATCAAAGCCCCCCTTTCTGAGATGACCCCGGAAAATGGGAGGGGCATCTCTTTAGTGTCAACCAATAGCAAGCGAACGATTCCGGCTTCACTGCGCGTCACCAACGCGGCCGACCGCCGACGCGCGGAGGAATCTCTTGAACAAGCGCAGACCGTCGTCAAGGAGCCCGGACTTCGTGCTCGGCCGTCGTCGTTCGTGGCGCCGCACCATCGCGCTGCTACTGCAATACGCAGTCGCATTCCACAGATGACAAGGAAGAGTTTGACTCGTTGACATAGAAAGATCGCCAAGCTGGCTTCGGAGTCGGGATCCACGGGAAGAAGGAACACGTGTCCCGCCAACGCACGCCTGCACACGCCCTGGGAAGCAGACGACCCGACGCGCCGACACATCACACCCTAGCAACAAGCTTGCGGGGAGAAAACATAGTTCGCTGGTTTTGGAACGATAATTGCGAACTATGTTTCTCGCACAATCAGTTTACGTTTTTATCAAACTTTAATTTACAACAAGCTTAAAAAGTGTTGCGATAATAATGTTCGCTTTCACGACGAGATGCAGCATTTCCATTGGTCAAGTTTTAGCGATGGGCAGGGAATCGGGGATTGTCTTCCAAGAGAAAATAGTCCCGTTATATTTCTACTGCCATCTGCTTAATAAATTATTTTGTAATCTAAAACCTTGTATACATATTAACTTGCACCTACTAGGCAATATAACAACATAAACAGACGATCTCAGAAAGCTCCGGAGGGCCCCTTTAAATGTCTGCCATGGTTGGGAGAGTTATTCTTATTGACAACAATTTTGTTGAGAGTAAGAAGAAAAAACTCCAGGTACACCTAAGCACTTCTTATGAGTTGTGAACACGAAAGCATGCAAGCTGTTCGTCCGCTCCCTTTTTCGTCTGCTGCATACTTTTCATCGCCAGTAGCGCACGTGCTCCCCTGGGCACGCTGACCTTGGACGCTCAGTGTCAATGGCGCGCTGATGGACACGCAGTGCCACTGGGTGAGCGGTCGTGAAAACTGACGAGCGCAGCAGCCAATGGGAGCTCCGTCAACACACGTCAGCCAATAGAACCGAAGCCGAAATCCATCAGCTTTACTTCGCTCCTATTGGGATCGGGGAAACTAGGTGCCATTTTCGCGCTTCAAACTGATGACATAAGCTTGCCCCATGGGACAGTTAATGCTTTCGCATTACTAACGACCCCATGACTTTACTTAACACAGAAATTAAGCTACAGTATATCTTTGCCGCAACGGACCTGCTTATCACAGCAGACATTTGGTTATAAAATACCGACTTCTGAAGTTTGGTTGGTTTTCCTAGCTATCTGTGCCAATAAGCCAACTTGGTTTATTACACATTCTGTTATAACATACATTTGAATACACTGGACCATATTAGGGAGACTGTAAGTAGTTTACTGTTCCATTATAGCAAACTCTTTGGCAGTAGTCATTATTTCGGGCATTATGCGGCACCAGTGTGGAGGGGCGCACCTAACACTAAAAATACTAATCTAGAGGGCGATACACGTTTGTTTATTTGTACACTATGTTTGTAGGGCCCAAAAAGTGCACGTAAAACCAAATAAAACATTAGCCTCCCGAGACAGTATTTTGTGAAGTTAGAGCTCGTACAAGCCAATGTCGAAATGTGATTTATATTAGAAATGTATGGTCTGTCCTTTGCGCTATTCTTGTGTATTAGGATTATCAATGCATGCATCTCATTTATTTTTGGCGTTGTGTATGGAATTATTTAGAATAATACCATTTATTATCTCTCTTCCTGCAGGGTGTGTGTATTTGCCTTCAGACCTATTACCATTTGAGCACAGTCCTTTTTGGCATACCACACATCCCGGTGTTTCACACTGCCAAACAATGAACAAAAAAACCTGTTTCCGCAGGCTCAACAACTCGCATGTCTTCAAGCATCATCCTTTTGCGTTGATCTCAAGCAGTTTCATACAGTCAGATTTATAGTTGACGATAACAATATATCTAATTACTGACTGAAAATTTGACAACATAAATAAAGGGCCGATCACCTTAAGATATACATAAGTAAATGCACCCCCAAATTATCTAAAATATAGCTGCGTGCATGATTGAGAAGATGTGCTTCACCGTTCATCTAGAAGATTCGCAAACACTCTTACCTGGAACGTAAACGATAAGGAGGCCAGAATGACCTTGCCTGGTCAATCTCTCCCCAGCTCTTTCCCGAACATTCTAGGTCAAACATTCCAGATGACGAGCATAGTAGATAAAGAGCCGAGCTTCATGTTGCCAATTCATTCACCGATTCTCTCTCGCGATAGCCAGTTGTTACGCCGACGGACCAACACTTGCTGCTGCCGCCGTCAATGCTTGCTGCTGCTTTCTCGACGAGTGTTCTCGTTTTTGGTTCTGGCACAAGTCTGCCCCCTTTTAAACCTTTAGTTCATTCAGTTTTCTTCTGCCAGGAGTGAGACAGGTGAAACAGGTTTCGGAGCAATTTTTGAAGCAGAAAAGTCTGAATTTTGGAGCAGCCTAGGAGCACAAAATTCTCGTTTTGGAGCAGCGGTTTACGCATTTTGGAGCAACTTCGAAGCACAAAAGTCTACAGTTTGGAGCAGGTTAGGAGCAGAAAATGTTAGAGCGGCTTATCAGCAATTTAAATCATAAAAATCTGATATAAATCACGCAAATCAGATATTTCTTTTGTAATCATTATTTTTGTCCACCCTGGTTCCAATAAGTCATCAGTGCCAATACGCACCAAGATAAAATATAAAAGAAAAAAAAAAAGACCGCATCTCCACGTGGTGAATGATGTTGATTGGGGCGAAGCTCTGGTGGTGCTGATGATACTGATTTTGTTCGTGTATACGCCTTTGAGCATTTAACCGCAGCGTCCTCTCGTCTATAAACGTTTAGCCAATGCATGCAAAGTTTAACGCGATTATATACGCATTTGACCGCAGCGCTTTCTCCTGTATAGACGTTGAGCGGCTACATGCAACGTTTCATCCATGACATCCCCACCTCTTGAGTTACTACCACATCTCAGAGCCCCTACTCGTCCCGCAGTCGTGGCCGAGTGGTTAAGGCGGTGGACTAGAAATCCATTGGGATCTCCCCGCAGAGGTTCGAATCCTGTCGACTGCGCAAACATTTTTTTCTTTTTTTAAGAAGACAGATAGGATGGCAATCGATGTATGTGAGCACGGACGCCGGACGGACAATGCTAGACCCTAAGGAGCTTCACCCCTAAAATGGAACTTTGGCACAAGATGCAGCCCTTTTCTACAGGGTGCCATTTGGCACAAATGGCGCAGCCCTTCCATCGCTGTACGAACGATAAAAAGCTATACATAAACTCGTTTCACAGTGGGAACGATGCCTATTGCTGGAACAAGGCGTAAAATATATTCTCTGTTTAGTGGTTCAAACCAGTTCTAACTGGTTCTAACCGTTATTTTTTCTCTCCGGAACTGAACCAAAACTGAACCGAAAGCTGTAAACGCTAACCTGAACCCGAACAAATAAAAATTTGGGTTCGACAACCTGCTAGCAACTGTGGTTTCTTGCAAGCTACCATACGTTGGTTGAGCAGATCTTCCTCTAAACACCCCTGTGAACGCAAAACGACTCGCACTCATAAACATAAACGAGCTCAACAATATCTCACAAACGCAGGCAGCCATGTTAGTTATCGTTTCAAACCATAACGGAAAAGAAAACTTTGAATATTTTTAAAAACAACGACTCTGTTTTTCAAACTTAACAGTATTGTTGAAAAAAATAATGTTACGGCACGGAGAAACAATTTTACAGCGAACACTTCACACGTCAATCATCTCTCCGACCAGAGCTGAGAAACAGTGCTTAGCTGGCTGAGCACCTTTCATTATGGGCAGGGCCTGGAGCAGGGCCACCTCTGCCTAAATTGCATTTAACAACGTTGACATCTGAAAAAAAACCTTTTCTCGTGAAAAAAAATTTACGAAAGGATGCGTACTGTGTAGACCCTTTAAAAAATGAATTTTTCTTTTTAGTGTTCTTTTAAAGGGACCATGAAATGATTTTAAAATCGAATTTCATCCACCGCACGTCGTAAAAGGTGTGAAAAGAAACACAAAAACACAAAACTAGGGAGCCAAAAAAAATTATTTGCTATAGAACTTTTAAAAGAAAACTGGACTCTTTTGCGACTTCTTTCCTTCGAAAGCTCTGCCTTTTCACTACGACGCATCCGCAGAAACGGAGCACGTCAGCCGATTCCACGTCGCCTATTGGGTAAGAGCCTACCTCACCAGCACCGCGATCGTAAACAATAAATAGCCGGCGAATGTTTCCTAAAAGTTTTGTCAAATAATATTCAGATCCACATTTTGTAGCATAATTAGAGATGTGTGGCGAAAATTGCCAAATTTGATAATGCTGAGAGCCAAGCGCCATCTATCGTGTGGTAAACGAAGCAACTACTGCGCGTGCGCAGTAGGGCAGGGCCGACATCAGAACGGTTATTTCCTTTGGTTTCCTTCCTCTCAAAACTCTGACTGACTGAACGTTTATTTTTCTACGTGTTCATCTCGCGCGTGCCGACTTCAAGCAGCAAGAAAAAAATGTACTTAAAACAGACCACGACGAACAAGAACGCTGGATCCACAAACACCCGAGAAGAGCGACAACAGCCGCGAATCCCGCTCCGACGAAGCTCTCAGGATATAGGCCTAGCAGGCACTCCGACTCGGCGCAGCGTTGCTTCGTCGCAAGATTGTCTGTCTGCCTGCGACCGGCTGGCGTGCTGAATGGAATATGCCCGCGCTACCCTTGTGGACCCTTCCCGTATAATAGTTTGATCGCTGACCTCAATTTTACGTTAAGAGGCGAGGTCAATCTCTTCCCCTTGTTTTCCGAGGCAGTGTTGACGAACACTCGTCGATTCTCCCTTCTTGTTTTGTGTGATATAGAGCTGAAATAAACGCTGTATGGATTACCTTTGTAACACGGTATGTACACTTTGTTATTGGTATGCCATTTTTATTCTGACAGACTGCACGTCACTGTCGAGCTGTAACAGTTCGTGAGAGGTATACGTGCAATACCGGTCCAACCTTTCTTTGCCGAGTGTCGCGTCAGTATCGAGTTGCAATCGTAAAAGATCGGTCCCGAAGCGCTTACCAACAGCGCGAATACAGCACTTCCATCAAACGCGCGCGTCTGCTCTGAGTGTGAACAGGTATTTACGTGGCTCTTGCTGACACTCGTAGTTCAAACGTATCTTTTTTAACGTCGGCTCGCTCCTGCATCTCCGAGACCGCGAAAAACGCTGCGGCAATTTGTTTCCATCTACGTCGCTTTGCAAACGACTGACACTGGCCGCCTTTTGCCAACAATGACAGTTGGGTTGACTTCTGGAGTCTTCACCGGAAGACTCGCTGCACTTCCCAACAGGCATACCGGTGTATGGGACTAGTCCCATGCTGTCGCTGTAGCGCGACGTATCTCATTGAATTTCGCTCAGCTGCGATGCGGCGATGAGAGGCGCCGATTCAGAAAATACGTCGGTGACATCGGCGCAGTAAAACCTACCGGCGTACCCCAACTCGTCGCCGCTAACGCTCCCATCTCCTACTGCCGAGAGAACTTCCGGCTCCGGAAATAGCGTTTGTCACGGCTTGTTTTGCGGTCAAGAAAAAGTCGATATTTCATTAATTTTTTGTGTAGAAGTTAATAAACCGAGACGAAAACGGATGCCTGTTCGGCATTAGTGAACATTGACGGTTTAATGTAAAAGTTATCTGGAAAAAGTAAAAAAGTCATTTCATGGTCCCTTTAAGGAAAGGTATTTCAAGTTTAAGCACTACTCTGGAATATCTGAGCCACCCACTAATGCATCATTATGAACCAAACAGTTTGCACTGTGAATATATACTTGGGAGCGTGTTGGTTTTTGGACAAAGACGACAAAAAGAATAACACATTTAAAAAACCAATGAAAAAAAGAAAAAAAATTTTTGTAAACAGTTTGGTTGGGACACACGTGTCAATTAATCTTTAGAGAGAAAAAAAATTTTTCAAGCAATATTGACGGCACGAGACGCGATTGAGTTGGTAGTGACCTCCTTTCCACTTGTTTTCTCTCTGGGCATTTCAGGCGCATGGAGGAGAGGTGGATTGGCTTGGACATCACGTTGAGGTGGAGAGAGCGTATGACCGTCTCGTTGAGGTCGAAGGAGTGAATGGCTATTCCAGGAAGTAATAGACTATGTGCACGTAAAATATAATAAATCTTGTACCGTCAATATTGCCCTAAAAAAAAAAATTTTTCTTTTTCAAGTAATTTTTTTTATTTGCGTGTCCCAACTACACTGTTTAAAAATTTGTAAAACATAATAGCACCTCACGACAAGGACGAAGAGCAGGAACGAGACAACACGATGTTGTCCTGCATTGTTGTCTCGCTCCTCCTGTTCGTCCCCGTCGTCAAGCGCTATTACGATTTCGAAGTTTCAGTACCAACTCGCCCAAGAATCCGCATTACTCATGTTTAAAAAGGACATTTTTTTTTCTTTCCAGGGGCCCTCTAAGACAAAGAAACGATAGACACTTCTTTCATTAAAAGAAGAAGTGTTCGTCGTCTCTTTGTCTGAAGCGTGTTATTCTTTCCGTCTTAGTTCCTAGTGTACATGTGCATTATTGTTTATAAGGTTTGTAGGCTTCTACGTTGCTTTACTGAATAGTTGCCGAGTCCGGATAAAGTGCCTCGGCCGTCAATTGAGAGAGGGCTGATCAAGAATGAAGAGCTCGAGAACCTTTGTTCTAAAAGACTCGCTAAGAACAGGCCCTAAGAACACGCCTTAAAGAACCGTGCTCGCTCCCAAGGAAGACGTGCAGAGCTTACCTTTGGCAGCATGAAGGAAAGCAGTCGCATGAGGAGGGGGCAGCGTTCCTCGAGGTAGGGAAGCACGCCTGGGGGCAGCTTCGCTCCCCAAGGTGGCTTGCTCTCGTCCGGGGTGACCACGGCGACCGGACCGTCCAGAACCAGGCCGAAGTTGCTGTCCTCCTTCTGGAAGTCCTTCACAAAGCCCTCTGGAACAACTGGAAGCCAGAGGCCCAAACCTCTGGTTCAGCTCGTTGCCAGTGCGGGACTTCATTCCACACTGCTCGGTCAACCATCACGTTTCAATGCTCCTTAAAGGGGCGTCGATATTCAGTAGGAATGTTTTTTACTTTAAACAAGCTAACCGGCACCAGTGGGACTAGAGCATACTCCCACAAAATGCCACTGACCAAGGAACTTTTTTGTTGCAGTTCAAAGATAAAGTACAGAAGACAAGAAAGAGGATACGCTTACACGGACAGAGGACAATGCAGCTCTTTTGTGAATCCTCCTTCGTGTCTCCTGTGTTTCACCTCCAACGTCAAGGATAAAAGCGAGCGTTCTCTTTCAGCCTCACCACCGTAAAACTTGATGACGTAGCCTGGACGTCGTGGCGTTGGCATATTCCCCCAAGTAGACAATATTTGAACGCGGCTCCTGGATCAGGTCCAAGCATCATGCAAGCCTCATGTTTGCATTTTGAACGAATAGCTATACTTTTCATTCCAAACAGCGGATTCCACTGAGAGCTCGAAGATTAGTCGTCGGAGAGCGTGGTGCGTCGTAAGAGATCTGGCGTAGGACGTTGGTGACGTCATGTTTACCTTCGTGGGCAAGGCTACAGGGAGGCTGGCGTAGTTGTGAGCTTCACCACTAGGTAGCATCAACGCATTACAACCTGGCCATTCAAGATGAGCGCTCCCCGCAGGAGTTCAATAGGCGCGGGAGAGAAGGGAAGTCCTATTCGGCCAAGATAGACAGGGCTTGCACGCACATAGCTCGCTGCTGTACTTCTGCAAAGCGGCACTGCTTTTATGGGTAGTGTGAGAAAACAACATTTTGCTCATTCGTTCAAAAAACGTTCTGCTGTCTTTTCGAGGAAAATATTGGTGTCTCTGTTGTGTGGCTAGAACATGGTTGACATTTAAACGATAAAATAAAAAAAAATAACCACCAAACTTGAAAAAGCTTTATCCTCATACCTATCATGTCACTGACATCCCTGGCATATCCCATCTTCCAAAACTAATTTTGACTTTCAAAAGTTCAGTAAAAAAATATGACTTCCAAAAGGTCACCGAGGCTTAAAATAGCGACAAAATCCAGGCAGGCTGATTGGAAACTCACTTGCTTTCAAGGAGCTTCTTAGTTCCTCGCAGCTTTCATCCAGCTGCATTGTGCTGGTCAGGAAAAAGCTCATCTGCCATGGGAAGATGATCTGAAGCAGCAGAGAATAAAAAAAGAAGTCACAAACAAACAGCACTGGTGCCTCTGAAAGAGCAACGAAAAATTACCGTTCTGACTCCCGACAACGTCATGGCCTTGATCTGGGTCATACACCTGTCGACGGCCGTCTGGAACTGGCTTTCTATGGTCTCGGGGTAGATCACCTGCACAGAAACGACGAGAAAGATTTAGTTCCACACGATCACGGAAACAATCTTTTCCGTTAGTTAGGTTGCCTACTCAATGATACAGTACAAACTTAAGGGGAGACACTGCTCTTTGAGGCAGAAAATACTAAAAAAAACACACACTTTAGAAAATGTGTTTTCTGAAGATTGGCAGGCAGGCACTTATCATTTCGTTCTGATGAATTTTCGTGAAACAAGTTTCTCTTAATGATAATGCAATTAAATGCAAAGGTGCAAGCGAGCTGGACAAGAATGACGAAAATAATCCCTGGAGAAGGAGAACAAGAGGGACAAAGACAAACATAAAACTCCAAACACAGCTAGGTGACTGGTGAGCGACCGAAAAAATCCGCCTGGTCCGGGTATCGAACCCGGGACCTCTCCATTACAGGTGGAGCGCTCTACCAACTGAGCTAACCAGGGGTTAGTTGACAGCTGATAAAACCCATTTGCTCTACTGACGTCTAACCCCTGGTTAGCTCAGTTGGTAGAGCGCTCCACCTGTAATGGAGAGGTCCCGGGTTCGATACCCGGACCAGGCGGATTTTTTCGGTCGCTCACCAGTCCCCTAGCTGTGTTTGGAGTTTTATGTTTGTCTTTGTCCCTCTTGTTCCCCTTCTCCAGGGATTATTTTCGTCATCGAGGTTTCTCTTACCTTGAAATATTGTCTTGGAAGCAAAGTAAACCAAGTCTGTGTATGCTTTCTGCTATTATTTCCAGAGGTCGGCATTTCTGGTTGAACTCACTCGCTCGGTCATTTAAAAATAAAAAGTTTAAAACTCACTCACCCTCAAGGCCGCACTCCCCTTCACGTCCTCACCCATGAACCGACCGAACTCCCCTTCACGTCCTCACCCATGAACCGACCGAAATCACGCTTCTCACCGAACACAATAAGGGCTAGTTGGGCTAGTTGGCGGTACAATGTGACAATTACAAGCGCTAAAAAGACTTCTTTGCCTGCACTGCACACAACTAGTGAGCCAAGGTATAGTAGCAGAATTGTAGTACATTTCAAAAAGCTGGGAAGCAAAAAATAAAGCGAAACAAAGGGCAAATGAACACAGGTAAGTTTAAACGATGTGAATACGTTAAAAGAACAGAGCTACTTTTCGAGCGAAAATGGATCGACGAGACGAGATCACTATGGCTCATATCATTTCTAGCGCTCGAGACATGGGAACCGGGACTCGTAGCCGGTTGACTGCGGGCAGCTTCCCGGCAAGCCGCAGGCCGTACCGCGTGTTTGAGACACTTTTCTATGGCGCATGTCCACTTAAACCTAAAGGGATTATAAAACATATTAGTTTTGCTATATACTGCTAAGAGATAATTGCTGACGTTAGACAAGACAGCTATTCTTGGCTCCATGAATTAGCTGTGGCAGAAAACATTGAGACCAAAATTTAAGAGAATTAACTTCTTCAACCCCCAAAAAAGAAGGTTCTTGCACTGGCTCATGCCACCATCAATATTCATTGCAGTGAATTGTTGTCAACACATTTGTAAAGCATATGCTGCACTTGCACATGCCAAAAGTTCAACAATATCTGTCACAGCACTAATTGACCACGACCAAGAATCCGCACCTTACTGACCAATTCAACATTTATTTGATCTCGGGAGACGGTTAGCAATTGTTGCCGAGCTCAAGAAAACTGGCGACACAGTGCTAGAGTCCAAAACACGAGCCACATTTAGCTGCGATGCACCCAGAGTCGGATACTGATAGAGCAAAAAAATATTTCCAAAAAAAGAAAAAGTATGCATTTTTTGGTGCATAGTCAGTCCATGGACTATACATGTTTAAAACCTAATATTTTGTGCTACACAGGTGCGGACTATGCATGGCATGTGGACTATCTAAGAAACTTTTTTTTTGCAGCTGAAATCGGCCACTGCACAGTATACACCGGGTGCGGACTATAGTGGGGAAAGTACAAAAGTGTGCAATTTCACGTCGGAAATCAGGTTCCAGGTTCCTTATGCCATCTGCTAGTGTGCAAAACAGAGTAAATAAACCTGAAAAGTCGGGCTGTTTCATAACAGTGCAATTCAAATTATTTTATCACAAATATGCATAGAGATTACATAGCTGTTGTTCCGTTCTATTCAATTTTATGGCACACTGCATAAAACATTGCACGAAACCTAGAGCGAGCTAAAAAAGAATGGATTCCCGAGCACTTTGTTATCACTTTGCAGATAAGAACGGCCAAGCATGAATCGTGGAGCCGTGCCCTTTGCGACAAGTCTACGGTTATTTGTCTAAATACATACACAAAGCTGGTTGTAGCTTAGTTAGTTTTACACAAACCAGTCATTTATTTCCATCCAATGTTCAGACCAGGAGAGATGCGACTACATCAAGCTCTAAAAAGAGAGAGAACTGACCTCTAACTTGGGGTCGGAGATCCGGCCCTGGACCAAGGCAAACACGACCTTCGGATGGAAGGGGGGTGCAAAGGCCTCGGCCACCGGAGCTTCTTGAGCCACTGGAAAAAAGTTTTCCTAAGGACGGCATCTCACGCAAAACGACGCTGCTTCCAATTTGCTTGTTAAGAAACTAAAATTATGCCAAAAGTATAGCGGCGGAAGTGTTAAAAAAAAGTTTGTTAAAACGTTTCTTTTTCAGGGATCGTTACAAGTAGGGTTTCATGTTTACGGGGTTTATATTTCTCCACATATTAATTCCTTTATGGTAGCTATTTTCGGCGTTAGACAAAAAAACTGGCGCTTATCGGGGCTCGTCTAAAAAAACGGGGGCATGAAATTGATCAAAATAATCCCTGGAGAAGGGGAACAAAGGGGGACAAAGGACAAGCACATAGGTGACTGGTGCATGACTGTGTTTGGAGATGGGGGACAAAGGACAAGCACATACCTATGTCCAAACACAGCTAGGTGACTGGTGCATGACTGTGTTTGGAATAACTGTTTGTCCTTAGTTCCTTCTCTAGGGATTATTTTCGTCATTCTTGTCCAGCTCGCTTGAACCTTTGCATTAATTGCATTATCGGCATGAAATTCCCCCGACTTCCCCACGGCCCAGATATGCGGAAAATGCCCAATAACAAAAGGAAGCTGCCTCATGAACAGTGCACTGTGTGTTCTGCAGAAAGCCAAGCTGTAGATTTTCTTTTATAAAGTTATTTCTTGGGCAGCTCAAATTACTGTTTGGTTGGTTTTCACATAATTTGGATAAAATAGGCTCATGCGTAAAATGGTTTATGCCAGAAACACGAATGAAACCCTACCTACCAGCAGGTTTGATTGCACCACAGTTTTTTCATCGCAATACTTGCCTGTTTTCTCTATTTAATGCCTTTTGTTTGTCACAAAATCAACTTTTAGGTTATGTTAAACTTTAAATTCAGCAGCTGAATTTTGGGACACCGTTCAAAATAAAATTAACTTATTTATTTTTTGAACATAGATTGATATTTAAAGAAGAGACGATGAAAGACCAAAAGAAAAAACTTTCAGCCTTTCCACTCTGGTGAAGAAGGGTAAGGGTAAGGAAGACCAGCGAAGGCTGTATACTATGGTGGGACGACCTCAAGGACAACTTCTTGGACGACCAAGAGGACGATGCCTAGACGACGACGTCTAGGAACTCAAGGATGACTTCTTTTACAAGCTCAAGGACGACGCTTACAGGACGACATCTAAGATGACCTCAAGGATGACGTCTAGAACGACCTCAAGGACGAATTCTAGGACGACCTCAAGAACGACAATTAGGATCCCAAGGACAACCTCAGGGACGTCTAGAACAGCCTCAAGGACGATTTTTAGGATGACCTCAAGGACGACTTCTAGGACGACCTCAAGGATGACTTCTAGGACGACCTTGAGGACCTCTCGGACAACATCAAGGACGACGTCAAGGACTACCTCAAGGACAACTTCCAGGACGACATCTACGACGACATCTAGGACAATGCCTAGAGAAATTCAGCCTTTCCATTCTGGTGAAGCAGGAAGACCAGCGAAGATGTACTATGGTGGGACGACTTCAAGGACGACTTGTTTTACAACCTCAAGGACGACGCTTAAAGGACGACATCTAGGGCGACCTCAAGGACGACATCTAGGACGACATCTAGGACGACCTCAAGGACGACCTCAAGGACGACCTTAGGAACATCTAGAACGACCTCAAGGACGACGTTAGGGACGACCTCAAGGACAACTTCTAGGACGACCTCGAGGATGACTTCTAGGACGATCTCGAGGACAACATCTCGGACAACATCAAGGATGACCTCAAGGACTACCTCAAGGACGACTTCTAGGACGGGATCTAGGACGACGCCTAGAGAAATTCAGCCACTCTGGTGAAAACCAGGGTGGAAAGGCTGAAAAGGTTGCTGCCATCTATGAGTGAGGCCGGTAAACCGGTTGTCTGGCTGCTGCCGTCGCTCATAGATGGCGGTAGCTGTCCAGAGTTTTGTGTCGACATTTCTCTACGGGGGACACGATCCTGGGGAAACTAGCCCTTCACAGCTCTGCTGTAAAAACTGTCAGCATTTCCACTCTGGTGAAGAAGGAAGACCAGCGAAGCTGTACCATGGTGGGAATGAAGTAATGGATGGCTGCAAGTTGGCAAGCCTGAGTGGAAAGGCTCGAAAGGTTGCGCCATCTATGAGCGACGGCGGCAAGTGGACAACCGGCAAACACAACGCTCTGGACAGCTACCGCCCCCTATGAGCGACGGCGGCAACTAGAGTTTTGTGTCAAAATTTCTTTGCGGGGGAACACAATCTTGAGGAAACTAGCCCTTAACAGCTCCGCTTTAAAAACTGTCAGCCTTTCCACTCTGGTGAAAAAGGAAGACCAGCAAAGCTGTACCATGGTGGGAATGAAGTATTTATAAATTTAAGGATTAAGGTGTGATTGGGTAATTGGTTATTTGAACAATTAAAGAATCAGACATACACATAAAACGATCCGGGGATGTTATTTGTTTCGTAACCACAGTGACCATGGCCCTGTGATTGCTGTGGTACACTGCCATAGAGTGTACGCTGACGGCAGGCATATTCTTCGTGAAGACAAGGTCTATGCAAGTCCAATGCCTGGTCAGGCAAAGCCCGAAGCACTCAAGCATAAATGAAGTTAACCACTTTTCCTCCTGGCATGCAATGTAAACGTTAAAGTCACCCGTCACTATGGCAGATGTGTCATCGCCGAGCATGATCCAATCGAAGACATACATCATAAATGCTTCAATGTCTCTCTTGGGCGTCGCGGGGGAGACATACACAACGGCGACCACCGAACCATCGCGCACCTCGACAGAAAGGCTGGAAAGGTTGCCGCCATCTATGAGCGACGACGGCAACCAGATTGCTTGTCTGGTTGCCGCCGTCGTTCATAGATGGCGGTAGCTGTCCAGAGTTTTCTGTAGTTTTGTGTCGACATTTGTTTGGTACCGGACACAAAACTGGAGAAACTAGCCCTTAACAGCTCCGCTGTAAAAATTCAGCCAAAATTGCTGCTATCGCTACGCCGAATCTCAATAAAGTGCATCAGCCTTTAGTGCAGGGGTTCAGACTAGGCGAATGATGGGAATTCCAATGGTCCGCACACTATTCTCATCCGAGAGCCAGTCTGTTCTCCCAGGCATCAACGGTTGCTTTTGGACACACACATGACACACACACTTGTGATCTCCGGGTTCGTCAGAATCATCGTGACAAGTTTAAAAATTTCTGGAGTAGAGTGTGTGATGAGCATGTTTCAATGAAATCACGTTCTGCATGTTTAATGGGAGTGGTGTAGGCCTTGAATTCTTAGTACTCTCGAATTTTTAGGAGCCCCTTGGGGCAAAATGAAGGAGTCACCAAGCTAGAAGGTTTATTCCACCTCTATCAATTAATCTGGAGGACTTAAAGTGCATCGAGGCAATCGACCCAGCACATATGCACAAACCCTCTCACCTATCTACTTTCGTCCCTGCAATAAAAGCGACCCAGAAACACAAACAACAGACGACAATGCTTCAAACCATAGCCTTTTCTATACTCACGAAGCCTGGCAGTTCGACAACGGAGCCATGGAGTGCCCGGTCGCAGATTTGGAGCGTGAGGATCTGGCAGCACAGAGCATTTCTCGGGGAGCACGTAGCCAGCGCACAGCTTTTGCAGTGCCGAGGACCCGAAACATGGTTTTTAAACCCGACGAGAAAAGAAGCAGTAGCCCGAGGAACACGAGAAGCATGAGCGGACGTTCCATTGCTCGGGACAAGTGTGTTTCGGCGTCTCGCCGCAGCGGGGCGCCCGTCACCTGGCTCTCCTCTCATTTGTTGTCTGCCGCTCTACCTTTTCAATTTCAGCGGCCGCTTCTCGTGGCGATCTGCCAGGCTTTGTCAGTATAGAGTAGGGCTATGGTCAAACATTTGTATCAGTTCAACGTGTCTATGCAACACCATCTAAAAAACTTTCAGCCTTTCCACTCTGGTGAAGAAGGAAGAGCAGCGGAGCTGTAGCTTCCATTCTCAGCGGTGGCTTTCCAGGCGAGCGATCTGCTCTTCTTTCGCAAGAGAATCTGAAGCGCTCGACGCAGCGGAACTTCAGGCAATAGCGGCTTCACGGCGATTGGGGAACCATTCGTGCTGCTGCGCACATCGCCGCTCGTTCCGCTCCCGCTCTTCTTCCTCCAAAGACAGGTTGCCACCATCTATAAGCGACGGCAACAACCAGTTGTCTGGTTGCTGCCGTCGCTCATAGAGGGGGGTAGCTGTCCAGAGTTCGGTATCATCATCTCTAATCTGGCAGACACGATCCTGGGGAAACTAGCCCTTAACAACTCCTCTGTAAAAAGAAACTTCCGCATCATTTAGTAAAATTGAAGGCGTGCCGACGCAGTTGTCACCTGAGGACCATAAAATATGCTTTAACTTTTTCCCTTTCAGTCTCGTTATTTTTAATAAATATCATTAATTCTAAAAGAAATCACACCCGCACCTCGTGCAGTGTACTGCAAGCTGTCCCCCCAATTTGTTACGAACCGCTAGACGATGTTCCTGTGCCCTTTCATTTAAACACCGCCGACTCTGTCCAATGCACATTAGTGGAACCTCGTAAACAAGATTAAAAGTACAGGACCGAGTGACATGCTTCTTCGAGCATTGAACAAGCTTCTGTTTGCACAATAAATTTTTCCCAATATACCATATTTACTCGCATAATAAACGCACTCACATAATAAACGCACTCGCATAATAAACTCACCCCTCACAATGGGCATCAATATTTAGAATTCCCCCCCCCCCCCCCCCCTTCCCCGTAATCAACGCACCTCCCATTCTCGGATCCACGAGTCTCGAATTGCATCCAATTTAGCAAGACACCAAGCCAGTTTTCTTATGCCGCCAAGTGGTCAGGCCAAGTCAAGCCAAGACAAGCCAAGCGAGGCTGCTCTCGTAATGGCCGCAAGTGCGGAGTTGCGGTAGTTACGGAAGTGATCAACCGTGAAACCAAGTGTCGCGCACAGTTGTTGAAGCTTGGGTTGAGGAATTGCCGAGCCCCGGACATTCTTCGCCTATCGGGTGCATTGATGTCAACAAACAAACCGTCGTCTGTGGTCCGCTTTCGGACAGTGAAATCGTGAAAGTGGTTAGGTCTAATTTCACATACTCCAGGTAAATGTGTTTATTTAATCCGCAACAGAATGGCACGGCGAGGTGCACGCTGTAGGCTGAGAGTGTCTGGTAGCTTCTCCATGAAGGAAACTTAATCCGTGCAAGCGGGCTTCGGGGGTCGAGGGTTGAACTTCCTACGAGTTCCTGTCTCCGTGAACGAAACTTGATCCATGCGAGCGGGCTTCGGCAGTCGGGGTTGGACTTCGTACGAGTTCTTATACGCGTAGTCGTGGATATACCTGAGCGTGCCCGCCGGATACTAGCAATATATATCGCCTAAGAACGATTGTGTTGCTTTTTGTGCTGAGTGAGCTTCGTAGGACACTTTTCCTTCGGCAAAAGGCACCCCGAAAGCGCTCTGAAAAGGTTTGCATTTTATAAATCATGGTTATTGTGGCGTGCCCCTGATCAGCCGTGAGTGCGCTTCCATCACTGGAGACGTGCCACAGTACCTTGCCGTGTCATATTGGCACCCAACATGACATTTGCACGAAGTGTGTAAATGCAAAAATTTTACCCCACGTAATGAACCCAAATACTGGCGAGACCAGTTATAGCGAAGTCAAAGGGAACCGGCAATCGCTTGGCTATATCTGCTATTTCGTTATAACCAACTTCGGTTATAAAGAAGTGCAAAAGGGAATGGAAAATTGTGATCGCTTTCCTGTAGCCGCTATTTCGTTATAACCGACTACGTTATATTCCGGCTTGACAGTATGTGTCAATTTTTCGGGAAAAAAAGTGTGTTCATTATGCGAGTAAATACGGTAGCTCAAATTGCAAAAACTCACGAAAATTGAATGAACAATGAACGCACTCACGTAATGAACGCACCCCCCAAGTCGGCTCTCAATTTTTCGACTTTTTTTTTCACTCGCGTAATAAACGCATCCCCCGCATCCCCAATCCCCAACTCCGACGTCAAAATTTTGACACCCTCCCCCCACGCGCGCGAAATGAACGCACTTTTCTATCCTGGTGCAGCGAGGTCGCGAATGCATGGGCAGCGTAAAAAAATTCGAAAATAACCAACAGAAGCAAGAAAAAAGAACATGGAGAGGAGCTTTTTTTTCACCGCGCAGTCTGGACTTTGGGTTCGCGCGCCGCCGCGCGCAAGGAGGTACGAAAGAGAGGCGCTCTAAGCAAACGAAACAGCTCGCGAAAGGCGGCAAAAAAAAACAAAAAAAAAACACGGAATTAGGAGAAAATAAAAACAAAGAGGAGCTTTTTTTTTTTTTTTTTTTTTTTTGCACAGCGCAGTTTGGTTACGGGGGTCACGTGCCGCGCGCAAGGAGGTAAGAAAGAGGAGCGGAGAAGCCCTCTAAGCAAACGAAACAGCTTGCGAAAGGCGGCAAAAAGAAAAAAAACAACAACCCAAGGAACTCAGAAAAAAACAAAAGAAAAAGATGAGCGTTTTTTTTCTTTTTTTGCACAGCGCAGCTTGGTTACGGGGGGTCGCGCGCCGCGCGCAAGGAGATAAGAAAGATAAGCAGAGAGCCCTCGCCTCAGCAACGCCTAAGCAAACAAGACAGCTTGCGAAAGGCAATGCCTAAGCAAACAAGACAGCTTGCGAAAGGCGGCAAAAAAAAACCAAAAAACCAAGAGACTAAAAGAGAAAAAAAGTTTTTTTTTTTTTTTTTTTTTTGCACAGCTTAGTTTGGTTACGGGGTCGGGCGCCGCGCGCAAAGAGATAAGAAGTTACTTCGGTTTTTCAGGATAAAAGATCCCTTCATTATGCGAGTAAATAGGGACACAAAATTTTTACTTCGCGTAATGAACGCCCCCCCCTAACTTTGCATCGATTTTTCGGAAAAAAAAGTGCGTTCATTATGCGAGTAAATACAGTATCCCTTTGAGTGCCATGCCCGAGTATAATCGGGCACGCTCCTGAGTGGTTTCAATTTCGGTTTGCTCTCTAGCACGCCCAACTGGGCTGTGGATTCGTTCGAACTGTAGCAACATGTATGCACAAGTGATGAAAACAATCTTTTATTTTGCAATATTACTTTTTCGAAGCACGTAAAAAATTTTTGCTTACACAACTTCTCTTATGGTGGTTAATCTGTATCACTCAACGTAGCACTTTATGGCAAACCAGGAAGATCTAGAAACTACTACTCAACTCGACGGCCGTGGAAACCAGGAAGTGACCGTTCCGAATAAAAAAATAAATGGTTGAGTAAAGTCACTAAGAAGACTGACCCCAGAATGTGAGGTTGAGGTGCCACAGCATGGTACCGTGTCCGTGCAATGCGAGATAAATGCTCTAGGTCGGAGGCATGCAGAGACATTAATCTTATAAAAAAATATTAAAGCAGGCGTTACTGAGATCGATATTTGCATTTGAAAAGCAAAATGGGTTGGCAAGAAGCAACTTACTCAAAATTTCCAAGAGCTGGTCTCGTCCATCCACCACGTCCAGAGGGTGGTTGCAGAAGAGCAGCTTCCTCTTGAGCTGGAACAGCCTGGCAAAACAGCTCTCCTTCACAACCAACACCCTGCTCCACAAGCGAGCAGACTTCCAAACAGAATTAATATCAGTGGGCCAAATTTGGGATTTTTAAGCGCCAAAATATCGAACCTCCGTGAAAGTGGAGAGGATTAATTTCGACCAGCTCTAATGAGGTGCAATCAAATCTCAGTTCTCTGCAAATGAGCCTCGGTCAGATTGAGGGCAGTTCGGTCGGGGTTGGAACCCGGGTAGGCCGGAGCTCTGCCTGGGAGCCGCCAAGACGAGAAAGAAGACTGTTGCCTGCACACTTGAGGCACACATAATACAATGCAGAGCTAACATTAGGAACAGTGCTGATGCAAGACCGACAGGTAGCACTCAGATGTGTCACTGCTGTACTGCGCTGCATCAGCAAACTCGGAGCACAGTGCAGACTAGGAGCACTCAGCTAGTGCTGTGTGTGTCAACAGCTCTTTCAGCCACATACAGTAAACTCCCACTTGAGCGAACTTCAGGGGACCCAAAGCAATAGTTCACTGAGAGTTCACTAAACTGAATATATTCGCTAAAACAGGAGTTCTTAAACTTTTCGACCTCACAGAACCCCAGGAAGCCTCAAAAACTGAGGCTTGTCGCTAAGCTTTCAATGTATTTATAAGCCACTTAATTCGATTGGCGCTTTTGTGTAATTCATACTCCTTGTTCTCGCGGCCTCGTTGAGTGCGCTTCTTTCCGAGCATCGATGAACTGCGTAGAAGCAACACCCGCGGACCTTGCTTCTGCAGATGTTGCTTCTCTGCAGTACACCAGTGTTCGGTGAGAAGCGCTCTCGACGGGGCTAAAGCAGGGCTAACATGAGCTATGAAAATGGGCACCACGCGGACATTTCCATAGCAACTTGCGTGGACGCTGTGACGTGGCGCAGGCCCACTTCACAGCGTCCACGGAAGTGATGAAAACTGCCACACGGTGCCCGTTTTCATTGCTCACGTGTCCCTTGCTTGATTGTCCAGATGAGACCACTTCTTGGCTCGATGAACAAACTTAATTTTGTTTCGAGTTGTCAAGTGCTGTCTAAACAGTCCACGATGAACAACTTTTGTTTAGAGAGATAAATAAAGTTATGCCATACATTTTACTAATGTTTTATGCGTGACATACCTGCCTGTGATCATGAGGCCTATGCAGAAGAAATAATCAAATATCTATTTTGCATGCGTAGCCATTCATATGACAAATCATAATTTTATCTTGAAACGTATTTAGATAAATTTTTGATAATTCAAATTTCCGATAATTCAAACAAAATTTGTGGCTTTCTGGAGTTTGGATTAATGAGTGTACCGTACGTGCTAGGGGCATTTACTTCTTAAACTATAAATAGGCCCAGGAAGGTGGAAGACAATGCGAGTACGACACTTACAGTTCCTTAAAGACCTAAAAGATAGCAGCACTTAGCGGGGTGTTCAGGCAAAAACTATTTAAGGGACACTGACACCCTCCAAAATTTTTTTTTCATTTTTTGCCAGGCGCTTCATTATGGTGTCGGAGGACTACCCAATTAATATTTTGCAACAGAGTAGCGTACTTTTTTAGTAAAGCCAAAAGACGCAACTGCTCGAAACCGAAACCCGACGGAGGTCGGAGAAGTGGAGAGAAGAGAGCGAGTGGCGGAAATCACGTGGCTACACCCAACTGTGTGTTTTTTTTGTTGTTTTTTTTCTCCTTCCCAGTAGCAGACGACATGCGGCGTACGGGAACTGTTCGCCGTGGGATTTTTTGCAGTTATGTATGTTCCGCTCGTTGTTCTGTACCCCGAGATGAGTTGTTTTGTATATTGAGGAGTTGCAGATGAGTAGTGAGTGCCCGTGGTGAATTTTGATCGGCTCCGAAAAGAATACACCCAAGATGTTGCGTGAAGAGCTGGCTCACATGTCCTGCGTTCGAAACAGAAGTGGCATTGTGCGACAGAGTTTCCGAAAGATCAACGGGATTGGGACCAATGGCTGGCTGCAATTCCTGTAGACCATTTACGGGCACCTCGGAAAGCGGGCGCTACCTGATTTATATGCTCCTTGCATTTTGTGGAAAGTGATTACATTGAGTTCACAGGTGTCAAAAAGGAAATCCCATACCATTTAATTCAGCGACGTGTCGTCCACAACATTTGTTTCTTTCTTTTTTTTTTTTTTTTTTTGTTTCTTCAGTGATAATTGTAAACAAAGAAATGTAGACATAAAAAAACATATAAAAAAAAGAAAAAAAAAGTTTCACGGGGGATCGAACCCGATCCTACGGCGTGTAAAGCGGACGTCTTTCCCACTAAGCTACTGGGGCATACCGAAACTAGGGGATCTCTTTCCTTAGTAATAATTCAGCCGATAAACTGTAAGTTGGAAAATTTGCTACCGATTTTCCTTTAGCAAAAGCACTCCCGGGTCGAAGTCGGGATGCAGCCCGCATTGGCGACATTCTCACCTTGTAAAGAAATCGTACGCGTGCATATTCAACTCGAAGTAGACACGTCGTGCTTGGCGTTTGCGCGAGCGATGTCTTCAGCCACGAGAAGGGAGCGACGGCTCGGCGACGTCTTCGTGCAAATCGGCTTGGTGGTCGGGCGTGTCGTACGGGATGAAGACCAATTCTTTTGATCAGTCCCAAATTTCTCTTTTAAAGGCAGACAAAATTCTCCGGTACCACGAACGACAGTTCTGAAATAGAGGTCCCACGCCCGTCGTCCGCTGCCATCGCGTCCCTGCGAGTCTCACGATACGCGAAACGACGCACGCACAGGATGCTTCCGGTTGTCTGTGAAACTTATTTTTCAATCAACGTATTTACAGCTTTTAAGAAGCCACAAAAAATGGGTTTCATATTTTTTTCTATTTTTAATATTGAGTGTGTGCCTTCAGTGACCTACGACTTTGATTAAATTTGGTGGTCGCATCGATACCTTAGAAAACGGCCCGTGACCGCGGAAAAGAGAGTGAGCGAGACTCGAACCGGCGAGTTTTTGATCGGCGGTTTTCGGGCGGAAAGAAACCGAATTTCGAGCCGCAAATTCTGTTCTGGGTAGTTGAGCTCTCATATGTCACGTACAACTAAAAACCTCGGCGAGCATAAATACCCTGTCAGTGTCCCTTTAAATATGTTATACATACATGTACGTCAACGGCCATCAAAGGGTCAAGAGGAGTGCTCACGTGACAATGCCGAGCTGTCCAACATGGTACGCCACCAGCCTCTCCTGCAGACTCCTCTGGTGCAGGTAGGGAGAGGTGAGGGCAACGAAGGTGCACTCTTCCAGGTCCTTTCGAACAGAGAAAGATGAAATGGACGTCTCACTGGACTTGTGGGAAACTGCATGGCTTAGCTACATGACCCGACACGAGGCTGTGAAGAATGAAAGTTAATGTAAACACAAGTTGTGGGACTCCTATTGTGCATAGGTTAAAAAATGAAACATTTACAAATCTTTGTAATGCGAAATTAGAGCACAGCTTTTGAGGAGGAGAAGGAAAGGGCATGGAGTGGAGAGTATGCCCCTCCTCCTCCATACCCTCCCTTCCTCTCCCAGTTTCCCCGGTAAATTTAGCTGGAAAATTGAGGCCACGTGACATCGACACCAATTCAGTTTCCCCGCTAAATTTAGCAGAGAAAATGGCGTCGCATGACTTCGTGTCGTGTCACCCATGAAAAAATTCAGTTTCTCCGCTAGATTTAGTGGGAAAATTGATGTCACGCGACCTCAACACCAATTCAATTTCGCGCTAAATTTAGCGGGGCAGTCACGTCGACGGCAACGGCGGTGACAGCGACGCTGCAAAACACGGAAACAAGTGCCCAAGAATTGGGCTCTAAAAAAGAAATATCACACGGGTTGTCACGGGACATGTTGTTCGTGCCTGCAGAAAGTAATCGGGGCTTCCCTGCACACGCTCTCTCTACGAGAGCGGAGCCGCTTACTGCCAACTGCAAGAAGCTAAGATCGAAAGAAGATCCTGTGAGCTACATACCGCCACCGACCGATTTTTAAAACTTCACCGGGACCAAGAATACGTCCGAATGATAGAGCACGGCCACGCAGTGGCCCGCCCGCCGTGGCCGTCACTTTCACACATCCCTCGGGCATCGGGTTTTGCTGTTTCATGCCTGTCCGCAATCAGCGCTGCTCATGCACACCCCTCGTTAGCCTCGCTATGCAAGAGGGGAAAAGGAGGAGAGGGATGCAATGCGTCATGTACCTTGCCGCCTCCCCTCCCCTCCATCCCTCTCAACCTTGCGGACGTGCACCAAGATAAAATACGAAGGTTACTTTCGCTTCTTGTTGCTCACAGCGACTCGCGGTGTTGCTCGCACCTTCGTATTAAGTCTTTCGTTGTTATACTCGTCTCCACCTTTTTTCGTTTCTTGTTGTCGTCGTTTTGCAACGGTGACAGTGAGGTATTGTTGCGAATTTATAAGGATGTCGACGAAGCTGACGAAGCTTCCGACGATGATGACATGTCCGGAAATTTTGACGATGATTAAGTTTTAGAGCGCAGCTCTTAGGTGCCTGTTTCCGGCATGAGCGGCATCGCCATCGGCGTAACCGCATGGTGCATTTTGGGAAACATCCCATCATGCATTGTGCCAAAACGTCATGCGACGTTTCGGCGTAATGCCGAAATGTTACCGTTCCGAAATGTCACCGCGATTTTTCGATGGAAGTCGCGTGCCAAAACGTCACACGATTTCAGCAAAACGTCACATGACGTTTCGGCATTGTGTTGAAACATCACGTGACAACACGCATTTCGCGCATGAAAGAAGGAGGAGAGGAGGAGGAGGGGCATACCCTCCCCTCAGTACCCTACCCTCCTCCTCAAGAACTGCGCCTAAATCGGCGTTACAGAAAGTTGTAGACGTCTTTCATTTTTTTAGCATCGCGCTGTGATTTAGTTGAGAGAACTGTAAAGAAACGTTTGTTCCTTTTGCCCAAACCTTGTTCTGTTCTTCAAAAAGAACAAAAGGTCCACCTATATTCAAATTATTCTTTTTAATTCTTGGCAAGTTCAATGTAAAGGCATCAACCTATATTTGTGGTCCACTTATATTTGAGTAAATATGGTAGTTAACTTTCTGTAAAAAACGGCAGCCTTTTCGCCCACAATGTGCAAAGAAGAGCGATAGCTGTAGCACATTCGCGCAATCCGAATAAAACGGTGCAGATTGCCATCGTGGTTGACATCGTGGATGCCACTAATGACAGCCGCGAGTGCTCGGTGATTAGTAAGGGAAGAGCGCAAGGCGAGAAACGAGGTGCTCGGTATAAAGTAAGTGGGAAAATGCGGTGGTCTGTGTGGGTAAGACGCAAGTCGCGAGCCGCGGAAGCCAGCTGTACCGTCCGCACTCCCTCCTGGAACAGAGTACGGCCCTGGCACAATGGCGTCATCAGGAACAGTCTGCGGCAGCGACAACGCAAGCAGAGGTGCAGCTTTTCCCAGTGTCGTGGAGCAGTGAAGGGAAGGGGTAATGATGACGTTTAGCGATGAGCGGAGAGTGGGACGTATGCAGGCGAAGCTCGGGTGCAAGGTGCAAGGCAACAAGTTTTGGCAGAACATATTTTACGTTTCGAGTTGGGTTCAAGAAGTAGACATGTTAGAGTGAACTAGAACGTGGTCGAAATTCCTAGAACGCTCCAACATTATGCGTAGGAACTGGGTACTACCAAAGGGAAATTTCGTATAATGCGAGTAATGTTTGAAAACCTGTTGTGAAGTTAGAGTTAGCAGACGACAAGGGAAAACGCTCCACTGACGCTTCATCATTGCGTCGTTATTGGCGGGTTGTCGGGGCCCTCATTGCATCCCTCTTTGTGCGGCGCGAACAATGGGAACACTCGACTTCTCCCTTCTCGAGCCATGAGGGAAGAGAAGGTGTTTTCCACCTCTGCTGCGACCAGAGCCTTGCTGCGACGACAGACAACAAACACCAACATCGAAATCCCTGCAAAGTATCATTTGTAAAGCTATCGCTCTAAAACAAGACCAACAAATTTCAACAAAGAGCATACGTGTTCATACACGACCAAGTATGCAATAAAGATAACTTGTGGCACCATCTACCGATGGCCGCAGCAAGCAAACAACAGAGTGCATCGTTCCTTGTCTGTTCTGTAAACACACCAGTCGAAGATACGTTTCAGGCACCATACTCATAGCGAGAATTCCATCAAAGAACTAGTCACTGGATCTAAGAGTAGCAGCACCAACTTTTTCGTACGGCCGCCATTTTGGTCCATGGAGTGAGCAATTTCTCCTCGACCTCTTCATTTTTGTCGAGTCAATTAAAATACCAGGTGACAGGTTGCTTTATAAAGACAATTCTTGTACACTGAGATGTTGCCATTCACACAGTGCCAAAGACGCTTATATTGGCAAGGAAGCACCATAGCGACCTTGGTGCGACTGGTTCAGAATGACCCTTTTGAAGATTTGAAAGGATCAAAATGGAAATTGCCATAACAACAAAGACCAATCAGCCAGTCGCCTTACAAAGTCGTCCGTATGGCCTCTTTGCAAACGGCTAGCAGGTTGGGAAGGCACTCTCCCAAAATCCAGAGACTTTACTCAACCTGGGGAGAGATGGCCGCCGCCTGCATCACGGCTCCGTGGACGGTCAGCAGGTTGGCCAGGTTGAGAAAGAAGGCCAGGCGCCCCGCCCCTTCCTGCAGCTGGCACAGGTCGACCTGACGCAGCTCCTGGCAGCCCAAGGACCACGCTGCAAATGCAGAGCTGCGGCCCAGGGCTCCAGCTCCGCCCAAGGTCACAAACGAGTCGCCGGCCTTGCAGTGCACTGCATCAAGGAACTTGCATGTATTCACACATACGACACGGCGCTACGGAGGCATGCGCTTGTGTCCAGCCGGGGAGGCTACAAACTGGTTCGCGACTGCTTACGATGGTCATAAGTGGTCGCCAGAGGCTTTGGTTTTAATGCGTTAGCATTAGTGACCTGGTATATGCGTCGACCTTAGACTGCTTTAGAGCACATGTATTCAAAGACTGCAACGTTGCTACAGCCCCACTGGCTGCAGAAAGTGGTTAGAAACACCTTCTGCAAGTGCCAACAGATGTCGGCGGGGGCTGTATTTCAAGAGGCCACGCGATAGGACGAATAGCAACGATGGCCGTGCTGGATTGGCTGGTTATAGGGAGCGCCGCAATGTCATAACAAACGAAAATCGCCGGCGGAATCCCCCCCGCCGATTTCGGCGCCACGCAGTGGGGGACAGCGGGTACATCATTTGGCGAGCGTCAACCCACCTTGACCCCCTTCCATGTTCCCGGCGCTTCGCAGCTGTAGTGTCACGCACTATCAGCCGTGCCGACATCAGCAAGATAGTGTCTCAAGTGTGTGTGTTTGCATTCCTTGTTTGTTTCCCTTAGCATATAATTTAAGGAAATGATTGCCAAATAAAGGGGGCTGACTCGCACAGCAACAAGACATGGTGTCAGATGGCGGATGGCTCGGGGCAGACGACAGATAACAGCGCATCGCGGCATACAGGACCGGACAAAGCCAGTGGTGCAATGGCAAGCCTCGAGTCACTAAACCACTTCAACTTTGACAACGTGAGTGACTGGCCAGCGTGGGTAGAAGAATTTCAAGACTTCAGCTTCGCCACCGGTTTCAACAAGGACGACGAGACCCAAGTAAGGACTCTTATTTACTCTACGAAAAGAAAGGCCCAAGAAGTTTCTTGGTTGGCAGTGAAATCACATTTTGATTTGGATAGTGTATTGCACCAAGAACATAATCACTAGGTATAGCTAATTTCAAAGATATACGTCTTCATTGCATACGTTCATCTGAACTTGCTGTTGATGCTGACATGACGGAGGTACAGAAGATTGCATTCTAGTTTTTTGTTTGTTGTTTCTGTCTTCGGTTTTTCACGACCAACACTTACTGACGTTTACAGGGGTTTTTTCCACCAAAAGAATGAAGCCTTTATTTTCCCTCAGTTCTTTGACTTCTTTTCCCGTTTTATTTTTATTGTATGATGTTTTGTAGATTCTGTTATTATGTAACTATTTTGAGCTGCTGAACTTAAGGGGCAGAGGCTTTGTCAGGCACCACGCCTTTATCTCTGCCCCCTACATAAAAAACCTGCAAAACAAATTTTTAAAAAAATGTTCAATCTTTAGGCGTGTATTTAGTTTGGGCAGTGGTTATCAAATGGGGGTCCCAGACCCTTTAGGGATCCCAAAGCCCTCAACAGTTTACCAAGCCAAGCGATAAAACTTCTATTTTCTTGGTGCTGGCTATTCCACAAAACTACCAAACCATGTGAGCAGAGTGGCTGATTCCTCTCCACTTGAGAGCTTCGAAGTTAGTTTGCACGTATTCCTTCATTTGCCCTTTTGTCAATGTCCGATATCAGCCACCTCCCACGATCCAGAAGGGGTCCCTCAAGTGGTTGGGAACCATCGAGTTAGGCCATCAACAAATCCTTTTGTGTGTCGTGATTCAAAGTCGCTATTAGCTGCCACGTTTTTTGTCTTTTCCCGTACTTGAGGCTTTTTAATGCTACCTCTGGCAACACATAAAAGTTCCCACTCGTTTCCCCTCGAAAGTATAAAAAGTGAACTACGTCCCTCGGTGAGGATGCCACGGGAGGCCAGGTGAGAGGTACGCACCTCTGAGCAGGCTTATGAGTCCCTTGAGGAGGCACTTGACAACAAAGTTGGGATGCCTGGCGGCGGCAGTCGTGGGGACGCCGGCGTAGTCGTTCAAGACTCTCGGTAGAGCTGCAAACACAACACAAACCACCTCAGTTTATTAAGCACCTCGCCAAACCCTCGCCAAATCACGCGACTCGGCCGTGTCGTCGTGTTTTGGTAACAAGTTCTGGGGACTTTTAATTTCTAGATTAAAATTAGAATTTCTTCCAAGAGAGCGGACGAGCAAGTCTTTGGAATGCCTCCGGCACACGTTGGCTGCTCACTCCAGGGGCACCAGATGCCCAAGCGTCGTTCGAGGCTTGACAACTCAAGGTCCTCACTGCTGACTCAAACGGAACTAACGAGACACTCGAAACTCCCATCTTAAGAAAAAAATATAATGCTTCCACTTTTATGTTCATCATATATTTTTATTAAAACGCTAGTTGCACCAACACACGGCCCCAATGCGTCGCCGCTATCTGCAGGTCACACGCGGACGCTCTACTTCACGCGGTTCCTGCGCACACACAGTGCCCACACCTCGTGCAGGCTCGTTCGTAAAAGGCACGTTGGCCCATAGTGCCATTTTCTTTGTGACCTCATTTGTATCTTGCGCTTTATATATTTATGCATCAAACCAACTAGCCCGCTCCCAATATTTTTATGGCACAACGAGTGTCAAAGTTGTTAGAGCGCTCATCAACTTTATTCGTGAACTATTACTTTCCGCCTCGTAATGCCTCTATCACGCTAGGTCACGCTCTCACCCACATTTCTAATTTTGTTCACTTTTCAGTTTACAATGTTTTAATTTTGGGGGATTTTAATATACCTGGCATTAAGTTGGATTTGAACATGTCCAGTACTGATCTAAGCGTCGGATGTGAACAGAAATCAGGGTACTCGATTTTGTGAATTCTAACGGTCTTCATCAAATAAGCCGTGCCGTAAATGCTGCCGGTAATGCCCTTGATTTGTGTATGACTGACGTCAGACTGGCCTCGGAGGGCGCTGTTGCCCATCCAGTCGTTCCTGTTGACAAGTGGCATCCTCCTTTTCTAATAATGGTCTCCTTTCCGTTTACTATTAGCTCAAACATGCAGACTCCGGTGTTTAATTATGCTCGTGCTGGCAACTACGGGCTGTACATGCATCTGAACGGACTGAGACACTGTTTTTACACGTATTGACGTTGACCGTGCCGTCACTCGGCCGACACATATCGTCAAGTCTGCCATGGAGCGCTTTAAACCGGTAAAGTATAGTACTTGAGGTGAATTTCCCCGGTGGTTCTCACGTGATCTCCGGCGGGCACTGGCATTGAAATCGCATTATCACGAGATATAAATCGTCTTGCTCGGACAAATGGCACCCTTTATTTGAGGAGCATCGCTCTATGGTGAAGCGATAGACTAAAAGAGAATAAAACCATTGCACGACTCAATATTAAGTCTGACCTTAGGCATTGTCTGGACCGACTTTGGGAATATGTTAGGAGCAGTAGGCCATCCTGAGGAAATGAGGCTGTAGCTCCTAAGAATCTGACCGCTCACGTCTCCACGACTCTTCGAGAGTCTGCGATATCTATTTGCTAAACACTTCTTAGCTATAGTAAACCCCTTGTCCTGATAATCTCCTTCTTATGTCAAATCCTGCATCAACGATCAACAATGTGGTTTCGGCCATAACAGAATTTGCCCCGAAAAAGTTGTGTGGGGAAGATGGGATTCTTGCCTTCGTTGTTAAAGGGGGTTCTGTTATCTTGGCCCTGTGCTGCGGTACATTTTTACCGTCTCCTTAAAGACGGGGACACTTCTGTCGGCGTGGAAAAATGCTCCGGTTGTTCCAGTGCACAAATTTGGAAGCTCTTCGTGCGTCGACAATTATGAACCGATTGCTCTGCTTTAAGCTTTTTCCAAGGTTTTTGAGAAAATTGTCTTTCCGAATCTGAGTTTTCATTTTAGACCACTGCTCAGTCCAAGTCAGCACGGTCTTTGTTGTGGACAATCTGTTGAGGCTAACCTCGTAACCATTTTGGAGTTGGCAAAGCCTATAGTTGGGTCCTGTGGCCAGGTTGATGTTATTCATTTTGACTGTCTTAAGGAGATTGACTTCGTAGATCACAATCTATAGTTGAAGAAGCTGTTTAATATGGGTCTTTCTTCAGGTCTTTGCAACTGGTTTGGCAGCTACCTTAGTAATTGTTTAAATATGGTGTCCTACTTAGAATGCAAATCATATCCTTATGTGTTAAATTCAGGAGTACCACAAAGGTTAACCCTGAACCTTTGCTTTTTAATATTTTTATGAATTACCTCGAAACTTGTGTCAGTAACTCCGAGATGCTACAGTTCGCAGACGGTGTGAACATTTCTCGTAAAATCCACGCATCTACTGACCGTGAACTCTTACAAAACGATGTTGATGCGAACACCTGTGGTGTTGTGCAAACTCGCTGATTTTAAACCTCACCAAAACTAAAATTGTCTCTTTCTCCCATAATGCAAATGTCATTGTTTATCTCTGTGAACTGCATGACTCAGACATTTCAAGACCTTCAGTTGTATGTGACCTTGGTGTTTCGATTGACTCACGCCTCATGTTTAAGGAGGGACACAACCCAAAAAAGTAAATTTCTGAACCACTTGTCTGATTTAAATTATATTTACAGGTCTTGTTTCTGTTGATGTTGAGAACATTTCTGCCAAATTTTGTTAACCTGGGTGAAGCACAAAAAAAACTGCAAAGGTTCAAAGATGAAAGTGGGCGTGAATGCGTAGGAAAACTATCGTTTTGAAATTACCTATAAATTTGTCGTTTTCATGTGTTATATTGCATTAGGACAGTTCAGAGCAGATAAATATTGAGCTATATTTCTATGTTATGCCATCTTTCATGACAAAAAAGCCACATAAACACAATTACAGTTTTTTAGATTTCCATCCTTTGTCCAAAAGTTTTGTTTTTGAGCATGAAAAATGACAAAAATAAAAAATACAAGCTCATAGTTATCTTCCCCCTAAAATTTCACCCCAGAAAAACTTATAAAAATGAATCCAAGTTATGTAATAACAAAACGATAGTTTTCCTAAAGTGAAATTTATGCCAGAAAGTGGAATGGAGAAAAATGTGTTCAAAGTGCTCCAACCTCTACCTTTTCTTTAGCGTTGGTAAACCGAAAATAATTTATAAAAAATTAACCTATGCAGTACAATCTAATGAAACTTTCTGGGGATACCCTCTAGATGTTGGTGGATGTAAATACGACATTTTTCAAAATGAACGTTTTTTTTGCAGAAATTGTTTTTCTGGTGGTGTCCCCCCTTAATTACCATGTTTTGAAAATTATAAATGATTCATTACACATCCTACGCATAATTGGACGCATTACCCGTAAAGTTTGCAGTTACACCTGCATCCTCACAAATTTTGGTCATTTTTCGGTCGTTAGTTTTATCAAGGTTAATCTTTTCTTCTACTGTGTAGAATTCTCTAAGTGTCAGTCAAGTGCTAAGTTTAGAGAGCGTACAACGACGATTTGCAATAATTATCTGTGATCGCTACATTGGGCAGAGAGCATTTCTAGAGAACAGCTCTAACTAGGGTTGTGCGAATATTCGAAATTTCGAATAGTAGTTCCGAATAATACACTATTCGATATTCGCTTTGATAACAACTGCATTATTCGAGTTTTTCGAAGTGCTGATTGCGGCGGGTCAGCCCCTTAGAGTGCACTTTTCACCAAGCACCGGTACGCTGCGGAGAAGCAATACCCGCGGAAGCGAGCTCTGCGGGCGTTGCTTCTCCGCAGCGCACCGGTGCTTGGTAAGAAGCGCACTCAATGGGGTAACCCGCCGCGATAAACACTTAGAAAGGTATGAATATCGTAGTTGCATGCAAGGAAGTAAAGCATACATTCAAAGCGGGATAGTGCATCTCTGCCGAGTGTATTCCAAAATAAATAAAAAGTTTGTTAATGTGTATATCTACATTGTAGTAAAAGTTTCAAAATTAAACTGTTATGCAAGAGTGTACTACGTTAGGCAGAGATGCCCTTACAATTCTTTTTTAACTCGAGATTAAAGGAAGAATCTTTTATATAGCAAGATTTGTAAATTCACTCCTTTGGGTATAGTTGGCCATCTCTACAGGATTCATTTTATGTCAAATCCGTCGTTTACTTGCCATCCCAAGACACCAGACCTTCTGAGGTCACAGTTCATAAATATGGATAGATTAAACTAAGTTTATAAATTAACAAGCGGAACAACCTTCACAAGTTTAGCTGGGTTTTCGTCTAAGAATTATGCAATGGTAGTGAAAGGCGTGGAAAAACTATTCGAATTCGAATCGAAAATATTCGGGCAAAACCACTATTTGCTTCGAATTCGATTGATTGATTGATTGATTGATTGGGGTTTAATGGCGCAGCAGCGACCAAGGCTATAATGCGCCAACAACTAGGACTATTGCTGAATCAAGGTTGAAGAGAAGAAAGAGCTATAGTAGCTTGTAATTTAATAAAACAATGATCATGAAAGTACAAGCGCATAAGATGTGGCAATGAATACTACAAACTATTAAAATTATAGCTGGTCCAGGAGTCTTATATCCTTAAGAAAGTTGAAAACACACTTGTGTGGAATCAACGGCTCATCACTGAGTAAAAGGGCGAGATGTAATGGTGTATGCTCTTGGTAAACCTTAGCAAAGTGTCTGTGGCGTTCTTGGTCATACAAAGGGCATACAAGTAAGATATGTAGGATGCTTAACGGAATGTAGCAGTGTTCACACTCCGGAGCATCCTCCCCACGCAAAAGATGCCCATGGGTTAGACGGGTATGACCAATTCGCAGTCGGCACAAAACCACCTCATAAAAACGCTCGCGGTGACGTGCACTCTCCCATTCCTGAAGTAGTGGTTTTACTGCGCGCAACTTATTGTTTATTTCTCGGTCCCATTCCTCTTGCCACTTGCGTCTTATGGAAAATTTCAGAACATGCCTATATTCTCTGTAAGGTATTTTCCACAGGTCGACTTCTCGATCCTTAGCAGTACTTGCTGCTCTGTCAGCATCCTCATT